ATATTTGCTTGGAGTAGAATTCATTAGCATGATTCTTTTTCTTTGCATCATCGGTATAGTTTACTTTGTTTGTGGTCAGAGTTGTAATGTGAAAAGCTTTCGATTATCGCAAACGTTACCAGATTTTAAATTTGTTTGTATTATTGTAGTGTGAACTAAAAAAAAAAATATCAGGATATATTTAGATTTTATTTGGGGATACATCACTGAAGGCTGTCTTATCATGAATGCATGCATTGTTTACGATTTTTCTCAATAAATCGATGCTTTAATAGTTTCCACAAAAAGAAGTTGTTTGATTGATGTTTTTTTCTTGTGTCTATTTGCAGCGGCTAAACTAATAGTCTTGACTGGTTGGTTCCTTTAAGTTGGGTATTCTGGCCCTTGGGCTAAAGCCGAATCATGTGTTTTGTGGGGTTTGACACGCGTAAACATATTTTATACATACATGTACATACATACATACATATACATACATGTGGTTAAACAAAAAAAAAATCATATCCCAGTTATTACACATCTCTTTCTACATGTATAAATGTCAGTATTATAGCAAACCGATCGCACAATTCGCTTCCATACTACTTTGCAAACAAGGTCTCATCATTTCTGATGCACAACGCACTTGGGCCTAGGGAGGTGGGCAAATGTCCCCCGCCCACCCTCGGAAAAATGATAAATTGAGAATATGCTAGCGGAAGTACAAGGATTTGGGGGAAAATATGTGCTTTGCCCCAAAAGTGGGATGTGTTTTGACCGAATTGGGCATGTGGCAGCTAATTTTAAATGGTAAAAGAACTCGTGGAGATGTATATACATGTATTACTTTGTTTGCAATAAGGCCTACATGTATCAAGATCTTCAACTTGCCCAACTTCCTTCTCGGCGACGGCGAAATGAATTCGGCCAACTCCCCCCCCCCCCCAACAAAAAGGAGGGGGTAGCTTTTGTTTGCAATAGACCTGTTCACTAATAATTCAAATTCATGCACACATGGGCATAAATGGGCCCGAAGGCAAAGAAGCGAAAGCGGCCCCTTGAACACGCACAGGGGTCCAAACAGTTTTGTCATTTTCTCTCAATTTCTCCGGGATTTGTCCCATTTGTCTTTGGAATAGTCCCTGAAATCGTCATAGGTATTATGCGCCTATCAAACGTTTCCCCCTTTTCATAACCCCGGATTGGTTGTAGCTGATTGGCAGGACATTATTTTGGTGACTTTTCCTATAACTTGCATTGCTGGGCAATTCTAATTGGGTGCGTTTTTGAAGTTCTTGTACTGGAAACTCCAAACTTGTAACACTAGGCCTACATGTATTACCATCAGACCTTTAATTGAACCACTATGAGGACCAATTTACAAAAACCACGATCACCCAAATTAGTTACATGTACATGATAGTCCCCAGTGGTGACATTGAATGGCAAATGTACTTTTATTGTGGCTCGCCTGAACGAAGTTCATGTCAGAGACCATGCAATCACGATGTCTGTCCGTATGTATGTTACGTGTTGACGTCCGTATATGTACATGTAGCCTATGTGTGTTTTGGTTAAAGTTTCGAAAATTTGGTCTCGTTTCTGAAAAGCTGAAGTCCAATTGGAACCAAACTCGGGTCCTAGATGCAACATGGCAACCTTTATATGATAATGATGTCAAAGGTCACTTTCTAAGTTTAAAGGTCATCTGAGGTCAAGTTGTAAAATAGCCTGAAAATGTCAAATTGGTCTCATTTTGAAACAGGCGAGACGCGTGGTTCGATAACCTTGTTTCATACGCAATGACACAAAAGACTAGTTGTTCCAATACAATATTGGTGAAATCATAGAAATAGACGTCGTAAAAAACCCAGACCACGTGTGATTGAATTTTCTGACCATAATATAAATGCACATTGTGGGGCGCATCAAACGCGCAACGGGGTGGGGGGGGGGGGGGGGGTGGGTCACTTGACGGACGTTATTCAAATAAAAGTGCGACGAAAATGAGTGTTGGCGTAATGTGGCGGTGTGGCGTAATGTCTATGGTTGAAAATGGAACAAATTATTCCCCAAATAGCATTTTGATAGCAAAATTGGTAAAACAGTCATAAAGCGATCTCGTGTGGAAGTCGTAGTGCTACCAAATGAGGTCATTATGATCTGTAGGTTACCGGCCAACCAACATTGTAAGAAATCGGCCACAGAATATGAAAAATATAACGGTGGGCGAAATGAGTACCCTCATTTTTCAAAATGGCTGCCACACCCTCCAAAAGGGTGAGTTGGCGATTGCTCCACATCTGAAAATATTTGTCTCATAAATTTTGTCTGTGTGAAGTTTCATGCTTTTATGGGGAAAAATGCACAATTGTTTTACTTATCCGCTGGACTATAGATATTTGCTTCCATAACTTAAAACAAAAGTAAATCAGGAGGGGAAAAATAGTTTGTTTTGAAGCACGGGGAGATTAACTTAATTTGTACAGCCCCTTACTCAACTTCGTCATGTTCAAAGCACGGGCATGCCTATCATTTTCAAGAAAGATTTCAAGAGTCAGCATTTGTGATTAAAATAGTAAGAATGCCGGTCGAGACGTGATTGTTATTTTCGTCATTATATCTGTTTATTGAAAAAATGCGTGTACCTCAACATAATATTTAAAGTGAATACATTATATAAAAAGCCAAGTTAAACTACAAGTAATGGTTTACATGTTTAACAGAGAGGTCCTGGAGTTTTGAAGAAGGTGGGTCAAACATCAACATAATTATCAGTCTATGAAAAGAAAATGTACACAGCTCCCAGTTCATAATGAATGCAATTATATATGAAACAACTGACCCTGTAAAATGGAAAGTAAACTTATCTTACACGTCTCTGTTAAAAACGAGACGACGTCTGCATAAAATACACAGTGTTCATATTATCGAACAGAAATCAAACTTAAACGCATTTCGTTCAATGTTCTTATCCCATCAATTGAAATCACAACACTATGCGATAGGGAAAGCCTTTAATTTTACACCGTTACTAGGGCGAAGAAAAGAACGCATTTGGAAAGTTCAGTCCAATCAGGTTTTGTCATATTGGTAGAATTTAGAGTCGTATTTTATCTGCACAAAACATGTTAATATTTCACTTTCATTTATGGACCTCTGAAAGTGTGTACTTGAAACACCCCATATAGACCTACCGGTACACTTTAAGATTCATTTTGTTTTTAATGTACCTATGCTCTTTTGAAGTTTCGTCCGAAAATATGTAAATTCATATTTTTTCTCTTGGCGTAAGTACAGGCCGTAGGTACAGGTCAGCGGCTGAACGGAGCGGGGGGGGGGGGGGGGGGGGGGGCTCCGTTCAGCCGCTGACTAATGTTATGATACTCGTGAAATGGGGCAAAAATAAATAAAATGCTCAAGTTCCTAAATTTATTTTGTTAAAATGAGAAAGCATCATAGACATCGGAGGGGGCCAGTGGCACCTTGGACCCCCACCCCCCACCGGCTGGTGTTTTTTTTTTAAAGATATTCTTCAGCAACCATTTCCATAAATGGTAAGAGAGTTCTGACATGGAAAAACAAACAAGCTCCTTTACAATGCGCCGAGAAAATCGCCATGTATTTTCCAGTATGCCTAATAATGGTTAGCTTTGCAGAGCGCCCCCATTTGGAAGATGCGTACCAGCACCCCCCCCCCCCCCCCCCCCCCCGCTTTATGATTTTACGGAGGCCAAGTGTCCAGAGAAGAGAAATGTCTACATTTTGGCGCAGATGTGCGAGTGCGATGCCCCCCCCCCCCCCCGACATCAAAAGCTGAATACGTCACTGGAGCATGCCCATGCACAAACCCTCAAGCAGCGGCAAGCCTTCACTCAAACAATTATCAACTAACCCCCGTTTTCTGTAGTATGAAAGCTAGATCCACCCTGCAGGCTCACTATATAATAATAAGCAGAATTTAATAAGCATTTCTAACATAACAATGTACAAACGGGGAATGACAGATCAGAACCATTTTTCCATCGTGTATTTTGCCTTAAAAGGTGTTCTGTTCGTGCTATTTTCGAGTAGGCTAACACCCCGAAAAAAATGATTGATTTTAAAACGTCAGATGTATTTACTTTTGGCTGAGACATCAAGCAAACAAATCAGCCAACAATTTCTAGTTAAGCATGACAACATTAATGTCCAAATGTCGAATTATCCGCGGTCTGTCAACAATTCAATATTTGGAGGGTAGACTGGTTCCCGCCCCATTCAGAAATCAGAATCCTACTGGACCGGGAACCAGCCCACTTGCGGGGCGGTTTGTGCGCAAAAACAACCCGAAATGGCAGCCATTTAAGAGTGTTGCAGACAAACAAAAATGAAAAAGGGAGTTTTTCCGTTAACATAAAACTTTGAAAATTCGTTAGGCAAATTTTTTTTGAAGAGAACGGGCAGTATATCTTTAAACCTACGAGTAAATACAGAATAATAACAACAAAACAAGCTGTACATTGGCACCGGCTTTTTAAAAAAGAAATGAACAAAATGTTAACCACTGAGAATTACGAAATGATTTTTAAATTGCGGGCCCTACAGAAATTAAAACATTAATGTCATCACTGTAAACAAAATAGGTCGTGTTATTCAGCAAATTTAACCCTAAAAGGGCCGGGTTATTTTGACCATCTCTCAGCCGGGGGGAATCCGCCCCCCCCCCCAAGATCTTGGGCGAGTGACAACAAATTTACAAATTCGGTACATGCATAGAGCAACTCTTCATGAACATACCCAAGAAATTTCATGACTATAGGTCAAAGAGTTTTGGAATTATGGCTAATTAATTATTCATATGTTCAAATGGCAATTCTGCTCTGTGTACACGACGTATATGGGAAAATTCAGTTTTCACGGCGCGTAGCGCCGGAAAATTTTTCGCTACGCGGCAACCCGTGGTCCGATTTTTATGTTTTTGGTACCAAAAGATGCGGAAGGCTCGAGGCTAAAAAGTCATAACAGCTCGGGTCGCGAAATTTTTTTCAATGCTATCGCGGAAAAACCTGAGGGGGGGGGCGGATTCCGCCCCCGGCCCTTTTAGGGTTAACACATTACATGTTCGGCCCACATATATATTCTTATGTTAGTCACCATTCAGATTGGGCAATGAAACAAGGTTACTACTTTCTACCGGTTCCAAGGGCTGGATGTAGGCGACTGTGTGATGTCACTACCAGTCCGGCTAGCCGACCTAGGAGTATTGGTACGAGGGGACGTGGGGGAAGGACCCAGTACGTAATCTTCACTGCTTATGCTCCGTCTTGGTGACAGCAACAGGCTCTTCAAGAAGCTTCGAATGTCCCACTTGACAAAGGGCATTTTCTCGGGCAGCTCGGGGTTGACCAAGTACGGTTGGTAAGCGGTTGTCAGGGGTACGAAGTGAAAAACAGGATCGGTAGCAGGAACACACTTAGCATGCTGAACGAATGTATGACTGTAGCACTGTGCACAGACCACGACAATCCCATGACCCTTGTGGTTGTTGTTGATGGTTTCTGGGGAGAACCTGTTCGAGAATGAAAAATGAACACACACAAAATTGTCGGTCGGTTCATGATTAAGTCAATTCACAAGTCCGGTCACAGGTAACACAGGATGAACACTAACAAATTAATATCTTCGTCACTTTTCAATGAACAGCTTTTAAACTCGGGCTGGGTGACTTTTCATTGACTTTTGATGGACTTGTCAGAACTTGTCAGCGACACGACTCCTATGATGCATTTTGACTTGAATGATGTATCGTTGCTATACACTTGCCCACCTTCCGAACTTGACCCATGATCACGGTATTGATAGGTTTACGGATTTCAAAAACGGAACATTAATTAATAGCTTTGTTTGATATCTATAAGTTTCTGGAAAATATATCACAACCGCAAAGTCATACCATATACAAGGCTGTCTCTCGAATTGATGACATTTATTGTCATGTTTGATGTTTGTGGAATAGATCTGTATATATATATATATATCAACATATTTTCACTCGGAATGAACGGTAAATTAAAAAAAAAAATACAACTGAAACGAACAGTGGTGTAAATCCGTGCCGGCGATGCGCGAATGGAATTACGAAGGACGCGCGGCTACAACGTGGTCGAGCCGAATACAAACTAAAGGCGCCTTAAGCCCCAGTCACACATTTACGGTTTGGAGCTACGGATCTCCACGGTTTGGAATTCGTGATAAACCGTGAGAGTACCGTATTCGTCCAGTACCGTATTCATCCTTAGTACATCGGTGGTTACATCGGCATTTGCCCCCCTCCCAGTTTGCCTCTCCCCCAGATTTCCCCGAACACTTTATCTACAAGTAGATTAATTACGTTTATTTTCATAAAATTTGGGGCCAATGAAAGCTTAAAAGGTTCACACATTCCCGACTTTTAAGCCGAATCGCCAAGAATAGCAACTCTTGAGTAAATCTTGGATGGTTCTTGGCTGCATCGGGATGGTTCTGTTAGTTCGGTGAAAGATCGTGAAAGATCGGAAAGCGCCCCGACGAATTTGAACATATTCAAATTCGTCGGGTTGATTCCGGGGAACCAATTTCAATTCTTGGTTTATTTTGGTTGTATTCACAACTAATTTGGGAATGTGTGACCTAGCATTAGACAAAACACGCCACACATATTTTTTACAGCCGAAGATAGTGTGCAGCCAACGTCTTATTTGTACATACATAATTTTGTTATACACCATTCTCATTCATAAAAACGACTACACCTGTAAGGTGTTCTATATTTCCGGACCATTGACAATGGTACGCGCGTACACGGGCTTGAGAGTTTGTTGGGACTGCCCCCCCCCCCCAATTATTTCCTTGGCCCCCCCCCCCCCAATTGCCCCCCCCCCCCCCCCAAAAAAAAATGAGTTTGGCGTCGCCACTGGTGGAGAGGCTACGGAAGTTTTAAACAGACTGTTCAAAACTTCCATGGTGAAACGTCATGAAAATCAATCCGTAGTGCAACCATGGGACAACCGTACTCATTTGTGGTGTTTTTCGTGGCTATTCGTACATATTCTTGGAGATTCGTACTCGTAGCTCATTTGTGGTAGAAATCTCTACGAATTCGCTACGAATGTCCTACGGAAATGCCCGGATGTGCTAGGGTTCTGCTAAGGTTGTATACTACGAATATCCACGCTTTATTCGTAGGAGAACCTTGGTCATCCGTGGCCCCATCGCAGACCACCGTGGTGTTAACAAGCGTCGTTATTCTTAGTAATACTGTCGATATTCTTCACCAATCAGTCCATATTCTTGACAAACCGTGGTGTATTCGTATAGAGAAATCTTAGGACAGTCGAGGCTATTTGTCCTGAAACCGTAGTGCATTCTAAGAAAGTCGATTTCTCCACGAATCTCGAAGTTTCATCGTGATCGATTGATTCTTGGTAAACCGGTGATATTAGTAGGTCCAAATTAACCGTAAATGTGTGACTGGGGCTTTAGACTGCCGCCATATGACCCATGTATGACCACGGAGCACAGCCTGAGATCGAAAGTGTTGATTTTTGCAGAGGGAGGAAAACCGGAGTCCGGAGAGCCCGGAGATAAACCCTTGTGGCACAGGAGAGAATCAAACAACTCGACTGAATGGTCTGAGCAACATTGGTATGCAGTGGCGTAGCCACCGGGGGGGGGGGGGGGGGGGGGGGGGGGGGGGGGACCGCCCCCCCCCAATGAAACGTTTTCGCCCCCCCCCCAGTCGCCCCCCCCCCCCCCCCCCCACTGAGATTTTGAGTTTCTAAAAAAATTATCATTGATCTACATGACGCCATGGGCGTCAATCCTGGGGGACAGGGGGACATGTAAGGGTGGGGGACACAATATCAAATGTCCCCCCCCCCCGATTTTTGAACTCGTGTCTCATTTACAGGGCCCTTTTATGTACTACAATGTATCTTTTGCTTAGAAAATATTGGTTAAAGTGGTCAGAAATTGCCTCAGATAGCACCACAGAGCATTAAGAATCCAAAATTTTTCGGGGCCCTTAAGCGGGCCCCGAACCCCACGCCTATAGCGCAGAATTCTGGTAGCTGATTCAATGACTCCAACCTCGAAAACAATGTTCACAAAATGTTCTTATGCCTTTAGCTGAGAAAACCTCGACAATTATGTTTAAATTATTATCTTTTGTGCTAAGATAATTATTGGTTAAAGTGGTAAGAAATTGCCTCAGATCACACCACAGAGCATCGAAAATCCTTAAGCGGGCCCCGAACCCCACGCCAATAGCTCAGAATACCGATAGCTGATTCAATGTCTCCAACCTCGAAAACGATGTTCAAATAATGATCTTTTGCCAAGAAAACATTAGTTAAAGCATGGAGGAAAGTCGTAAGAAATTGCTTCAAATCACACCACAGAACATCTAGAAATAGAATCCAATCTTTTTCGGGGCCCTTAAGCGGGCCCCGAACCCCACGCCGTAAGGGCTTCGCGCTTGCATCAGTTATGATCAAGGTATGTCCCCCCCCCTCCACTTTTGAGAAGCGATTGACGCCCCTACTTGACGCCCCCCATGAAATGTTCCAGCCCCCCCCAGCGCCCCCCCCCCCCCCCCCCCACTGAAAATTCCTGGCTACGCCACTGTTGGTATGCCACCATTTGCATCAAGACGTGTATTTCAAAGTGTTTGTGTTTTTCGTTCTCCATTTTTTCGGTGCTATATGTAATACATTTGGGCTGTTGGAAAGTTGGAATATAACTTTAAAATCGGCATTGTTGTTTCTCACCACAAAATACTGCAGGGGGTAATCGAATGGCCACCCCCGGTGGATATAATTATGTCCCCGGATACGCCCAATGGAAACGAAACACAATGCCTAGGCCTATATTAAAGCGAATAACGGATGTAGCCTTACACAACTATAAGTTGGGCAAATGGGCAAATATTGAGTTTGAAGTGAGTCGGTTATGCAAGGGAACGGACAGCCGAAATATTACATATTTTTCAATTACTTTGAAAATGTCCATCAGGTGAACTTGTGTCATTAAAAATGAACGGAAATACACATGCACAGTTCATATAATTGTGTACGTTGTACATTTTGTATGTAGGCAGTAAACAGAAAGCGAACTTGAATAGCTGTAAAATAAAAGAAAACCCTATATACATAATTTTCAATAATATCAAAATGTATCAAACAACTTCATACCAAACAACACAAACAAGAAAGTTTCTACTGTCGTTACAAAGAGTACTGGTAGCAGTCTATTCCTTCATTTTCGCATACGTTGTTTTCAACGTCTAGCAGTGCGATATGCACAAATGCATGGCACATTAAATAATATTCAAGTTCATAGATCAATTTCATTGTGAAAATTTGGATGATTATGATTCGAAAAACTGATCAAAGTTCTGGTTAATAACCCTGACTCCCTATAGGCACTTTTGAGGATGCAATCTCAAAAGACTCAATCCTGCAAAATCTTCCAAAGTTCTGCCTCCGTTTAAAAAAATGCACACAGCCCAATCCTGCAAAATCCTCCATTATTTCTTGAATGTGGTCCTTGGAGGGGTGACCACTGCTTCAATCCCACAAAATCATCCAGCAATTACTGTCAATATGTTGAGGCAGAGCCAGTGACATTCTGCAGCAGTGCGGAGGATATATGTAATTATTCCATTTTGTTGCAGTTTATAATGAAATAAAGTGATTGTATCAACTTGCCAATAAACAGAACCCAAAAGCAAAGATGATATATAGGCCTATAAATTATTTGACCCATAATAAATGGGTTCGTTGCAACATTCTACATTCCATAAGGACAGAGAGCCCCGTGTATTAATGCAAGTACGTACGGCTCATCTATTGTTCACTCAACAAGGTGCACTGAACTCCTAGCTACCAATCCAACCGTGTTATCGCTCTTTCAACGTGATTTATGTATGGAATTTGTAGCGGTGATTCAACAAAGCAATCTCAGTGACTCCTTGGTTTTGAATAAAGGCAATTGTGCTCTGCACCCTGCACAATGAACATGTACATGTACAATGTACACTGTATATTGTACCATTGAGGAATAGCGCAAGCAATGCACGAACTTATGCAATTCTACAATAATAAATGCAACGATACTTCTTGGAAGATATATTAGCTAAGTGGTTTGCTCTTATTCATGTTTTCTGGAAGTTGCATATGATTAAACCTTGAAGCACCACGGTTAATTACTCAAAAACTACGGCCTATTAATTTATCGGCTTATTTCCAATTGCGTGCATACCGAATGTTGTTGCAAACGATCAGTGCGCACCAGAACTTGAACTTTGGAAATGGATAAACCTTCAAGTAGTTACATTATGGCCGATGTCATGATGGCCCATCGCCCGTGGGTAAAGCGGCAAAGGCGATTCCAGTTTGGCAAGGGTGGAAAAATGTTAAGATCCTATGCTCAAATACGGAAGATCACAAAAAAAGTTATTGGTTTTGTAGTCATGTCTTATGTGGATGTACATGATTTTTGGTTGTGTGCCACGACACAACAGGTTTTTACAAGCCCAAAGCTATAGGCATACCATACCTCGCCTCGGCGACCATGGAGCAACACACAAAAGAACAGCTTTCAAGTACAATAAAAAAGACCTTCAAAATATTTCGTTTGCCGATAACAAAAGAACTGGGTCGACCCTCCTCGTACATCATGAGAGACTACTTTTTTTCGCACGAGTTTAATACGATTCGGCTATGTATACACACGAACGACTCTTTGACCATATTCGTCACCGTTTTCATGAAGAGCCACATAGGCCTATGTGGATTTTGAAGAAAAAGCGTTTTCGAGATATGTAGCAAGATATGTGACAGAGGGACCCCCCCCCCTCTTTTGTGTTGATTATTGTGTTACAAGAATCTCAGGAATTCCTTGAGATATCGAGGGGGGGGGGTGCTGTAGCAATAGTCTAGGGTGTGTATATGGACATGGGGGTTAACCCTCTGTCACATATCGTGCTGGGTGAGATGTGCCACTGCGTCAACTATGGCTCATCCAAAGTGGGTATAAGTAGTCCTATTAGTTTGACCATACAGTTTGGAATGTACTGTATAACAATAGCCAAACTATAGGTATGAGCCATAGTTGGTACAGTTGCCACAGTTGGGGTGAAACATAATGACAGCTACTGAACTCCCATTGGGATAAGTACAAATGCTCTTTGGTCTATGGTAAATTAAAGTGCATGTATTGCTCTAATAAGGTAGAGCGAGGAACCGGGACTCCGTTAAATATTTTTAGAGAGGTATTTCAATTCCTAGAGATACATTGTTGCAATGTGCATGAATACAACTTTACATGTACATGTACTCGCATTCCACAGGTGTTTATTTACCGTTCTTTCAGCGCTTATTAAATAATACACTCGAACACGGGATAGATGTATGCGTTTGCAACCTACCAGCACTATTATTAGTGCTACTGACCTGTTATCGGCGGGAAACCTTTGACCTGAAATCCATAATTAAATTTCCCGATAGTTAAGAAATCCTGAATTAGATTGGTGAGGTTAACAATAGGAGACACATTAATATACATGTACTACTGATATAGAAATATACAGAAACAACATTACTTACCATTTTGCTACGTTTTAATATACAGTAGGAAATGTTTTTATATAAATAGTTCACTTTTAAAAAAATGCATCAGGCCCACAGTAAGAGTAGGCCTAATATACCTATGCTATATATATATATATATTTGTTTACCTGTGTACAAGTGACAGTAGAATTAGTTTGAGATAGGCTCCAGTAAACTCCATATCTCCAAGGCATCCTGTGTTGGCCTGGCCGTATCCATTGATGATGATCATCTGCAGTCTCCGGAAGTCCTCTGCTGTGATTCGGGTCCAGAAGAGGGCCATCATTTGATCAAAGACTGCACTACCAGCCACGGTCTCTGTGCGTAGCTCGAACTGTGGGAAGTCATCAGCCGCCGATGTGTTTTCGTACACCTTCTGTCGAGTGTCCTGCTGGGCAGAAGTCGTACTTACGTGGATATACAGAACCAGTGGCAAAGAGTCGCTACAACCACCGGCATGGTTGCTGAAAGACATTATTCCAGATTTGATGTCAAGCTGGATAACCAGTTTAGTTTGAAACGCAGTGTTCCACTGCAGCTGTACTGTTATGTATGAGATAGGCCGTTTTTTTTTTGGTAGGGTGTGTTAGAGCGCAATACAAGGTCTTTAGCATAGCAGTAGTGTGGGTTGTACAGGCATGGGATTAGTCAGATGACTTTTGTAAGACTGCGTCATGCATGGCTAGCCTGCATTTGTAAGAGGACATAATGGACCGCTGATGTCAATACAATCGTGTAGGCCTACATGCGCTGGATTCGAGCATAAAATGGGAGTGGACGACGTGTATGATTACATCTAATAGTTAAGCCTTACCAAACTTTAAGGCAATCGGTATATAGGTTTGGCCGTATAGGCCTTCCTTTGGTATGTATTTTTTTGCAACACCATTCACTCATAGGCCTCTTCACATTTAATGTGACGTGCTAATGCACGTGGGTTTGATTGTGTCAATATTACGTTTAAATGGTTGAGATGCTCACGTCTGTTATCTAGAAATTGAGGCCTATACACTCGGTGCAGTGATTCGGAATTCCATCAATCCTACGATCGGTGCAGGGTGTACATTTTCTTAGGCAAATCGACTGTCAAAAGTGTTAATTTTGGCAACTTTCTACTGATTTAATCATTAACATGCACAGTGACATTCCGCTTCGGAATGACTTAAAGTTTCAAGTGCCGAGTCCTCTGTTAGCCAGACCATAAGAGGACCGCTATATAATAGCCAAGGGACAGGTTTCTACATGTGTAACTCCTCAGGTGTGGCCGTTCCTTCCAAACCCTGGCCCTTTACGGAGTGTGGTTCGTGCTAGGCTTGACCATGCAGTTCATCTCGCCGTTGATGATTGCGGCATTAATGATTACGCACGAGTGCCACATGCACACCCTGTCCGCGCGTACATCACAAAGCAGACCCTCGGCCGTCATTCCAATCAGCCAGCTATAGGCCTACAGGGTGAGTAAAAAAAAGGAAACTCAAATGTCAGGGCCACTTTTTTAATGAAGTTCTGAATGTAGCACTTTCAAAATCTAGGATATGAAAGCCCAATTAATAAGCTTTCTTTTAGTACAAGTATCATTCAAATCACTCGTGTACTTTTTTTTCAAGTTACGGAATTTTAAACACAAACACCGTTTTCAACTTCTGTCCATGAATCACAAAAAGGTAAGTGCTCTTTCAGCAAAACGAAAACATAAGAAAGCATATTAATTGGGCTTTCATATCCTAGATTTTGAAAGTGCTACCTGCATAACTTTATTAAATAATTGGTCCTGCCATTTGGGTTTCCTTTTTGTTTTGACTCACTCGTGTCTCTCTCGTTAGACTCGTTAGATTATTCTCTTCTGATGACCCGAAATCACAAGTTTCCACTGACAACGCTGTCATACCCTGCGAGGCTCCCCGGCTAACAGAGCAACCCGGCCCTCTGCGCGTTTCTCCTATATTCATCGGGCATTAGTTGATATTCTTGGACTGCAACTGATTTTGATTCATTTGGCCTTGATTCTTGTATTAGAATCACCAACATTAATTTCTCTGAACTGGAAATTGGTAAATTGCTGGTCTGCTTACGTTTGTCGCGTCCTTTTATGCTGGGGTTGTTCTAAATACAAAATAAAAAAAACCTCGACACCACGCCGCCTCGACTTACGTTCAGGCCCCTCAAAAGACAGTTTCCCACGAAAGCGTTGAAGGGCCGCACAAACATTAAAAAGTTTCCAAATGTTATCTCGCCGCGGCGAGATACCATTTCGGCGCGGCGAGATATACACCTGCAGGCACAAAAAGACACTAAGCAGTTTTGTTTTATAATCTTCCTTGTTTGGACATTTCTCGGTGGACAAAAACATCCGAAATATACGTTTTGTCACGGAAACTTTCAGGTTTAATTTGATACCTCACTTGAGAACATAACTGTGCAAGAAATAACGAGAGCGCAATCGGGGGAGTTGCCGCGGCGATATCAGATAAGTCGCCGCGGGGAGATATAATCAAGTGGCCATTCTACACTTCCGTAGTCCCCGACCAGATCAAGCCATCATGGAATGTTTTATTCGTATTTGCCCCTTTTCAAAATCTTCCAAATTGAAACCGAGTTTTAGATCTTAAAACCGAAGCACGCGCGCGATTCACTACGATTACGACTATACGAAGTACAGCTTCGCAATACCCATGCCGCATTGCCCCGATCCTGAATCAGATCGTATCCCAAATCAGAACCACGACCCACCCCCTCCCTTATCGACATGCAGCACACAACGTGCACCGAGCCATTCGAATTGGGGCTGTATTCGAACTGGGAAGTGGGAACCTATGACCTAGGCTTCCTTGGGTGGAATCAGAATCACCATAGAGCTAGGACCCAAGGAGTTCGAACTCCAAGACTTCAAAAGTAAAAGGATGGTCGTCGGATTCGAAAGCAACAATAGAAAGCACTTGGCAGCCAGCTTGTTCAGTTGCTCACCACGCTAATCTCTACACAATAGAGATCCACGCTCACTAATGCTATAGAAGAAAGAGTTTGCTTTGCTTTGTAGACAGTACCATGGTAAATACGCATGCGCAGTTGTCATACATCGCCAAAAATGAATGATTTTGAAGTGTTTGTTCGCAGTTGGATGATACTGTATGTGGTCAACATCACTAAAACAATTATTTCTTGACGAACAAATGCTCTATACCTTTAGTATGAAAACTTGTGAAATTTTCCAAAAAAACACATTTCATAAATGATATTGCCAATTAAAATGTCTGAAAAGACACGATAACTTATCTGGAAAACATCAAATTTCAGGGACAGATAGCGCTTTCGGGGACTAACAACAGCACATCAATAACTTGAATTCATAACTCACATCTAACAACGCAGTTAAAAGATATTTTGTCGTATATATTTTTCCAAAAAGAGCAGCGACGTGGCATGACTTATTATGCAGCATATAGGGAGGCTGTTGGTTACCAACTAAAAAGGCGGCGACGATCATCGTGTTCGAAGCCCGCTTGCACTCACGCAATGAATGGTCCAGGCGGTCACAGTGCTTTAGCTATGGACATTCCCGAGGGATTGGAATGTTAATGTTCAAACTGTAAATCGTCAAAGAGTTCTGATTCCTTGGGTCCTAGCTCTATGGTATCGCACAGCTTAACATAACCGAGTGCCAGGTGATGTCTCGAGAAGAATAATCTTCTGTTAAAATCTGTTTTATTTCATCATCAAATAACATGGGGAATCAACCATATAGAAGTGAAACAAAGAACATGTACAGCATGAATCGAGTGTAAACTGGAAAAAATATCAAATATGTGTTCCCACCTCTTCTCTCAAAAGTAGAAATAATTCAGCACATGTGCTGATCCTACTACGCAAGGCTACCAAATATTGGAGAAAATACGATCACCAATCATGTTTATTTGAAGACTTAAAAAGAACAATGTCAACAAAATATGAACAGATGTTTTTATAACATCTCAGCATATCTTAATAAAATTCAAACTGGGCATAATAGTTTTATATTGCACATAATGGACAACTGACGCCGAGGGCCTCCGTACTCTTATTTGTTGTGCACATTAAAACAAGAAAAGGATCACATGCTCTAAACTGGAAATTTGTCAATAGAGTACCTTGGTTATGAATAACCCCAAACCTTCACCCTATTACCTTCACCCTATTACCTTCACCCTATTACCTTGTACCTTCACCCTAATATTACCTTCACCCTATTACCTTCACCCTATTATAGACCACATTCATTTCCCAAGGTTTTTACCTTAAAAAATGAATATCTATAGTATATCAACTATAGTATAGCATATCTATAGTATATCTAACTATAACATAACTGATTTGTAGAAAGGAATTTATAACAATACACTGAAACCCCCCCCCCCCCCAAAAAAAAAAAACCATGAGAAGGTATTAGGCCGCAACCACAAAATTCAACACAATCGTTTTCACACAATTCAAAATGTACAAATTAATTTTCATAATTTCAGTGTTGTGTACATATGTTTCCTAATGTATGTTGAATAATGTTGATTGGGATCTTACTGTAGTAATTTGGATTTATAGCAGGGTATTCAACTACAAGAAATTATAATTTAAACCCAATCTACCATAATAGTGGTACAAACTGTATGACATTTCAGTAACAGGTTTGTATCTGTATTTATCATATGAACATATGATAAATACTATGTATTATATAACCAACATACAGATCCTTGTCATTTGATTGGTGGAATTCACATCAAGTGACATTCATTATTGCTCCCATTCACGCCGGGGCTCAAAAAGTCCCATTCGCCCATGGGAATGGGAAATACTTTTGAACAGTTAGGATCGATGCTTGTTCCATGACGCGGTGTTTGTGTGCAAATGCATGCTGGTGTGCGCGTTCAGCGTTGTGTGTAGCGCATATTGTTCCAAAGAGCCAGCGCTACAGAGTTGGGTTCAAACTTTTTCCCGAAGGGGTGGTTTGGAAGAGAGAAACACATTTTCCACAAATTTTGTATTGAAATAAAAGATCAATATATCACAAGAATGTATACGTCAGTTATATAAAACAAATATTGAGTGGCCTTAAATTGTGAAATGGGAGGAATATATCGCTCGGTAAATCTGGACTTTTCCAGTTCACTCGGCTTTGCCTCTTTGTTCACCCCCAAAACCCCCAAACAGATATTCAATACAAGTACTTACAATACAGGCAATAAATACTCGGCAAAATATATACTATACAAACACTTTTCTTTTTCACATACTGTACATGTACCTTGCTTTTTAAGGAATTTGACAACATTACTTTGGAATACAGTTTGAACAATTCATGTATTAGCAGATAATTCAGAATCCAGATGAAATATGGAGGCAGAGCTACATTGTATTCAGCATTAAGTTCATGCAAACCACATCCACACACTGCTCTCAATAATCTGGGCAAGTTGAGCATTAAGAAACTCAAGACCAAGACTTGTGTCATATGGTTATAAGTAATAAGACATGAAATGGTCTCACCAATGCACCAAAGAAGCCAGAGTTGTTATCATGTCATCACAAGTCATCACAAGTGACAGGACAAACACAAGTCACATCTAAGGATGTGACCTTGCATTTAATTTTGTAAACGTTCAAGAATATTTCAAGAACCATTTAAACGTATAGCCATTCACAAAGGCCGACGCACGTTCATTATGTCTGCAGACCGGCGTCATTGACATGATAAATCAACAATGGCAGTCAAAGCCTTAAGCTTTTGAAAAACTTAACAAGGCCTACGTATACCCCAAATGTGTAATCAAGTATTGCACTGCTTCTCAGGTTTTGTAAATTAAATAGGTTTGAAAACATCATTAATAACTTACGCTATGTATGTTAAACGCATGTTAAACATCATGTGAATGTAGGTCCCTTTTTTACAATTCAGGTTTCGTTTAATCGTTTTGCAATATTTGTAAACGGATTTTGAATTGTTTTCGTTTATAATCATTTAAACGTGTAAATGTCACTTCCCTAGTCACGTACATCACATGTCCAGTCTCAAGTAAAGTGACAAACTATTCAAATGAACTTTGAGACATACATTCTTCTTGTCATTGATCACCTCGTATTACTTGTGATTTGACTTGGGCTTTGACTTGAAGATAACTCAATTACAACTCTGACAAAAGAATGAAAACTATTTCCAATATTACCTTTTTGCCTGATAAAAGAAAACAAAATAAGATTTTTAAATAAATATATACATTGTTATATTCTGCTTTCCATAGAAACTGCCATTTGGACAGCATTTTGGGCAATAAATATAGTACTTTAAATAACACTCTAATATTATTATGGAGGGTTTTTTAGACACAATGTGGAGCAGTGTCTACAGGACCAATGGTATGTGCTCGTATTGACTTGTCAACAGGTACCTGTCTATCTCTGGATAACAATGGGGATCCAGATCCTGGAGATGAGGTATCAGACTCCCTAGGAGGCAGTAACTCTCGACTTCTACAGGATAGTTTATCTGAAACAGTCTCCAGCAAATCTCCCACTGTGTCTAAGCTCTCCTGTAGCTCAGTGGGCATAGTTGGCATGTTTGATGTATGATAAGATGGTAGTTCAATGTCACTGTTATCTAGCTCTTCCTGATTCAAGCATTCAAGTTCATCTACAGAACCAGACAGTTCTGTCATGTCAGTCCTCTCATCATGATACAGTCTATCAGCTGATGGGAGTTCAGGGTCCAGATCCAAGGAAGAGTCAGTACCCAATCTAGGTGAGTCTGCCATGGCTTGATCTAGTAGTGAGTCCGATTCCTTGGGTTCCTCCATATCTAGCTCAGATCCATCATGGCTGACGGGTGTGGCTGGCCTATCAGCGGTCTCTGTGCTGGGTGGTAGCTCCACTGGTGCACGGTGTTCACATGTCAATGTATCATGCCAGTGATGACCATCATCCGTAGATAGGGGTGATTCCATACTGCCTGAATGCACACATGCTGTATCATCACGTGCTTGATGCATCAATTCACCAATGTCATCCACCTGATATGATCCACAAAGAAGCATTCAGGCTTTTTACTTTTGATAAGATTCAAATACAATAAGGAACTAAGGTTGTGACACTGCTACAGCTGCTTTTGTAATGAACTTTCATTTTAGAGATACAGTTCTAAATAGTTAAAGTTTGGCTCACAATCACAATGTGTTATCCACCTATTTGAACTCATAATGTCTGAAAAGTCCTCCAAGTTTGTGCAGCTGCTACACTAGTCAGTGGACTTGTGGGGGCCCATATGTATTATAGGGGTAGGATATTTGAAACTCACCTATACAGGTTGTATCATAAAAAGGTTATCCAAAAATAATGGGTTAATATGTAAACGTTAGCAACTTGACCACTGTCAAAGTGGCTCCATCTTTAAAGGGTAGTTCATTAGCTCATGGATGACCGAGCACCATTGATTGCAAAACAAAGGCCAATAAACCTCTTTTTCCAAGTTGTTTTTATTAGTGGTGAGTTAAGCTGTCAGAAAAATGTGTTCATCTTCGATTTCGCTAGTAAAGTTTTGTCGCACCATGACCAATTCCATTTGTTTTTCATTGATTTGTCGATCTCCTTCGGATCGGCAGTTCTGCGCTCAATGAACTTGATGGAGGTCACCATGATTGATATCGCATACAACTACACGTACACACAAAGTCACATGACCACCGTACCGTGCTGCAGATTCGTGAATAGAAAGATCACACACGGTATCTTTTGTACACTGACCTATGAAACGCAATGACTTCATTAAATTTGGCTATGGGAAGGGCAGCCCTAGCGTGTGTAGTACCTATGCGTAAACTATCACGTTGAGTGCAATGAGTAATGCTTCTTACCTACCTAACGCTAGGTGTGCTCTTCCCCATCATAAACGGAGAGCTGGATAGTGTTTTATCAAAATTTTGGGAACAAATCCCCTGATTGCCTTAAAGGGAATATACAACATTTGCAAACATCGAAAAATAAAACTACCAAGTTTTTGCGAAATACCTTAATAGGATGTTGGTAAATGTCAGTCTAAAGCATCCTGTAAAATTATGGCACCTGGTATACTGTCATTTTCAAGAAAAGTGGTATTTTTGTATCAATTTCCAACGCTGATCGGCCGATCAGCGTTGGAAACAACTGGCTTTTTTTTCAAATACTGGCCCCAATTGACCATTGCACTTGTTTGCAATCGATTACAAACCTATGAACGGGTACGAGCCAGCTAGACTGGTTCCCTGACCTTACAATTCCCAAATGTATGTAAACTGCTCTGTTTCTTCTTATATGGAGTCAGGGAACCAGACTACAGGAAAATGATCGTTTTTCTTGGTTTTTATAGCATTTTCGAACCCAAAACCTCCAAAAAGTCAGTGTAACTATATTTGCTTTATATTTCCAACCCCCCAATTCCATCCATTTCTGAAAATTACAGCAAAAGCAAATGATGTATATTCCCTTTAAAGCATAGTATCAACGACCCTGATCACAGAATGGCTATTCTTAAGTTTCGCTAGATCAGACTAAGGCCCATTGGCGCCTTGCCAAATGGGGCCAATTTTACATTTAATCAAAATTGTGAGAACAAGAACGAAACCAGTATCATTTGATAGCTTGGAACTTGTAGATTATGCAGATAGAACTTAAGAATGATTTTAGATCAGACTAATTAATTTAAGAACAGCCCTTAAAAGCATGGAGGGTGGGCGTGGCCATCACCCCCTCCTTTTCCTTTTCGCTGATACCGTTGCAACGGTAGTGAAAGTGAAACTAGTTTGTATTGATGCCTTAACACTCATGGAATATAAAAAAATATACTTTAAAAGTGGTTTTAGTTCAGACTAATTAACTTAAGAGCGGTGGGAAAAGTGCTGAGGGGGCGGGGCCTCAACCCCCACTAAGTGCATTTTGGCTCCTATCGTCTCAAGGCATTTGTTAAATCCTGCCAAGTTTCTTTGATAGTTGTTCTGATGTCTTGCGGTTATTTGGACACCGAGTTTATAACTAGAACGGCGAAGCCGCCATGGCTCGCTGTCCAAGGCAGAAAGGGAGGCTGAAGGTAGGGTTGGGGATGGGCATGATGGAAGGGGATCAGGATTCTTGTTGATGTGCCTAGGTGTAGGGGTCAGTTTTTAAATGTCAACATAAAAAGTCAACAGATTACCTAATAAATACATGTGTATATAGGTTAGCTGTCACTGTATTATGGGGGAGTTTTCCATTGTTAGGGTAATTAGGACCCAGTTGTGGATTTTTGCAGCCCCAACAGTGTTTTCTGCTCCCCATACTTGTATTACCATGGGAAAAATCTTGTGTAGTCGCCACAAATGCAGAACAAGAATGGGTATACATGTACATGTAGACACAGCACCATCACCACCTCCCCCAAACCTTACCCCATCCAAAAACCTTACCCCATCCCCAACCCGCCCCCTCCCCCTCCCAATCCCCTACCCACACCCATTCCATCCTCCCCTAACCATCCCCACCCTATCACCTACACATCCCAACCCCACCCAAACTCCAATCCCTATCTCCTTCCCCCTCCCCTGACCCGTACCCTCCCCTACCCCAACCCCCTACACCCACCTACCCTATCTTCCCCTATCTGTCCTTACCCACCCTACACATCCCCACCCTAACCCTTACTCAAATTCCAATATCCCGCCCACCCCATTCCCCCACCCATACATCCCCACCTGACCCCATGCAACCCCTACTCTGATCCCTATATATTGCCCCCTCCCCTTATCCAACCCCTACAACAACCCATCCCTACACATCCCCAACCCAACCCCTACTCCGATCCTATATCCCGCCCCCTGCCCAACCCCCTCCTAACCCAACCCCTACATCCATGCCCATCCTCTCCCTACCTGTCCCACCCCACCCCTACAAGTTCCAACCCCTTTCCCCACCCCACCCCAACCCACCCACCCCACCCATCCTAGCTCCCCTACTCATCCTACTCACACAAACCCTAACTCCAACCCCTATCCCCCAACCCACCCCACCCTCCCCTACCCCATCCCTACTCCAATCCCATAACACTAAAAGATCAAACCAGAAGCTCATGCACATCCCCAAAATGCATAGTGTACATGTACATGTTATACCGGTATACACACATGTACATGTTATACCAGTATACATGTACATGTAACAATTTAAAACTTTAACATTTCCTTGAATTAAAGTTCCTCAATAAAATCATAAAATTTACTGCAATGATATGAACCTAACTGAAGTTATAGGCCTAGAGATGATACCTGACAACTGCATTTAATTTTTTTCCCCAAGTTAACTAAAACCAAAAACTTCAACATTTTTATCTGAACGCGGACGGCCGGACAGACGGACGGACGGACGGACGGACAGACGGACGGAAATCGGTATTACATAGGCTCGCATCTGCTTCGCAGCTCGCCAAAAATAGGGCATAACTTAGTCACAAAATGTCCATTTTCCAACACAGGTGGGCCTATTGTTAACTTTTCCCATTGAAAAGTACATTCACATGAAAGCGTGCATGACAGTGCCGACTAACAGATCGAATTGAAACTGTGCAAATGTACTACAAAATTTAAATTGGGAAAATGAAACCATTTTAATTGATGCCTTGGCACTAGTGGGACATAAAAATAGGACTTAAGAGTTCCTTTTGGTCAGACTAATTAACTTGAGAGGGGCGCGAACAGCACAGAGGAGGCGGGGCTGCAACCCCCCTCCGTGTACATTTTGGCGACTTATTATGCAGTTATTTAAATCTGCCAAGTTTCTCTGATAGTTGTTCTGATGTCTTGCGGTTATTTTGACACCAAGTTTATGAATATAGGGCATACCTTCGTCACAAAATTTTCAAATACCAAAACAGGTATAGGCTTAAATGTTAACTTTTCCATTACATGCTCCATAACGTACATCGGAGGGCGCATGAGAGTGCCGACTTTAAATGACCACGACAACAAAGCATTTCAATAGGTTGAATTGACACTTCACAGATGTACTACTGATATTCCGTTGTCCATTAAAATAATTTCCGATGTGGGAAGAGCATATCAGTTATCTGTTGCCCTGGGATAGGTCAATTAACTTTGTTTACCTTATCATTTTTATTCTTCAAAACTTCTGATTTATGATCTTTGCACGGAATCAAAGTTGCCAAAGCGCTTTACCCAACCATGAAACATTATTTCTAGTTCACGATAACCAGCCACATTTTGTAACCCTTTTACCAGACTCACTGGTGCACTGTTGTAATGTTTGTCCGGCGTGCCTCTTATAATTTATACATGTATGTTCTGTTGCGCCTGCGTCACATGAAAATGAAAACAGGGTACATAGAGATCAGATGCTCTAAATAACAAAATCGTTTTGGGTCTGAATTCATGAGATCCTGTAGAACAATAGTAAAAAATTAATTTCTGTTTCATTATTTAGACTTGGGACATGGGACATGAAAAGTTGGCATTTTGAAGTAACAGTGGAAAATAGGTAGCGGGCGAGGGGAAACCTCGTCACTTAGAATATGACAGCTACAGATCTTAGATATCATTGGTGGCTAAGCATTCAACAATTCCTCCTTCATTTGCTGTCTGATTGGCCAATCATGTAAACAAAGATGTAGCACTGAACGCTAGCATGAATTCAATCTGGATGTAATGATTCCACATAGACACTCACCTGTAGCAACTGATGAGTAGCATCTTTTCCATGTCTCAGTGCCACCATATCGTTTTTATCCTCATCATTGCCAAGATGTAAGCTGCTCTGACAGTGACTGGGAGAACTCTGTGTACTGGAATCCAATGATTCCGGTAAACTGGTACCACTCTCCAATCCTGCTAGGTTTGAATCATCACTGGCATTGGATGCTTGGCGGGGAACCAGTGAGGACTGACCAGCCATCATGTTCTTGACCTCACTGGCTACAAAGGCAGCATTTCTTCCTGCAAAGGGAAATACATGTAACATGAAATGTTTTCAACAAAAGATTCAAATCATGAACTTGGTTAAAGCTACAGTCCATCATTTCCAGCTATCCAAAAAGTGACTGACATAATTATTGTTAAAAAACATACTTGGTTAAAATATAGTAAGGGGACTAAACTCCCTGTGAAATTATTCTTTCTGGCATGCTGTCATTTTGAAGAAATCAACGAAAGAAGGCCTTTCCAATTTTCGTTTTTTTTTTATACAGCGAAGCACGCGCAAGTGTTGACACGACGCACACGCGCGCCCTCTATAATTCATCGGATCAGTGCGCGACATCGTGTAGCTGCATTCGGTCTTGGAGTCGGACACTGAATTCAGGCCCAATTCAAAACATGATTCAGCAACTTTTGATATGAAATCGCGATCCCAGAATGTTGTTTTCTCGAAAAATACAGCTGAAGCTGAGCTGAAACTTCATCAGCTTAGTTGTTTATCACCCTTCTTTAGATTTTGAGAACGTTTGTTGCTTCATACGAACAAAATGCCTAGTTACAAATGATGGACTATACCTTTAAATGCTGTTCTTCAATAATCAATAGCAAAAACAACAAACTCAAATACAGCTGAAAGCTGAGATACAATTCAAGAACTTTGACATGTTTTAAGGATGGGAATCAATGTTTTATTTTGTATGCATTTAGAGAATCAATCAGGTACTCTTTAGACATTTTAACCAACACTATTTAAACCAACACTGTCACCTACCCCAATATGTATGCATTACATTTTGTACATGACCTTGGCCTGTGGCCAGACACAATGAATCGGATGCAATTTGTAGAATAGTTGCCCATCATTAACACATTAGACTTTTTGGGTAAAACTAACACAGACAATTGACAACCAAGTCCAGTGTGAAACTACCCAAATTGCCAAGTGTCGACTGTTGATTGTAAGTTTTACGACCCACAGTGGTAAGTTTTACGGGGCCAACTGGGTTGCAGAAGAATAACATTGTTAATTTTACACCACTGCTAAAGTCACATGTGGACGGACATTGCTACGTGTATGTAATAGTAATGTTGTGATTTTCCATATGGGTCACCAAGTTGGGCTATTTTTAGTTCGGTTCGGTGGTTCAGCTGCAGCACTAGCGGTTCCCCTTTTTGTCAATTAATGTCTTTGTTCAAGGGGCACTGCTCAGAAGCCATAAACCTGTATATGCCATATGGCCAGAAGTCACGATGCTAGCAACATTAGCAATGCTTTAAACCTGCAACATAGCAAACGGGGATCACTTAAAAAGCTGGATAGCTCAGTTGGTAGAGCAATGGAACAGCACTCTAGAGGTCACAGGTTCAAACCTCAGACAATATCTTTGTTAAACTTTGAAAAAATTATTATGGTGCACCTAGTCAATTTCCTTTTGTGGTTTTTTTTTTAATGGAATGTCAACAATCACTCGCGGTGACTTTTTTACAAAATTTAGTCAAATGTGACACAGCTTAAAATACTTCTAATGCATGTTATATTAAATAGATTAATAGGCATCCTTGATTCTTTGTGATATAAAAGTGGAAGGCAGATCACATTATTTTGTTCTTCATTTTGTAACGTTTTAACTTGTAAATGTCTCATTCTTAACATGTTCTTGTCACAATTTTGAGTTTTATAGTTGGTTTCCTTTTTTTAAGTTCATATTACTTTGCTGAACTATTTTGTTGAATACATCTTCCTTTATTGCCACTCAAGTCACGGACTCATCCCTCCAACCTCTCTATTTGTTGTTATCTCCATTAAGACAACAGCCTGAGACTCAGGCCCAATATAGCATTTGTCCAGAATGGCTGACATCTTACCAGGAGGTAGATTCCACAGTCCAGATATCTCAAGCGTCTTCAACTTCTTCTCTAGCTCTGCCACACGATTACCAAGTATTCTGCCATCAAAATCAGATGAAGAAAGATGTTTACAAGTCAGTCCATGCAATCATCAAAACGTTACATCTTCAGCCAACAAAAAAGTATTCATATATATATAAATACAGCCATGTGGTTGCGAAGGCCTATTTCTTAAGGTTACATAATTTTGAATGAAACAACATGCACAGAGACATGCTGATGTTCGCGGGGGAAATCTTTGAAAATCAATTTCTCCCGTTTGGAAGACCGTATCTTCATGCAACTTTCAGGGTTTGTTTCCCTTATAATGATCCAACTATGTGCTAAAATCGTTTTGATATGTTCATGACTTTTCATTAAAATTGGAAAAATAGGCCAGGTTACGTGCATTTTTAAAAGTTGTAACACGGGTGTTAGCAATATCTGTCAATCTTTTCAAACCTCACGAATATTAATAAGGTTCCTATCCATTATGGTGTGCAGTAAAAATGTGCAGTATCGCCTCCTTCACAAGTTATTAATTAATAAGTATCACCCTTTTTGCCGGCTGCCATTGGTCGTTATCTTCAAGTAAACTTGAATCCTCGATCCTGATTGGTCTATCCATGGCAACAAGCCGTACTACATATAACCATGTAGCACAGCCTCGGTCCATACTACACTCCGCGTATTGTCAGACGTCTATGTCAGACGCACTACACTATTCCGTGTTCCACTCGCACCCGCGGGATAACTTATAATACCGAGACCCACGCCAAGAAATGCTAATAAATATGCTAATATGCTTCGTCATCGTTGCCCCAAAATCAGCCAACCTGAAAACCATGCATGTGAGTTTGGTCCGCAAAAAATCTTCGTTGAAATTGTCCTTCAAGGTGTAACACCAGCGTTTGCATCAACAGATTAAGCTGAAATTCGCAATATGCTTAGATGATATTAGTGTTCAACTACTCGTGAAATAACAAGTTGTGGGGATTCCTAGAAATTGAGATAAATACATATATTTGGGGACGTTTTCGAACGATTTCTTCCCGACTTGAAGGTCAGCTTTTCCCAGTAACCAGTATTGATGTTTCGGCATCACTGACGGCGATTTTTTCACTGACATGAGGTTTAGAATTTCTTCTTCCGTTATATTTTAACATTTCAATCATACTGAGCATATTTTCTGAGAAACACAACGTTCAAAATTCCATGTTTTTGGAGGTGCATGAATTTCACTCCTCTGTCTGTAGCGTCCAAGTACGTAATTGGATTAACTTTGTCTAACAACAGCAACACTAACGCCTTTGCAACCACATGGCTGTATATATATATAAGATGGCAGTGGATGTAATGCTAATGCAAAGTAACAGAATGAGGAATCTACAAGGTGAAAAACAATTATATTTTTACAAATATACGAGACTCAACTGCAGTTGAGTAAATAAAATTAAACTCCATTGTGATAAAAGTCATATCAGTTTTTAGGCAGGTATGTGTACCTTGCTGCAATTTTTGGATATTAACCTTCAAACGTCCAAGAGACTTAACCAACACAACAGAGAAAGTTACTAAAAAAAATATTTTTGCGGGGGTTACATCTCACCAATGACTTGGAGTTGGTACCAAAAAATTCACATGTGTTCATAAGAACCACAGAAGAATGTTTTCAAAAAGTTTCATCCAAACTTGAGACCAATTTGGCAGAGAATGACGCTATTGCAGTGTGACTTACTTGTTTGTATTTCGATGATGGTTGACTGCCATATTCTTATCATGTATGGTTTCTAGGAGTGCTGTAGCCAGGGACTGCAGGTCAGCAACAGATGAAGGTGTTGCAGCAATACCACCAGACTTACCCTCAGCGAGTAATTGCTCAACTAAACAAAGATTCAAACTTGTTACTACATGTATTAACAATGATACATCCTCATTGCGTAAATGTAACACGCTCTAAACAGGAGTCCACAGTGGTAAAATTGGTTTTCAAAGTCAAGTCCTTTTATGAAAAAGGCACAAATAAGCTTCTATTTGGCATATTATGGAACATTCTAGGACAAATTTGTTGTTAGCATGCATCATTCTGTCCATTTTCATTGAGCTTGAAAGTTGCACTGGGTAAAACCAAGAAACTAGGAAATAAACTGCAACAATTCATGAAAAGTTAAAAGGATGCACATCTCTTCAGTCTTTAAAAAAAAACCACTTAAATGTAGTATGAAATATGAACCACAAGGTGTCTCTTAAAAAAAACCACCCTTCTTTAAATGCATATTATCAAAAATCTACTTGATATTTAAGAAAACGCTCCAGAAAAAGTTCAGGATGTCCTCTTCTAATGATATTAAGTTAATTATGTCATTACCATAAATGACTGACAAGGCCTCTATGAAAGGGGTCAAAATTAGCACGGTGACAAATTAGTACACAATGAATAAGTGATGACAGGGACAATATTAGGTGCTTTATTTAAGGAATGAAATGAGACAACCTTCTGATCATTCAATCTTTTAATTCATTTTGGTGGTAGTTACAGGATAACTTTATGGTCCTGTGCCCTCAACGTGACCGCCATTTCTGTAAATGTACAGCTCATATCCTCGCCTGGTATCTCTGACAACACATCTTATCATTCCTTCCAGGGCTTGATTTACCCGGGTGCACGTAGCTTTTTTACTGAGCATGCACGACGTGCATGTAACTTTTTTAGCCACCAAAATACTCATTTCATGCATGTATTTACCAGTGAGTGAGAATAAGTTTGTTGAATACTTGACCAGATAGTGTACAAACGTGTTATTTCTTTTATAAATCCATAAATTATTCCTCGCACCATGCTAGCACAGTCGCAGCAGATTCAGAGTACGGGGTAAAATTCAAGATCTCGACGTACGTCCTGCAACCTCCTCCGATCATGCATGTGATTTACCACGTGATACATGCTGCGGATAATTTGGTATCGCACTGACGCTCCGGGCATTCCTTATGTCCGGATCGTAAGTGCGTTCCAAATTATTAGCTGCGTTTATCACGTGGTTTCTTATTGGCCAATCTGACGCCGCCTATCATATAAGCAGACGGGTAGCTAGGAGGGCTCCGATATTTTGCACGCAAATGTCCAGGGTCATTTTGTCAGGGTCACTTGTCAGGTTAAAATCTAATTTCTACACGTTCGTATGGGTCTTCATCGATGGCAAATTTCGTCGAAATGACACATCCTGAACACGTGGGAAGGCAACTTTTGATTTCTAGGCGAGTACTGAACATATTTACGAAATTATGTATGGCGGATCGATTTCGCCCTGTTTGAAATGCCACAACAGTGTGGCTTTGCCACGTTCACGGGTCTATATAGGCTTGAGCATGATAGAGTAAAAAAAGGCTATGTACTGTACTGTCTGTCGAAAGTTCGATAAATTTCAAAGAGAAAGAATGCCTTCAGAGAAGCAGACGGTGTAAGTCAATTATGGTGCATGTGGGTTTTTCTTGGTGCATGTAGGTTTTTTGGTCTACATGCACCAGTGCATGCCACTTTTATTTTGTAAATGGAGCCCTGATTCCTTCGTCTTGGCGCTGATTCAGCTCATCCATTATCTTGGTTCTTAACTCCTGAATGTTACCTGGGCATGGTGAAAACCTTGTCTTTCAAGTGACCCCACAGTGCTGATTTTGACCCCTTTCACATGAGCTATGATGGTCAGTCATTTGTGGCAATGACATTATTGAGCAAACATGACATTGTAATACCAATGGATAGAGGATATCCTGTATAACTGTTAATTAAGCAAAATAAAGAAAAGAAAAAAAAAAATCAAATTTTGACATTTTTCATTCTTCATTTGCCACATCAGACTCATTTTGCAGAGTGAATCACATTATTGTTGAAACAACATATTGATAGACTTTGTTTAACGTTCATGATATTGTTTTGAACAACACTCATATAGTTTGGTGTCATTTGTCTCAGTGGAAAATCATGTCAGAGGAATGTCTTCTTCAACATTTTACCTCCATCTTTTTAACATTTAGTTTCATCAAATTTACCAGTGGGTCTTCTAAGAAGACATCATCACAATGAGAAGTTGTCAATCTATAATACCTTGCTTAGGAGATACAAGAAGTCCTCCACTGCTGGTTGAGCCTAACTTGATAGAATGTTTGCCTCTTCGCCTTTCAATTGCTGCCTGCAAGAGAAAATACCACATAGAACCATTTATAAGCCAACCGGTAAGGAAAGCAAGCATTCTAGTTGTATCACAGTGAACAAATCTGAATTTTATAGTAGATTTGTATGTCTTGTACAGGTGCAATATAACTATTGCAACATGAATATATCCAGGCCAGCCCAGATCTATGGATGTACATACGTGTGCATAAGGCTGACTGGACTAGATAAGAATGCTTGTACCTTGTATTTAGCAACAGCTGCCTGAGCTACACTCTTCTCTTCCTGTGCTTGCTTTAATCTCTCCTTCAAATACCTGTATGTTTACATAAAGCATAACACATGATGTTACATACTAACAAAAAACAATCACTATAATTAAGCTCACAAGTAAAATTATAACTCATTCATCTTGCTACTTTCAGCAACAACATTTGATAAGTAACTTGAAATTAAACATAATTTGAAAGCAGAGGTAAACACTTTAATTAACCCCAACTCCCTACTGTCTTTTACTAAGTACTGGACCAAGTCTGCTAAAATCCATTAAACACGCTGCTTCCAATGCATGCTTTGCTTTGGGGCCTCCTTGCCCAAGTCCATCATACTCCATCAATATTTAGTCAGACCGGGGGGGGGGGGGGGGGGGGGGGGGGATTTTGATGGAGCTGGGGATGTTAGGGTTAAGGAACAAAATCATCAATACCTTTCAAACTGAAAAATGATTATTCTACCCCTGTTCAAATTGGGTAATGTAATTTCTGATAGAGTATTCCATCTTACAGTAATGCTATTTTAACATAAGAAAACCTCTTCATTGTCTTAAGACTTATAACTTTTACCAATCCCAATGATCCTTTGAGTTGTGTTTGAGTCAAGTCGTTTGGTCAACAAGGTCAAGCACAGCATACATCATGCCACACATGGTCACAACAGGTACACTTTTACACTACAACAATAGGGAAGCAGTTTATTGTAGCAATCTGTAGAATGCAAAGAGTTTGTGTGGTACCCATTAGTCTCCAGATAACAACAGTTAACAATGCCAAGTTAAACCTCGGCTTTATCTCCAGCTTTGGCCTCGTCTTGTTCTCCAGAATTATTTCTATCAACGTCAAAACCAAACTGAAATATACAAAATGTTTTCCCTAGATATCATAGAAATATCTGTTCTTGAAAGAAGGACATAACGATTAGCCAGAGTTGTCCAATCTATTTGAAACTTGAAAAAGAAGGGGTAAAAAAAAAGAAGCCCCTTAGCAATATCCCATCTCATGCTCAAGAACAACTGTGTTATTCTCATGCACTTCACATTTTTTTCCAATTTTTGCAACTTTTTTTTTCTTTTGCGGACACATCATGCTACTGGGAAGTTACCAACACACACACACACAAGAGAGGAAATACCAAGCTGTGTGAGACTTTGTACAGTTTTTTTTTGCAATATGTAATGGCAATATGGGAAGTTAATAACTAGGAAATCAGCTATGTATCCTAGGAAAGGCTGCATGCCTGAGCACACCAAGTCATTAATCAAGGATATTGGATAACATACTTAGTCTCCATAGTCAGTGCATCAATATCCACTATTCTCTTCTCGTCTCCTCCCAGCACATAGTTGAGTTCCTGATTCAAACGGTCAGCTTTATCTCGGAAGTAACCTCTCTCTGTAACTAGCTCCGTTTGCTCATCAATCTTAGCCACAAGGTCTCGTTCTAATGCCTGCAGCTGTGTGGGTTCATATCAAAGAATGAATAGTCTATTATAACATTTCACCATTCGCCTTAATTTAGCCATTTTACATTGAGTGTATTTTTGATCATCAATAAAGCACTTGAAAAGAGCAAAAATGGTTCAGTTGAGAATTACTTCATGACATAAAGATGGCTGATAATAACACACTTTGTAACATGCATTTTCTAAGGACAACTCCAGATATGGTACATGGAGAGAACAGAAAAGTTTTGAATTTGTCCTTAAAATTGTGCAGAGAATTGATGGTGTGAATGTTGTGTGGTAAAGAAGTCCAGTATCGGGGACCAGAAACTGAGAAGGCCCTGTCCCCTGCTCTTTTGAATGTGCATGGAACTCTTAAGTTATGGCTGGAGCTGAGACCACTACATTTAAGTGTGTTAAGGTTGAGCGCCATCACGGGCGTCGCTAGAGGGGGTGTGGGGGAGGGGGTGTGGGGGGGGGTGTCACACCCCCCATTAGTCAGTTTTGTTGGCAAAATCATGGTGCTGTCGGCAAAGTAGAAAATAAAGAAGGAAGGGGACAGGAAAGAGAAAGAAGAAAAAATGGAGAATGTAAATAAACACCGCTGCTCAAAACCCTGCGAAGCTAAAATTTGGATCTGCAACCCATGACAAAAGAACATGATGCATTCTGTCATGTCGGAACATGCTGCCACGCAAGGGCGCTTCATATACGGTGGTTGACAGTGCAAAACACAAGCACGCGCTTGCTCGCAGACAGTTACGAATTGAGCTAATTCTTAGTGACGACTACAAAATCATGGATCAATCAAAGAGGGCAAATCTCGCAAAGAGAGTCAAGCTACATTACAGTGTGATGTTTACATTTGACGACTTTCGAATTGAACATAATCGAAAGAATCATCCGGAAATAATCAGCAGCAATAAACGAATAGGTTACGTTGTTGCCAATGCACCAAAAAACCCGTTCCAAGCCGCATGTAGGACGAAACTGTGTCAGATAACCGATAAGTCTCAACCACAGGCCACATCAATCACTCATTTAGCCGAAGAACAGAATCGTTCCATTTCTGAACAAAATCCAGCCATGCACAGATGTTACATACTAACAAAAAACAATCACTATAATTAAGCTCACAAGTAAAAATATAACACATTCATCTTGCTACTTTCAGCAACAACATTTGATAAGTAACTTGAAATTAAACATAATGCGAAAGCAGAGGTATACACTTTAATTAACCCCAACACATGATACTCCATTAATATTTAGTCACGCCAGGCCTTCTGGACCAATCCCCCCAAAATCCACTAAAATTGGGGGACGGATGTTGATGGAGTTGGGGTGGTTAGGACTAAGTTATAGCGAGGGCAGGACCACTATAGGACTTCAATGAGTCCAAGATAAACACACACCTGTCCATGCTGGAACGACTAACTGTTCCAGCTTAGGACAGTACAAATGTGGCTCAGGGCAGCCACCAGAAGCCTTCAGACGATGGTGTCCAGGTACAGGTGAATGACACTGGTACCCAATATCCTACCCACCTGTTCTCTTGCTGCTTCTAGCTGGTTGACTAGCTCTTCCCTCTCATGAGCTGGGAAGTGTCTGGTCCCTATTCCATCATCTCCTATTCTCTGTCTTGCTATATTCTCTCTCAAAAGCTGTTATCAATACAAACAAAACCAACATAGAAGTAATTAAAAAAAAAACCACTTGAACTACATGAAATTTCTAACTGAAATATCCCTTAACTAATATATTCAATAGTACAGCATGTTTGTAAACATGCTTGATATTACATTCAGTACTTAACATGTATGTGTATACATACTTGATACCCAAACATGAGAATTAACAGACCAATTCATTAAGCCCCATTCCATGATATTTTGACAAATGAGCCATGATTGCATAACCAAATCTCTGACACAAGTCTGATATGGGCACATTTGCATATGGTGTGCATTTGCATATGGAATGCATGGAGCATTCTATTTTCCCTCGGCTTTGCCTCGGGAAAAATAGAATGCTTCATGGATCACCTCGGGAGGCTAGTTTTACTACACCATTCGAAGCAGTCAATATTTGTATACTATACCTTGATATCTCCTTGTGCCTCCGCTAGATTCTGTTCCAAGTCTGCGATTTTGGCTTCTGCCTTCTTGTTTTGCTCCCTGGACTCCCGTAACACTTGAACCAAACTCTGTAAAGGAATTAAGATAACATCCAATTTGCTAAATCATCATTTATTCAAACAATTCAGGCTACATGTAGGGCTGTTCGGAATGTATCAAATATGCAAATATTGAATCATCAACTAAATATTCGAATAGCTTTTTCTGGTAAAATATTCGAAAGAAAAAAAATCTATGCACGAACTCGACTGCCAGTGATGTTATTTTAATCGTAAAACTGCATGCTCACTTCATTATTGTCAGATGCCCCTTTTTGTCAACAGTAACTTTTTGTTGACGCTGTTGACTGTTTCCATCCTTTCAGCAGGTTGAAGTCCTTGACAGTTATAAAATACTTACTGCAAAACACTCCAGCGCCCCATTGCATCCATCGCTGCACGCACATTGTAAGCGTTGCGTGCAACTTTTGATGGGCACAGCACGCAGTTGAAGCTGGCACATGTAAACTTAATCAGTGTGTTTTAAATATTGAGTCAAATGCAGTTTTGCATAATCAAATAATAATAATCAATAACTAAATTATTCGAAAATGGGCAGCCCTAGCTACATGTGCACACAACAAATGTGCTTGTTATATTGTGTCTTGGCTACTGTCATTTCATTGGTCTAGAAAGACCATGTGCTGTGTTGTGAGACCTTGGGCCCACTTTTTAGGGCCTCCATTGGGCCCCTGTTTTAGCCCCTTTGGGTGCTATGCGCCCATCGGTGTTAAAGCGCATATCACACATCACAGCAGTCAACAAAAATGTACACCTGACAAATAGTGCTATGCGACTAGTAAAATTCACTCATTGTGTAATAAACAGTTGCAACTACTCTCAACAAGTCATGATTATTTGCCATGGTTACCGTAGTTCGTAGGAAATACATGAACCTCTGATTAACCCTCCCTCTCTCGGCACATGTATCGAGAGATACCTGTCAAGGGAAACTTTTTAACAGTTTGTAAATTAGGCTCATATTGACAGGCTGTGGCAGTTTTGTCAACTGAAAGTACCATGCCTTGACTGACAGTAATAGATAGATATATGGTGGGTTTAAGTACTGCTGGGTGCCTGGCAATGATTGATTTAATTCAGTAACAATGAAGGCACAAAAGGTTCACTCATGCTTAATATCCCAGTAAAACAAAGGCACTATGCATAAGGTCTACAGAATTGCAGTAAACGTTGTTGCAGTATTCAAGGACACCCTGAATGCGGGGCCTGTATCATTGCATTCAACTGTGTGTTGCAATGCCCATTCAAAATCTCGCTGAGTGCAACTTTTAGTTTTGGGGTTTCAGGAGCTTCAGCGCTTGCGCTCCCGTTATTTCTTACACAGTGTTCCCAAGTGAGGTATCAAATGGAACCAGAAAGTTTCTGTGACAACTGTATATTTCAGATTTGTTCACCGAGAAATGTCCTAACAAGGATGATTATAAAAACTGCTTAGTTTCTTTTTGTGCCAAACAGACCACAGATGTGAGAAGAAAACAAATGAATGGGCCAAAATGCACATATGCAAGAGATTCATGCTTGCAAAGTTACTGCAGCATAATTACTGCCAGTATGGACTTTGTACCGGTAACAGATGTCAGCAACAGCAAAACAATTCTATAGGTATACATACCTACACGTCATTCAAACAATGACTGAAAGGTACCACCCAGTAGTTTATACTTTAACAATTGTTGACTGCTGTGATGTAGGATAAGGTGTTTTAACACCCGAGGGTTGCATATGCGCCCCGAATTGGGAGGGGGGGGGGTGTTATATCATGCTAAAAAGAAAAACAGATTTATAAGGCATTGTAACTCACTCTGCAAGAAATAAATCAAATCACTCTGGTGAAACCTTTTCATTACTGCAAGCTTTCTTGCCCGACATGAGGCTGAGCAGTTGCAGTTTGCAGTCGCGAGGCGCATGGCCAGGCCCTACATGCGCCCCTAATGCAGAAGAATTTATATGCCACACTGTGTATTTGAGGTAATTTAATATGCAATGCAGTGTATACGAAGTAAATAGTTATGTTTATATACAATGTGTGGTATACAATGGTAGAGACAGGGAATTTAATTGGTCGAGATCCACTGATCTCTATACACTGTATACACTGTAGGCATATGACTATAGAGATCAGTGTCAGTTCATATGCATTCAGACAATATCAGACATTCATTTGAAGTATCAATGGTGTACATTACATTACACATATAATCTGAATACATTGTACCTCACTTTGAGTGCTGGTTGGGTGCTGTGGCTATACATGTAGCACTGGATGCTGACATCAATGACATAATTGACTGGTAGTTTTATCAGCTGCAACCTTTGATTGAGATACCACTAATATTGGATTCAAACTGGCCAGCATGTGGTGAGATGTCAACGCTAGTAGAGATCGTGGATTGAATCTCATCTGAGTAAGCTTGTGAAGTTGTTCTCATTTAGCACTTGCAGATCACTGCGCACACAGATGCTACTATTATTCCATGTACATATATGTCAGTGAAAGATTCAATCTGAAATTACAGTTGACATCACCATGATGCAAAACACTATCAATATATCTATGATTATGAAATACTCACGTGGTTTCGTCTCTCAGATAATGGATCACTCTCATTCAATGACAACCCCAAAGCCTGTCAAGAACATTGGAATATAAATCACAATGAAAGAATCTGTCTGTACATGTACACGGTTCAAGTCTGTTATTAGAAAACTTGTGAATTTCACTTTATCTACCGAGTTTAATCTGATCTAATGATTCTAGTTATTGAAATTGCATAATCAGAACTAAATCATTGTTCTATTTTTGTAAGATATTTAACAACATATTTACAAAGTTAACAAATGGGTAATGCAACACTCTAATTTAATGGAACACACTACTTTCAGTTCTGAGCACAATACATGTATGTAGCTTTGGTGTTGTTTTTTAATTCTCATTTTGACCATAAACTATGTAAAATCCGGAGTATGCATAGTCCAATGTAGATGCTGCTTTAAACTTATTAAGTGTCTCAACAACTTTTTTGTCCATCAAACTTTCAATGCTATAGATTAATCAGGGCATGTGGTCCCTGTATACAGCAACTGAGGGATTATCTGAACAAAAGCTAGCACAAGGCCTTTGCCATTGAAGGGGCCTCCGTGATTGGTCTGTAGTCTAAGATTAACCCTAACCACCCTAAATCCATCAAAATCCATACCACTGTTTTGGAGTATTTCGGCAGATTCGGCATACCTCCATATTGAAAACAGGGGGATTTTGATGGATTCAGTATTGTAAGCCTAGTGGTACTGCGGGATTTTAATGGATTCAGGACACCTCCATACTGCGCAGTCACCAACACCAACGTTTTTGTGCATAACACAACAGGTGGATTTTGGTGGATTCAGGATACTTTCTAGTAAAAGTGCTGAAGGGGTTAGTGTTAAAGGATTGTTTGAATTTTTTTTGAACAAAGCTTAAGTCAAAATCAACTACAGTAAACTCCGGCTAAATCGACATCGTACAACTTGTCGCTCAAGTCGGCCGTCTGACTTAAGTCCCGATTGTCCGTAATGCATTTCCATTGAATTTTTTATTTTTAAGTCGGCTTTTATAAGTCGCCATTTCGCTCAAGTCGTCGTGTTACTCTTGGTCCTCTTTCCATAAAAATCATTACAAAATCCTTTGTGTAAGTCGGCATTCAACAAATCACGCACTGGCATCGACTTCCTGTACTGCGGTTGGCAAAGTGTCCAGTGAAAAGTGGTTTCGCACGGCCCGTGATCGCTGCATGCATCAGTGTCAAAAAAGGGTGTCCTACTGCATACCACTACGCGGCGCTATAGGAAATTTGCTGCATACATCGTATATGCATCGTGAGCATATCAATACCAGTATCCCCTCTAGGCTGTACGCATGCGCTCTGTCCATTTTGGGGGTCGTCTTATTGAATGCCTACTGCTGCATGCAGTCAATGCATGCGTGGTATATACCAGACCACGCACGCATTTAATTCGTTACTGTGCACGAAACGTGATGATTCAATTCGAGGATTAATTTGCTGGATTCAACTCAAGCATTAACCCTAACCCACCTCACTCCTCCAAAATCCTCCTGGCGGTTTTGGAGGATTCTAGAGGATTGAGGATGAATGGTGATTGAATCAAATGAGGATTCTGGAGGATTGAGGATGAATAGTGATTGAAGCACTAGAGGATTTTGGAGGATTGAGGATGAATGGTGATTGAAGCACTAGAGGATTTTGGAGGATTGAGGATGAATGCATTTTGAGGCAGGACTGTCTGATGATTTTGAAGGATTTGGCGTTGGTTATCCTTCATTTAAACACGAGCGCAAAGTTTTGGGATTAGGAGGATTTTGGAGGATTGAGGATGAATGCATTTTGAGGCAGGACTGTCTGACAATTTTGAAAAATTTAGGCGGAGTTGAAAAATTTTGGAGGATTTTGGAGGATTGAGGATGGTTGTAAGCAACAAGGGCCTAGGGGGTTAGGGTTAAGGAGATAATCCAGGGTAAATCGAAGCCATTTAGTGCAATGAATCATGTAAGCAAAAGACCATTCATGTAAGTCGGCATAATGACGACTTATAGCATATATCGGCATTCGCGTAAGTCGTCACAAATTCTTGGGTCCCGAGAGTGCCGGTTTAGCCAGAGTTTACTGTACATGTACATCTACTTCAGATTTTTTACATAGTTTATGAGAATTTACAAATATTTACATATTATTTGTATTTCTGAAATAGAAACGGACATTCTTGAAGGAGACAATCTTTGGCCCTTATGACCCCCCTCCCTTAAATCAAATTGTCTGGATAACCAACCCTTTCTCTGTCTGCACACTGTTTCTTGAGTGCTTGGTATTTCTCTCTCAGCTGTTCAGCCATCAGCCGGAAGGCATCTTTCTCTTGTCGTACATTGTCTAGTTCCTCTGCCAGGATAAGTAACGCATCCTTCTTAGCTTGCAGCTTGCGCTTGCAAAGATTGTACTGGAGGTAAAATGGAAAGACAGGTTAGCTTGAAAAACAGTACATGTGTGAGAATGCATTGGTAAAGGTTGCAATTGACAGAAGTAACAAAGAGGCTAATGACCCCTGTAATGACTGCAGGTTTTGACATTGACAAGGATTTCGTGAGCGATCTTGAAAGACAGGTCAATGATTAGTTTACATACATTCCTCTTCAGGATCACTCCACAGTTCTCTGTACCATAATCCTAATCCTTGACTTCTATTATTTGTTTTTCAAAAGGTTTCTAGTAAATTATGCTACGGAGTTAGGGTTATAGAAATACGTCCCATCATGCCGTTGTACATTGTATCCTGATTATGATTGGAAGTATATCTGTAGAAAATGCCCACAGACCAAGTGACCACAAAGATGGCTTATTGCAAAAACACCATCGTGAATCTAGATACATGTAATATGTATAACTGCCCAACCAACCAGAGTGCTTTTGTAGCTCGATTGGTTAAATGCTTGACTACCATGCCGAAGGTTCCGAGATCAAATCTGTGCTGGGTAGGCCTGTGCCAAACACTTTTTTCTTAAATAGGCCAAGTTTCATTTGTTCTTTGTAATCCGTTGCCTTGGAGAATTCATCATTATCTACCGGTGAGTACAGGCCTCTTAGAAGCTAAATGCTCCCGAGGATTGATGTACTGTGGGTGCAAAGGTGCTGGTACAGGAACACGAAAAGGTGCAAAAACTGGTGGTGCTGTAGTTGAAGAACTTGAAGTGCAAGTAAAAACAGCCGGAACCAATGTAGCGGAGGGACGTGTCTTCAGCCGGCTCCTGGAGATTTCCAGGGATTGCGCCGATACCACTACACATGGCTGGTAAAGAAGGCAGTCGTCTGTGAATAGGCGTATGTCTGATGTAACGTAGTCTGGCAGATCGTTTATAAAGACTAAAAATAAGAGGGGAATAAGAACATTTCCTTGTGGAACCCCTGACGATACATTAGACTGGTTACTCTACTTTCCCTCAAGGATGACTTACTGGGTACAGCTTGACAAGAAGTCCCTGGTCCAAGATAAACCAACATGATGTAGCTTCAGAAGGGGGCACTCGTGGGGAACTCTATCAAAAGCCTTGGAGAAGTCCAAAAGGATGACATCGATCTTTATCTCGAAGTCCCTGAGCATTGAAGTCGTCGATAATATAGGTACATGTACAATGTAGTTGTGAATCACATGAGTGCTTTTTTCTAAATCCAAACTTGCGGTCACGCCGGTCAGTCAACAAGTGATGAGAGTCCACGTGGTTATCAATCTAGCTATAAATGATGTGTTCCACGACTTTGCATACAACTGAAGTAAGTGACATGGGCCGGTAGTTTGCAGGTTTGGGATTGTTGTGTGTGATATTTCTTAAATATGGGTGTGACGTGGGCTGATCTCCATTCCTAAGGTATCTTCCCCTGTTGAAGAGAAGCTTGGAAGAGCAAAGTGAAAACTGGTGAGACTTCTGCTGCACCTTCTTTCAATAAGTAGGCAGGCAAGTTATCTGGACCACAAGCAGTGTGCGGCTTGATGTTGGAGAGGAGCTTCCGGCCGGACACCACCACATCTGATCTTGAAGGATGGCATATCAGGATGCGGCGGTTTGTCGTGTCCTCACAGTCACAAGTAAAAACAGAAACAAATTGGTCGTTCAGCAAGTTTGCCATAGTAGAACCATCACTGTGAAGGATGCCATCTGTCATCAAAGGGGCAACTCTGATGTTATTGCAATGCTTGCTCTTTATAAAAGACCTAATTCTTGATATACAAGGAGGAATGAAATGAAAGTTATAACTGATCCTTGGCCCAATCATGCCAATACGGCCATAGGTTTGTGCACAAACCATACAAACTGCCTGGTTGGTTTGTCGACGATCTACAGGCCCGGTTCCTATAAGGGAACAAAATCCACTTTTAAATTATTTGACCTACCAAACTAGTTGGCAACATTAAGAACATGCAGGTATGTCATAGATAAAAGGTAGTCCGAGTATTAAACAGACATGGACTGGCGATAGTAGGGTCCAAGCTAATCCGTATATGCTGAGCAACACAATTCTGTCATTGACCCAAAAACCCAACATTGCCGAACATAAGATTTCACCCTCACAATGGCCTACAAATTACTAAATACGCAACCTGAGGTACAAGTAGACATCGATGATTAAGATGGTTGTACTGAAGTTTACTTACGATCCGGATGAAAAGTGAAATTTCCCGTTCAATTCTGAGAGCTCCCCCCGCGATTGTGAGCATGTTAAATTTCTGACTCGTGTTAACCCTTACTCTCTGAGGGTAGTTTACTGCATGTCAGTTGGTTATGCCAATGCCCTCCAGCTGCAGTTATTTGGCAGATAACAAGTCTTAGCAGTGAAGGCTCCAATTGGCAGGAGTTGGAGGCCCTGGAGGGTGCCTGATACTGACCAGCTGGGGGCACTCACTTTGTTATCAGAGGACTCTCATTGTTCTCTGTGGCATGTATTGGAGTGCCTGTCCAGTTACCCTTGAAATGACATGGCAGATATTGGAGGGCCATGCAAAAAACATAGGAGATTTTCTTGAGGCACATATTGGCATGCGTTGGAGGGTCTAGTAGGGTAAGGGTTAATGTTTGAACGATGGTCTTCATGCCCAGCGTACACTCGATGGTCCCCGTATCCCTAGTGCGATATCGTTACCGAGCGCGAATTGAATGGGAAATTTCACTTTTCATCCATATCGTAAGTAAACTTCAGTACAACCACCTTAATCATCGGCATATATATGGATTAGCTTGGACCCTTCTATCGCCAGACCATGTCCGAAAGTTAAAAGGCGATAAGTTGGGTCCAAGTTACTCGGACTAGATAAAAGGCAGGATACAATGACCACGACAAAACGCAACACGAAAATAAAGATGGCAATCACCGCGCGATGCACCGTGTACGCGCAAGGCGCCCTGAATCGCACAGCACAAACCATCAACCACGTAGGAAAATCGTAATTTCTACCTTAACAAACTGTTCAAAAATTACAAAAAAGGTGTCATTATGTTGAGAGAAGTCTGCTCTAGGTTGAAAAGGTCAGATTTTTTAGTAATAAAAAGCACTCTTAGCCTTGCAGCGCCAGCTGCAGGGGCCCTGTAGCCCCATAAATGTGGCTAATTTACTGGACTACCTCCATAAATAAAGGCCACACTTGGACCATGTACCGGGACATGATGTAGAACTTTGACAAGTTTTCATTTTCACATTTAGATTTTTATTTGTAGTTATTTATGCTTTAGAAGCACGGTCACCCTCTTTAAAGCGATAGAAAATTAGTCCCCCCCTTTTTCAGGCGTCTATTTTTGCTTTCAGGTCAACTCGGTCCGTGACCGACTCCGTCCGTGACCAACTCGGCCCGTGACCAACTCGGTCCGTAACCAACTCGATCCATAACCAACTTGGTCTGTGACTAGGCTCGGTCCGTGGCCAACTCGGTCCCTATGGGAAAATGTACGTAAAAAAATTGCATTTTTTTGTAACAAGGCGATCCCATCCTGATAGTATTTTAGACGGCCCACCCCTTCGCTGAGCTGAGGTTGCGTCAAAAATCCACATAGGGCCTACATGTAAAATATTTAAATGCTGCTTTGCTGTTATTCACTACCCATATCCCACAGACAGTGACATCCTAGACCTTACGATTACAGACTTAGGCCAAAAAAAAAAGTCTCCGGTTTCTGGTATGGAGCTTGCCCCAAAAGTGGTGCGGCGACGCGGCTTTTTTTTTTTTTTTTACCTTTTTTTTTTTTTTTTGGCTTCAAATGTCGGCTTATGACAGCAAATGGTGCCCGACTAAACTTAGTGCAAATATATGGGAGTCCAGAGAGGCCACATAAAGCTTATTCTTGATCATAACCCCATCTAAAAACACGTTAAAATTGTGCAGCAGCAGAATTCCAGTCAAACCAGTGAGTTTGGCGGTTTTGAGACATCATCTTTTATTGAAAAAAAACCTTTTTCATTTTGCCGACGCGCATGGCTACGGCGACGCGCGCGCATACCAGAAACCGGAGACTTTTTTTTTTTTGCCTTATTTATTTATTAAATTTTTTTTGGGGGGGGGGGGGGCTAAGGGACCGCAGAGGCGGTGCTCCAGCTGTGCATCAAGCTTGGCGATGGCGGGTGGCGCTGTGCGGTCAGGCGCGGCACTGCCACCAGCCGTGCATCGTGGCCATGGCCGTGCACCGTTTTCTTCACAAAGTCCGAACCAAAGATCCTATATCGCCGAGTCGGTGACGGACGGACCGAGTCGGTGACGGACCGGGTCGGTGACGGCCCGGGTCGGTGACGGCCCGGGTCGGTCACGGACCGGGGCCGTCACGGACCGGGTCGGTCACGGACCGGGTCGGTCACGGACCGGGTCGGTCACGGACCGGGTCGGTCACGGACCGGGTCGGTCACGGACCGGGTCGGTCACGGACCGGGTCGGTCACGGACCGGGTCGGTCACGGACCGGGTCGGTCACGGACCGGGTCGGTCACGGACCGGGGCCGTCACGGACCGGGGCCGTCACGGACCGGGGCCGTCACGGACCGAGGCCGTCACGGACCGAGTCCGTCACGGAGTTGACTGGAACCCTATTTTTCGTGTAATTTCAATGTTAAAATTTAGATACGCTAACGTGTGCAAACGAACCTGGAAATTACACAAAATATAGACGTCTGAAAAAGGGGGACTAATTTTATCATTGGGTTGTCCTAAATGACAATGAATGACAACCCAATGATAAAATTACGGGCTGAGGTACATGTATTAACTCCAGCTACTAAAACGTAGGAGTAATTGCAGAATACCCCGCCACTCGGAAATACACCCCTAAAATCTCTACAGGGTTGGAATTGCTGGAAAAGAAACAATTCAATTCCATCGCCAACTACGCGGTTACTGAGTGGGGGTCCATTATTTGAGAACGAAGCAACACAAAAGGAATGGGAGTGCACTAAGGGAAAGGGAATGCACTAGCTGCCGGTTTGTCATCCATCCACCTACTCCTAGAACTTAGACCCGTGAACGTGGCTTGTAAACTAACGCCACGTTCACGGGTCTACCTAGAACTATGACTGAGGCTCCACGTAGTGTTGCCTCATAGTCGTAGTTCTAGGAGTACCATTCACCTAGCTCTACTGAGTGGAGCGTTGAATTAAACGTTGTAATTCAACGCTCCACTCAGTAGAATTACGGGTACCCCTCCATGGAGGGGTACCCGTAATTCAACGCTCCACTCAGTAGAGCTACCATTCACCATGTCCACTCTATCCAGCAAAGAAGGTTGATTCTTTTCTACCAATAATATCCATGGCTGGCTTACCTCACTACAAAGGGTATGCCAATCCTTCTGGCTTTTTATATTAAGAGCTGACTTTTGTGCTTTCTTGCGGTCAGACGCTGCCATACTGCTGGTGCGTAAACAAGTAATATCGACAAAAACTAGAAACGCTAAGCCATGTAAGGTATAAGCCGGCCACTGTCGCAAAAGCGCATACATGGCATATGGGATATGCAGCGACAAAGTACATGGCAGGGTGACCGTAAGGTCATGGCCTAATTCTGCTAAATGCATTTCAAAAATCTGTCAGATTCATCAAAAGTCTGCCAAATTCCCCAGAATTAATCGAAATACACTATAAACACTTAAAATCGCATGTAGATGTTGTAGTATTGCCTAAATTAAAGGTTCCAATTACATTATAAACAATCTATAGTTTTATTGATGTTATGAAATTGCGTAAATTTCAGGCAAAACGCGATTGCGTCACGGCGACAAAGTCTGCATGGTTCCCACTTAATCCCAGTGAACCTCACCTCAGCACCTAGACCAGCCAAAGGGTTTGTTGGAAAAGATGGAAGCTTTTTAATGGGATGTGGTCTCGTGGTTAAGGGCACTGGATTCGTGGTTAAGGGCGCTGGATTTGTGGTCTGTGGGTAAAGCTGCGGGATGTGGGTTCGAGTCCACATGCAGCAAGGGCGGATCCAGAACACAATTTTTTTTTGGGGGGGGGGGCCAAAAACTTTTTGGGTCCCCCCAAAAAGTGGGTCAAAAAAATTACGGCGTGGGGTTCGGGGCCCGCTTAAGGGCCCCGAAATTTTTTTGGATTCTAGATGCTCTGTGGTGCGATCTGAGGCAATTTCTGACCACTTTAACCAATGTTTTTTGAGGAAAAGATGGTGGTGTACTCATTGCCTGCCTTTATTGCAATGTCACGCCCCCCCCCCCCCTGGATCCGCGCTTGCCATGCAGCCGGGGTCATGGTGCGTGTGCCCTTGAGCAAGGCACTTTGTCACTCATTACTTCTCTCCACCCAGGAGTAAATGGCTACCTGTGAGGGCAGAGATGGTTATTGTGATTGAATTAGCTTGCTTGCGCCTAACAGGCTGCATTCAGCTGTATACTGCTCAGGGAGCTGAGATGGTATTTGGAATGGCCCAATGATCAGGGGTAATAATAATACTGTAAGCGCTGTGATTTAGTTTACTAATAAGAGCGTTGTTAAAATGCCGATTTTTATTATTATTGTTATTATTAATGTACCATTTTTTTTCAAATTTGGTTTATGTTCCTGTCAAATATCCATTTTTACAGAATTCGGCCAGAAATCTGCCAAAAAAAACAAAAACAAAAAATCACCCTCGTTTTTCAACAAAAATTTGTCAAAGTTAGCCGAAAATCGGCTAAAACGGTCACCTTGAATCCAATTTATTAGCGCTAGACGATGATAGAGGGCGCTATAGGATCTTTGATAATGTGCAACAGAACAAAACAGATGCAACGTACGTAAAGCAACGCAAGCCGCGCGAAAAACGATTGGGGGAAGTTTTGACAAATTCTGACATTCATTTATCAAGTTGTTAGGCACATACTAGTAAACATATTTTAACATGGATTTGTCAGATTTTACGAAAGACAATAGTGAAAATGCCATTTTGAAATCAATTGTCCCTCAAATTTGTAAGGATGAACCGTGTTGCTTAGGCATCGACGAGGCGGGAAGGGGGCCCGTTCTTGGTAAGTTAGCCTATATAAGTATTAAACTGTCAAGAATACGCCGCCCATAGATAGGGGGGTCAGACAAGTCGACCGTTGAGACAACTCGACTCGGGACAAGTCGACCGTTGAGACAACTCGACCGTTGAGACAACTCGCCCGTATGTGCGATAAATGGAAAGACAAGTCGACCGTTGAGACAAGTCGACCGTTAAGACAAGTCGCCTCGCATGTTTTTGTTGCTAGTTTTGGGGATAGTCGCGGGGATTTTAATTGACGGCGGCTGATCGCCGTTTGGGAGTGATGACACATGAGTTGTTTTTTTGGTTGCATATAACCATGATAACAGAGCCGATAATAGCGCAGCCGGGCCTGTGCGCGCACTTATCCCCGGTCAGCGTCGGCCGTACCGTGCACGGTGACATCGTTTATGCCGGGCCTGTGCGCCCACTTGCCGCCCCGGTCGACGTGCCCGCGTGCCGGGCCGGGCCCGGTCCTCGCTAGCGGGGCGCGCCGGCCCGACGCGACGGCCACCGGATTGGAACGCCCTCTGTGCGTCAAGTTTGCCCGCGCCGCCTCCGGGATCGCAACTTTTTCCCGCTCCACGTGTATACATTTCCGTTAAGTCGAGCTGTCTCAACGGTCGAGTTGTCCCGAGTCGAGTTGTCTCAACGGGCGACTTGTCTCAACGGTCGACTTGTCTCAACGGTCGACTTGTCCCGAGTCGAGTTGTCTCAACGGTCGACTTGTCTGACATACATAGATAGAGCTAGAGCTATCCCGTCCGTGCATCTGTTTTCAGGTTTTCGAGGCATCAAGTTTTCGAGGTTTGACCTTGTCACCTTGTTTGTAGTGACAGCTTTGAATGGCTATTGCATATCTGCGTTTGTATTTCATATACTCCTATAACTATGAGGCTCCACCATGTCCACTACGTGGAGCCTCATAGTTCTAGGAGTATATTTCATACTCATACTCGTAGTCATAGGCCTGCTACATGTGCGTTATCGAAGCTGAAAAGCCCAAAACCGAAACGCACAATCAGTACTGTAGCCTTGTAGTTGTAGGGACTAAATGAGCGTTTCATTTACATTTTGCTCTGCACAAACTTACGCAAGTGCGTGTGCGTATCCACTACGGATGATTTTTGCCGTGAAGTTTTTTAACTGTCATAACACGCTTAAGTTGTTTGCATTAAATTAATGTTGTTCTTACGTGTTTCAATAGGGTACACTGTCAAAATTTACTTCATCTAATTTTGTTATGTTCGACTACAATTTACAAACACGCACATGAATTCTGCACGCAGGACGGCTTCAATCTCTGCGCGTAAGAAAAAGGAGTTAGCGCTCTAGTAATTTAATGTAGCTCTATGGAATAGCCCCACTGCCAACCTCGTTCCATTGGTACAAGATCTTGCTGCGCCATGTTGTTTCCCATCATGCCTTGTGCGATCTCAACCCCTTGATTTGTCTCATTTAAATGTGTCAAAATATGGCACATTATAATTGGGGCTGCAGTCCATCCGTTTAACATGCGACACCATCTTTAAAATGTTGAAAGTTGTGTTTTTGAAGAATCAATCCTTTCTACATTATAAGGTTTGAACTTCGCATTGTTTAGCAAGAATTTGTATTAAATGTAGGTACCTCTTTCATCCCTTTACAACTGAAGATACAGGTTTTTTTAAGCGAAAAACGAGGCTGCCTTAATCCATATCGTACAGGCATTGCCAGTTTTGAAAAAAAAAAAGTTTGTGCGTGACGTGACGTGCAAAGCACGTGAGCACATTATGGGCGCGCCCGGCTCTGAATAGCCAGTCAGCATCGTTTACGTGTACATCATGGCCAGGGGTTAGTGCAAGGAACGCGCATGTGCCCATGGAGTCGAGGCTGCCCCACTGCAATAGCATGTATCCTCAATCCTCCACAATCTGGCAACATAAATGACATAACACTTTTAATGCATGTGTTACCAAATGCATATAAAAGGTGAGTGGGATGGTGGAGCTCGTTCCGGGTAGGTGGAGCTTGTTAACCTTGGTCGGTAGTCCACCTAGGTGAAGGACAACTTTGATTCCAAACCCAGGCAGGCAGAGCTCTTTAACCTTGGTAGGTGATCCGCCTAGGAGAAGGACAACTCTGATTCCAAACCTGGGCAGTTGGAGCTCGTTAACCTTGGATGGTAATCCAACACAGACTGCTGCCTTGCGGCTGTGGCCTACCAGCTAGGGTTTCGGTGAGGGGTAGTGGGACCCCTGAGGTAGCAATAAAACCAAAGGTGGTTATTTCGACAGCCAACGGCATCCACAGAGCTCGGAGAGGAGACGGCCACCACCGAGCTGAAGAAGCCCAAAGAAACGACCATGATGGTAAAAGTCAAATCAGAATTGAGGATAAAAGATTGGACAGGGCCCGGGTCAACAACATCTGCGTCCCTCACTTCCCAGGGTGTTGGTTGGAAAGTTGGCTACTGGAAGTGCCATTGGAGACAACTGTGGCAACAGATTAAGACTAACAAAGAAAGATATAACTGGGGGTACATGGAATGTTCGAACCTTGAAAGCAATTGGCAAGCTAGAGCAACTAATTCATGAGTTGGCAGCTTTTAAATGGGGAGTATAGGGCCTAGCAGAAGCTAGATGGACAGGTATTGGGGAGACAATCATGGACGAAGGTCATAGGTTATGGTTAAGTGGCGAAGAGGAAAAGCATGAAAAAGGACTGGCTTTCCTGGTTCATAAAAACATCGCTACCTCCGTCAAAGAGTGTCGCCCAGTCTCCAGCCGTATGATATCATTGAGACTGGCAGGCCAACCGTTCAATATGACCATCATCCAAGTTTATGCGCGAACAAGTGACGCATCTGATAGCATCATCAATGACTTCTACCATGATCTTCATGCAACCATGGCAACAATCCCAAAGATGGACATTAGTGTCGTACTAGGGGACTGGAATGCAAAAGTAGGGCCAAACTTTGTAATGAAGTGTGGAGTACAGGCACATGGCCATCTGCATGGACTAAACCCCTGGTAATGCCTCTTCCGAAGAAAGGAAATCTGAAGCAGTGCAATAATTACCGCACAATAAGCTTGATCAGCCACCCAAGCAAGATCCTGTTGCGCATCATTCTTAACAGACTCCGCCCTCAGGATGAAGAGATCATAGCAGAGGAGCAGCACAGTCGAGCAAATATTCAACCTCAGGATACTGAGTGAGAAGTACCGCAATGACCAGAAAGCGCTCCTACATACATGTACATGTGTAACTTCATTGATTTTAAGAAAGCCTTTGACCGTGTTTGGCAAGAGGGTCTGTGTGCAATCCTGAGAAAATGTAATGTCAGCAAGGGAGTTGTCAATGCCATTGATGGCCCTGTACAAAGCATCTCAAAGTGCAGTCCTATATGGAGATCAGATCAGTGAATGGTTCCACACACGAGTAGGAGTTAGGCAAGGCTGCTTTTTGTCTCCAACAATCTTCAACATATTCCTTGAGCACATCATGACAGAAGCTCTAGAACATTTTCAGGGCTTGGTCAAGATAGGAGGCAGAGAAATTTCAAACTTGAGATTTGCTGACGACATTGACCTTGTGGCAGGAGTAGCAGAAGAACTGAGTGAGTTAACAACAAGGTTGGAGCGAAGTGCAAGGAATTATGGGATGGAGATTAGCGCAGCCAAGAGCAAAGTTATGAAGATGTGGTCAGAAGAAGAAATCGAAGTCTCAGTAGATGGAGAGAAGCTGGATTGTGTCACCCAGTTTAAGTACCTCGGCTCAACAATCACGGAGGATGCAAGATCTGTAGCTGAAATCAAAATAAGGATTGCAACTGCCACCTCAGCCTTGGCCAAACTGAAACCGATCTGGCGTGATAAGAACATCTCCATGGCATCTAAAATGCAGCTACTGCGGGCCCTGATAACATCTATCTTCTTGTATGGTTGTGAGACCTGGACGATAACAGCATAGATGGAGAGGAGAATCAACGCCTTTGAGATGAATTGTACATGGAGACTGCTCCAAGTTCATTACTCAAGCCACACCACTAACCAAGCTGTGCGTAAGCTAGTGAAGAGCTATATTGGCAAACAAGACAGATTATTCACAATCGTCAAAAAGAGAAAACTGCACGCTATGGGACAGAAGGAAAGAAGGAAGGCTATTATTGAGATGATATGTGACCCGCTCCACAAAAAAGGATATTTTGTTGCAAAAAAGTGAAAGTGCAGTCAAATGTGTACATGTACAGATGTGCGAGTAAAAAGCTGGTTGTGATAAATACTTCAGTGGATGATCCTTCAGTGCAAGCTTGAAGGCGTCGGGAGATTTGTACTCCGCTGGGTCTACCGCAAGGCTGTTCCAGTCCTGGATGGTGCTTAGGAAGAAGGAGTTGGTGTACACTGAAGAGTTGGTGTGTGGGATGACGTATCGGGAAGTGAGGCTGCTGTTGATTTAGTTCGTTGGGTGAGATATGGGTTCCTGACAATGTCGACTAAGCTGTAGTGGATTTTGAACATCATGACCAGGAGACTGTGAGTGTGTCGGTCCTGTAGAGATGGCCAGTAAAGATCCTGTAGCATACCGGAGACACTGCTTGTTTTTTCATAATCATCTGTGACAAAGCAGGCTGCATTATGCTGAACCTGTGCCACCTTATAGTGTTGCACTGTGTTTTAGTGTCCCATGCAGAACATGCATATTCCACTGTAGGTCTTACGAACTTAAGGTGGTGTTGGCAGCTTCCTTCACCTTGCGGCTGCAATGTCCCAGGTTGCGAGACAAGAAAGCCCTGGTGGAATTAGCTTTTCTGGTCATACAGGTAGTATCCACATGGGTGTTCAATGTGAGATGAGAGTCAAGATGTTCCTCCCCAGCTAATGCTGGTTCCCATTTATACTCCTGGGTGGAAAATGAGCCCCTCCAAGTAAATGTTTCCCCACTTGCAATGTGTAAGTCTAGCACCTAGACTGTATATTTTCTATCGTGTTTTCACTCTCAGCACAGGCTACCTGTCTATAGACAGACACCTTGCTACTACATGAATGTTCCTGACGTCAAGGCACAATGATTGGACAAGGAGGGCTATCCTGACAACGCTATCCATAATGACCTTGTTTGCATAGGTCCTACATAATTTGAGGTTGAGTCCTGCCTGTATTTTAAAGGGAATGTACAACATTTGCTCTTGCTGCAATTTTCAGTAGCAAATGGATTTGGGGTATTAGAATGTTATAGCAGATATTGTTAAACTGACTTGTGTCATATTTTGGGCTTGAAGATGCTGGAAAAACCAAGAAAAACGTCATGTTCTTGGAGTCTGGCTCCCTGACTCCACTTAAGATGAAACAGATCAGTTTGTCAACTTTGGGGAATTGTAAGGTCAGAGAATCAGTCTGGCAGGCTTGTATCCCTTCACAGGTGTGTAATCAATTGCAAAGAAAATGCGGAAAAACTAATTTTGAAAAATTAAGAGCAGTTTTTGAAAAAAGCCAGTTTTCTCCAACGTTGGTCTGCCGACCAGCGTTGAAAAATACAATTTTTCTTGAAAATGTCAGCACACCAGGAGCCACGATTTTACAGGGTGCTTTAGCATGTCATTCCCTAACCATCCAGTAAGATATTTTGTGATAATCTGATCATTTCGTCTATTGATGTTTGCAAATGTTGTATCTTCCCTTTAACGTACATGTTTGTAGTTGTGTACAGATGTGAAACAGTACAGCGCTACTTTGCATGCAAAACCTTGAGAATTACTACGCGTGCAATAAGTCTGCAGAATATGGATTGCTGCCGTTTCTGCACACTGAAACATAGCTCGATTGATTTGGAGAGCGGCAGAAAAGTCCAAAATGTATACCCTGTGGAGTGAATTTATCACAACTATATGGACAGAATAACCTGGGGGGGGGGGGGGACATAATTAAAGGGCCAGGGGAGGGACACTTGAACCTAATTCAGTTTTACAGGGGGACAGAATTACCTTCTGCCCTGGGGTCGCTGATATGGATTGGAGGTCCATTGAGAACGAAGCAATACAAAAGGAATGGGGGGCGGGAAGGGTTGCTGGAAAAACTCTGAACTAACTAGTTGAGATACATAATTCAGAATGAATTGGGGTACTGAGCAGATTTGGTTGTAATCCTCAAACTTCATCCTGAAACCCTTTATAATGTAGCAGATCTTAATATGCAAACCTTAAAAAATTGCATGACTATGTACAATGCAGGTCGTGGCAATAGTTTGTGTTTTTTGCCAAATCTTGCAGTTTAGGCGGCTGATATTGATGTGTTTGGATTGATGTTTGATATTCAGGTCCCATGGTGTATGGAGTCAGCTTCTGTCCGTTGTCATGTAAGGAAAAACTTGAACAGCTTGGATTTGCCGGTAGGTGAAGTACCGTTGTCCTCTGTAATGTTCTATTAGTTATTCCGCGAGCACGAGTGGAACACGGAATAATGTAGTGCATCTGTGTCCTATATGCCATGAGGCCGAATGCCGAGTATGTGGGACACCGACGCACAACATCATTCCGTGTTCCATGAGTGTGAGTGGGATAACAAATTTATCTTCAATCAAACTTGACGCACAGTAAAGATGGAACATGCCGCACGATGTACACGAAATGGCGCATGCATCTTAGAATAGCGCAATACGTGGTGCGGTATGGACCGTGGCCGTGCTACATGGTTATATGTAGAACTGCTTGTTGCCATGGATCGACCAATCAGGATCGAGGATTCAATTTTACTTGAAGATAAATATACTACTCCTGAACCTAAGGTGTGTGTACACATGGAATCATTCCAAATCCACCCAAATCCTGCACTGTGCCCATTACTTGATGCCCAAATTTCCCTCAAACATGTTTGAGTCCAGTAAGTCCACTTTTGCAACCCCTGAGTAAGGTATTTTTTTGAGTTTAATGAATGAATTCCAAATCAGTGATCCTATTCATAATTTTACAAATAAAATAATGACAAGTAAAATAATGTCTGTCCTATCTTAAGCAGTGCTCTATGCCATCCACTAGCTTAGATAGTTTTTAAGGTTCCCTGTATGCAGTTGCTTGCAGAAATGTATAAATCCCATTTTGTTTCCACTTTGTGTTTTGAATTGTAGATTCCAAGACACTATCAGAGGAGCAAAGAGATGAACTTTTCTCCAAGATCAAGGATGCTAATGACTTCTTAGGATTTGAAGTTGAAATTCTCTCCCCGAATTACATATCAAAAACAATGTTAAGACGGTATGAATGGATTTAATTAACTTGAAATGACGTTAAAAATGAAAATGCAGCAAAAGAAGAACTTGTTTGAAATTATAGCCATATGTGTGATTTGTTTCTTTTTGTCACCTATCCACCCTGATCATGGAGAATATTCAGATATTAATGTAGCATAAACGCTTTTGTTTTTGTCATGAATGTACATGTAACCGTTTACCTCCTGTGGTTTTATCCATGGCAGAACCAAGTACAGCTTGAATGCCATCTCTATGGACTCTGCTATTGGACTACTGAGACTGGCTATTGAGCAAGGTGCCAACATCAAAGAGGTCAGCAGCAAATATGTGGACATAGGACATTTAGAGCCCAAAGAAGAACACAAAAAAGAGTTCAATATGTATGTTAATCAAATACCATGGCTAGCATAAGTAACAATTCTTGACTGCTGTGATGTGGGATATGGTGTTTTTAACACCCTGGGGCGCATAGCACCCAAGGTGGAGCCACAGGTGCTAAAAATGCTAAGCATTAGGATTAAAGATGAAGTGAAGTGAATGAAAATTAAAAGATTCCACTCTTCTCTGACCACTCAAATTTTCAAAACAACAATTACTCAGTCATCTGGTAAAGGAATGAATTGCAGCGTAATCAAATTAAAGCCTATTGTACTGGCATGTCTTTCAACGTCAGGTTTTGTTATTATTTTTCTTTACATCCTCGTGTCAGTGCAACAAGGTCGTAACTCGTTTCCTCAACAAATTTGTATCCCGCGAATACGCGCCATGCAACAAAGTCGTGTATTGCGACGTCCATTGACTTTGTGTGTACATCCAGGTTATTTAAGCGAGATACGACCTTTGACATTGAAAACTGGCGTTTCATGTACATGACGTCACACGCCATTTTAGGAGATACGATCTTGTTGCACGGACACGACAAAATAATGTGTGATTTTATTAATATTGTGTGATCTTCTCTTTTGTGGGCGACCCTGTTCAGGTGTATGTTGACACAGTAGGAGATGCTAGCAAATATCAAGAGAAGCTTCAGGGGTTATTTCCTCGTCTAGAGATTACAGTCACTCCAAAGGCTGATGCCAAGTTTCCTATAGTCAGTGCTGCTAGTATATGTGCTAAGGTTAGTAACAATCTGGGGAACTGTAACACTGATTGACACCATACTCTTTGCTATCAATATGGTACACAACTGTCTGATGTGAGTTGACCCATTTCACTTTGAGGACCACTAGTGTGGCACAAAAGACACTGTAGCTCTTTTTGTTGGCCTCATTTGCAGACCCCTCTTTTTCTCATCACAAACCCCTTTCAGAAGCAAGTAGGCTTTGAAACCACAACTTCCTCTCCAGCTTTGTCTTCAAGATATTTCATGCTCCTGGGCTGAAAAGATCTGGCTCAATATTGACCTGCTTCAAAAAAAGTCAAATCCTACATTATAATATGATACCAAAGAGTGTTCTTCATTTGGTTTTAACTTTAAAAACTTTGAAATAACTCTAAAACCAAATATGAAGTAAATGCTGCAGATTATTTTTTGAGTTTCGAAAATCCCTTGTATTTCAGATAATGCTCAAGGAATGTAGACTGTGCTTTGCAATAAATAGCTTTTGGCGGCATTGCAGGCCTCACCACATTAATAGGGACCAATGGAAGTGGTGCAGGTACGGGGTACATATGCGGCTCAGACAAACTTGCTGATTATATCAATATTTTATGCGGTTATTTCAGCAGTCCCACATGCCTACATCTCACAGTATTGCCAATAGTGAAATAACCACGCAAAATGGTGATTTGACGATCAAGTTTTACTGTGCTGCATACGTCTGGTGTATTTGCATCATTTCTAATGGTCCCTATTTATAGAACTCAAGTTGCAGGTCCTATGGAGGTATACCGGTAGGCAGGCTGCAGTCACTTAATTTCAATATGTACTTGGAAGAGATATGGACCAAGATTCTTCTAAGAATGTTTAATCTCAAGTGACTTTCCCTAACTCTTAACCCTTCATTTTATGATTAGGTTGTTCGTGATCAAGTCTTGAAATCCTGGATATTTTTTGAGGGTGATGATATTGTCACTAGGGATTATGGAAGTGGCTATCCTTCAGGTAACTATCATTTAATCATATTTTCATCAGACACAAGAGAACACGTAGGTTGTTTGAAAAGTGTCTACTATTCTTAAAATGTCTGATTTTTAGCAAGCACTTCCAGCTGAACCAAATCAGAAGAAACTGAAGTAAGTTCAGTTCTGCATGTTCCGCAAAATAATCAAACTTGCACCAATATCATTAATTGTTTCCTTATCGTGGAAATTCAAGTCATGTACATGTACCTGCAGTTATTAAGTGCACTATTTTTGGTGATCCAAGATCACTTTGCGCAGTACGTGCACAAGGAACATACCATAGACATGGCCAGAGGGGTGTTCACAAAATATCAGGTAAAATTGTTGAACAAAATTGTTGGAAAATAGTGAATTTTTGACTTATTTTGAGTTTTTGACCGAAAGGTATTTATGAATGGGAATAAACATGTGCTTGGCCGGTATCAAACAAGTACTTTTAAAACCGGCTAGGGGCCTGAATGCGGATAATGGCCCTCACCAAATGTATAAACATGTAATAATTGCATGTTGGCTCCTGGCTTACATGTACATGTATGGCCCCTAAGGGTCTCTACACCTCTCTTTGTCACCGTTTAGACGGTACTTGTGCACAGATTATATTGCTTGAAATTTGAGGAAGGCGGCTTGCCCATGATAGCACAGTGGCTAGCATTGGCTCTATGCTCTATGTTAACAATACACATTAGTTGAGCTGTCTTTTCGCTGCGCTACAGATTTGTTCATATTTGTTTGACTGTCAGTCACTTATAAATTCACCAATCTGTCATGCTGCTTGACACTGACTTGTTAGAAACTGTGTGTGTAGGAGCAGTCTGCTTGGACCCCATCATCTTTGGAAGCCTGAAAATCATTTATTATTAAAGTAATATCTGATTATCTTTAAAAAACAGTCAGACACTGTAGAATTGGTATGTTTGGCTGCTCCACACTCATTTTGTAGGATTTCCATATTATTTTGGTTTTTGTTTTCCAGCTTAAACATGTCTTCTTATGACATGTAAAACTGTTCCCAGTGAAGAACAATGTAATATCCATAGATGAAATCTTGTAGAGGTTCTCTTCATGTCATTGTTATCGTGATGATTGGTGGATCTGAAGCCCTGTGGTTGCCTGAGTAGTACAAGTATCAGTAAACTCCGGCTAAACTGACATTGTACAACTCGTCAAATCGCTCAAGTCGGCCGTCTGACTAAAGTCCCGATTGTCCGTAATGCATCTCCATTGAATTTTTATTTCTAAGTCGGCTTTTATAAGTCGCCATTTCGCTCAAGTCATCATGTTACTCTCGGTCCCCTTTCCATAAAAAGCATTACACAGTGCTTTGTGTAAGTCGGCACTCAACAAATCACACATTGGCATCGACTTCCTGTACTGCAGTTGGCAAAGTGTCAAGAGAGAAAAGTGGTTTCGCACGGCCCGTGATCGCTGCATGCATCGATGTTGAAAAAGGGTGTCCTACTGCATACATCGCATATGCATCGTGAGCATATCAATACCAGTACCCCCTCTAGGCTGTACGCATGCGCTCTGTCCATTTTGGGGGTCGTCTTATTGAATGACTACTGCTGCAGCAGTCAATGCGTGCATGGTATATACCGGACCACGCACGCACTTAATTTGTTACTGTGCACGTACATATGTATCGTGGTCTCCACTATTAATACCCCAAACGTGAAGATACAATCCGAGGATTAATTTGCTGGATTCAACTCAAGCATTAAGGAGATAATCCAGGGTAAATCGTAGCCAAATAATGCAATGAATCATGTGTGCAAAAGACCATTTATGTAAGTCGGCAAAATGACGACTTAAAGCAGATATCAGCATTCGCGTAAGTCATCACAAATTCTCGGGTCCTGAGAGTGCCGGTTTAGCCGGATTTTACTGTAGTAGCAGTATTGTAATTCTTTAAACCATTGCTATGACGTCACACTATTGTTAAAAGTGTGGATTCGGAACTACGAATCTGTTACACTGGTCAAAAAGTGTGGATTCGGAATGACGAATCTTTAGTTAAATGTGGATTCGGAATTACGAATCCACACTTTAAAAAATGTCCTTTAAAAAATATACAACTGTGTAGACCTCATCAAACTTATCACACATTAAATTTATTCTTTTTTTAACGCATTCTAAATACATTTGAAACATTTTCCATTTTTTTCACTTGATTCAAATTATTGCAAGTTTGACCTAAAATTGCAACCTTTCGTAAAAGTTATACTTTTCCTCACATTTCAAAAACAATATTTTTTTCCCACCAACTACTGTTTTTTTTTTTTTATGAGATAAACTTCTCTGCATGCTTGAACATTTCAGACAACACTAAATAAAAAGCGTTTAATTTGTATTATTTTTAGCAGCATTTCAAATTCTTTTAAACTTTTTCCAGTGTTTTTTCTTCTGTTTTGTGAAACTTTGTGAAAGTACTTTCACACACAAAAAGTCGAAAAAATAAATATAATTAATATAAATGCCACAGTATAACCTTTTGACTGATTGGTGTGGAACCAATATTACAGTACTGAAAACCTTGAACAAATCAAAATTTCATATTATCTTTGAAAGTCATGACACGACCGTCTGTTTTCTTTTCAGTGACTGTCGAAGGCCCAGACTTAATGACTGTTGTGTTTTTCTCTTGGCCATACAATGCTTTACTGATGTTCTTTTTCTGACCGTCAGTAGTTCTTTTGTACGTGCGGACATACAATGCTATCTGTTTAGCCAAACAATGCTTTACAGATATTCTTTTTCTGACCGTCTCTAGTTCTTTTCTACGCGCGGACAGCAGTGGATCTGTGCCCTGTGGTTTCACAGATCAGTTGCTCTTCAAAGTTTTTAGTAAAAAGCCTGGATGCTGCTGTTGCTCGCAGGGAATGATTGGTTCGAAAGCCAGTCAATTGGGCATTTTTACACAATTAAGCTTGCGACAGTTCCAGAGTTTGTGCATCTTTGATGCTTGGGGGGGAGTTTGTTCCAAAGAGTGGGCGACGATGTAGAAAAAGCACGCTGGCCGTATGTCCTTGTCGATGACGATGAACAGGTGAGTAGGGATTGTGAGTGGGAGCGGAGTTTTGGTGGAGGTTCATATTTATGAATCAGATCCTGTAAATATGTTGGCGCATGGCCGTGGATGCAGTTATACGTAATCAGAAGTACTTTGTACACAATCCGTTGCCTAACCGGAAGCCAAAGCAGGTCGCAGAAGATCGGTGAAATATGGTCACTACTTTTGGTTCATGTGACCAATCTGGCTGCCGAGTTCTGAACTCGCTGTAATTTGGAGATTGTTGAGTAAGGTAGGCCAAGAAGAAGGCTGTTAGTGTTACAGAAATCAAGGCGGCATGTGATGAAAGCATGAACCAGCTTTTCTGTGGTAGGTTTGTTGAGAAATTTGCGAATTTGTCCAATCTTGTGTAATGCCAGGTATGATGAGTTGTAGATATTATTTACATGGATGTCCATCTGGAGATTGGTCTGAACAGTGACACCTAGATCACGCACTTTCTGTACATGTTCTGTTGAAAAACTGCCAAGGGAAATTGGTGTAAGACGTAATGTAGATGACCTCTGTCTTGTCTTCGTTCAATTTCAATTTATTAGCAGCAGACCATGCCTTTATGTCGTTAAAGCAAAGTTGAATTTGTACGAGGACTGATGAGCGATCTTGCTCATTCATGATGACGTAGACCTGCGTGTCGTTGGCGTACATCATTCTGTCAATACCATGAGCCTGAATGATGTCTTCAAGGGGTGATGTGTATAAAGTAAAACACAGAGGACCAAGCACAGACCCCAGTGGGTGGGACAACACAATTTGGCACAAGTGGATCAGAAAGATCATCCTGGATGACAACACTCTGAGTGCGATTCTTGAGGTAGGATCCGAACCAATGCATTACATGACCAGATATGCCATATCTGTTTGCTAGACGCCGAAGCATGATGTTGTGATCTATGGTATCGAATACAGACGAATAATTGAGAACAAGAACAGCTTCCTGTCCCTTGTCAGCAGCTAGAAGTAGGTCGTTCTGGACGCTATGATGTTTCCTGTATGCAGACTGTATGTTGCCATGGAGATTATTGTCCAAAAGGTAATCTTGGAGTTGGGCAGCAGCTGCACGTTCAATAGACCTTTATCATGCTTCCACCATTTAAGTCATGTTCCCAGTATCCAGTAACAGTACTGAATGATAATGTTTTTGTGCAAAAAGGAACCAGACTATTTTTCCTTCCAGCCTCGCTTTGGTTACATTGATCTGAATGGGAAAAAAATCAAATGGCTGCAATATGATAATGGTCTATTTTCTTTGAAAGAAACGACAGATTTGTGATGGGCCTGTAGTTCTTGAGAGGTTCAGTGTCCAGGTTAGGTTTCTTGTGGAGGGGGGGGGGGTGATGTGGGCTCGTTTCAGTGCTTCAGGAAAGTGTCCATCCAGTAGAGAACGGTTGGTGATATTCGTGATGATGGGAACATTAGTTCATCCAAACACCTCTTCAGAATCCACGTAGGAATCGGGTCAAGTCTGGATGTTGTAGAGGGTGAACCAGTGATCAGCTTTCTCACCGAGTTTGCAGACAGGGATTCAAACTGGTGCAGAGTAGTCATGCATGTGTCGGACACGGACTTAGAAACTAGAGGATCAGGAATGTTGTCAAGTTCTTCAGTGATGTTTTGTGTTTTGTTGGCAAAGAACTGTGAAAATCGATCAACAAGTGGTTCAGATGACAAATCAGCCGACGGGAGGGTTTTTGGAGACTTTGGAGTGCACAATTTGTCGTCTGCGAGAAAAAGTTGGTGGGGGTCACAGTCCTTTAATTGTATCTTGTGATATTCAGATTTGGCCTTGATAATCAGTTGATTATAGTGATAGCTCTGTTCGTTGAGAAGTTGTTTGTGAACCTCTAGTTTGGAGGATTTCCACTGATGTTCACACTTTCGAATTTGTCTCCTTGCTTTGCAAATGTTTTCACTGTACCATGGTGCAAGAGGCTGAGATAAAATGGTACAGGAGATCGGGGGGGGGGGGGGGGGCATGTTTGTTCAGAAGATCACTCAAAGTTGTGTCATATTGATGAATGAGCAAGTCTAGGTCGTTGGCTGGTGCAGTGGTTCATGGTGAGGCAAGAACATCTAGGTGAAGGGCCTCAATATCAATCTTGCGAAGTTCACGAAGCTTGATTTCTCTTTTGACATGGTCAGGTCGTGTAGAGCAAATAGCATTCCCCATCACTGTCTGTTTGAACTGAGAGCTGTGAGTTCTCAAATCCCGCTTGCAGGGCAAAGTGAATTCCAAAAAGATACAAAATTACTCAATGCGTCCTCACTGTTAGATTCTCCGCTGTCACTACCAAAAGTAGTTTGAGTCAGAAACAAATCGTCGTCCGAACTATCCATGTTTACCTGAAGGAGTCTACCCTCAAAATGACTTGGTTGTACGGGTGTGGCGATACACATTCTTAACATGCAAATTTCCTTTCTAGAAAGCTTGATCACATAAGAGCCTTGAAAAACTCCCTTAAATGTAAATTATGCCTAATTAAATGGCCACGATACGAATTCACTTGGCGCTTCACGCGCCTCATGAATTCTTAAATTACGAATCTACACTTTCACGTGTATTTTCCTTAACACACACTTTTGTATGTTGTATTTGCACTTAGATCCAGCAACAAAGCATTGGCTAGCAGACAACATGGACAAAGTCTTTGGGTATCCACAGTTTGTGAGATTCAGTTGGTCCACAACAAGTACACTTTTGGAAAACAAGGCATACCATGTACATTGGTAAGTACACTGACAAAGCAAGCCCACATCTTTGGAACTAATTCCCTGTCATGAATCCAATGGCAATATATCATGGAGCAATGTTTTACATATAACCTCAGGGACAACAGCCTTGACCTTTGAGCTGATATATTGGCTCAAAATGGCAGCCACTAGAGACAACAGGTCAATATATCAAATTTATCTGGATAGGACATTTTTTCACTTCTGTCTTATTTAGACAATAAGTTCCATAGTCAAAGAGTTAATATGCAGTTGCAGTAGAATTGCTATATATAGTCTTAACACAGAGTTGAAATGTCTCACAGCTAGTTGACATAGAGTCTGACACTGTGGCCAGCATGTCATTGGTCCTGTGACCCATGACAGAGGGGTTAATGTCATTTAGATATACACATGCATATAATTAGGGGTACTGTAAGGCGTACTGGAGATTTGGGCCATAAGGAGCATGGAAGGCAGCATTGTCAAGATGCCTTAAAACAAATAACTTTTCATATTGGCAAATGCTTCAGTTTATTTTTTTAATGCTGCTTAGTGCTAAACATTGAGAGTTCTATGATTATGTTAATGCAAAGCATTGAAAAAGTGCCTTATTCCGTATAAAAGAAGACACGATCTTATGTTTGAAAAACCCCAAACATTCAAGTAAAAGTTACATTACACAATCAAGTTACATTAAAGCTGTCACAAAATTGTGAAGTTCGTTACTGCATTACTTTGGATGTAGACTTGTTACAGTTAAGGGGCCTTGTGACAAGCTTATTTGCAGGAATGTTTTGCTTACCCATATAGAATAAGACTACTCAGTGTGTGCATGTTTTCTTCCTTTTTATGCCCCGCGGCGAAGCCGAAGGGGCATACTGTTTCCGCCTTGTCCTTCCGTGGGTGGGTGGGTGGGTGGGTGGGGGTGTGTGAGTTTGTGTTACATACCCTATGTGGACTTGTGAACAAAAGAGGTCCACATAATGCAGGTTGTGTTAACCTTATGTGGACTAAGCCGTGTCCACATAAGGTTTTGCCCTTTCTGGAAAACAGGTTTAGAGGCATTTTTGGGTTAGGTTTATCCGTAGCAGAATGAAGAGAAACACTATAGGGAATCATAGAAAAAAAATTGGGTTAAAAGAGTTTTCACAGTTTAAGTAAAGTTATTTTTTGTACCGAGTTTTCTTAACTACACGAAAACAAAGCAATGTCCACACAAGGTATGTAACGTAAGTCGGTGGGGGGGGGGGGGGGGTGAGCTTGTCTTACATACGCAGTGTGGACTTCCGAACAAAAGACGTCCACATAATGTAGGTAGCAGCGACGAAGTGTGGACTTGCCCACGTCCACACAGTGTTTCCCCATTTCTGGAAAACAGGTTTAGAGGCATTTTTGGGTTAGGTTTATCTGTAGCAGAATGAAGAGAAACACTAAAGGGAATCATTGAAAAAAAATTGGGTTGTAAGAGTTTTCACAGTTTGAGAAAAATGAGTTTTTCCACTGGTGTTCCTTAACTACACGAAAAGAAAGGAAAGTCCACACTAGGTATGTGAAACAAGTCTGGGTGTGTGCGTGTGTGTGTGTGTGTGTGTCCGGACAAATCTTGTCAGCGCGATAACTTGAGAAATACTTAACATATGAACTTCAAATTTGGTTTGTGTATTGTTCTTGGTAATCCTAAGAAGCCTATTGCATTTGGGGCCGAAATGTCAAGGGTCAAGGTCACAGTGGCTGAAACAATAGAAATTTTGTCAGCGCGATAACGTGAGAAATACTTTACATGTGAACTTCAAATGTGGTTTGTGGATTGTCCTTGGCAATCCTAAGAAGCCTATTGCATTTGGGGCCAAAAGGTCAAGGGTCAAGGTCACAGTGGCTAAAACAAAAGGAATTTTGTCAGCGCGATAACTTGAGAAATACTTTACATGTGAACTTCAAATTTGGTTTGTGGATCGTTCTTGGTAATCCAAATAGGCCTATTGCATTGGGGGTCGAAAGGTCCAGGGTCAAGGTCACAGTGGCTAAAACAATAGAAATCTTGTATTTACATGTATTCTGAGAACAAAGGGATTAGGGATTAATTCATATAAAACCTACAGAAGACACTAATGCTGTCAATGAATGTTCCATGTGACCAAGGTACATAAGTTGATGTTAAAAGAGTGGTGTTATGTCATGGGAACAGTCACGGTTGCGGGGCATTTGTGTTTGTAAACACACCTGACTTGTTTTTTTCTGTTTTTGTAGGGATGATGAGGATGAAGATGAAAGTGCCAAGGGAACAGCTTCATTGTTTTCTTTCTTTGCTCCCAAGAATGCAGACCCAAGAGACAAACAACATTCATTTTTTGAGGAGAGACATCTCAAACGAGTTGAATCATTTTGAAAAATATGGACATTGTACGTAGGATATTTTTATATGCAAGCCAGTATGGCAGGTACTGCTGCAGAGTTACTTCAAAAAATGTGGCCAGATCTACTTAGATTGAAATACACATAGTGACCAGTTTCTCGGTGGCATATCACTTACAATGTGTGGCCCATTAGAAATGGGCATGTACAGGATATGTATGCAGCTTGGAAAAACTAGCTGATTATATCACCATTTTTCGTGGATATTTCACAAAACATCAATTGTTTTTTAAGTGAAATGCACATTGCCTGTAGTGTACCAGATGAAATACCACGCAAAATTGTGATTTAACAAGCAACTTCTTTTCTGAGCTGCTTATATGTATCATTAGAAGTGGCATACCACTTCTAATGGTCCCTAGACAGGTAAACTCACTGGTGCTTACAATATTGACTGTCTACAGTCTTTAGGCAAATACATCTTGTATCATACAATTTTACATCTGGGAGATGTTAACTTCTTTCAAATCCCACTTGAATAGTGAAGTTTTTATTGCAAACTCTTGGACAAGAAGGTATATATTAAGGGCATATTACAGAATAAAGGTTGGTAGAGGTGGCAAAACCCCAAAAGCAAAGCTTGTGTGAGGCTTTTAAACACAAATACCGTTTTGAAGTTCTGTCCATGGATCACGAAAAGATGAGTGTTCTTTCAGCAAAACAAACAATTCACATAGGGATGTGCGTCAAGTTACAACGGACAAACAAACATCACCGCTATACTGTAAGAAAAAAAGGGTGTGTGTACAGGGCGAGTAAAAACCGAAAGCCAAATGTCGGGACCATTTGTTTTAGTGAAGTTCTGCATGTAGCACTTTCAAAATCAAGGATATGAAAGCCCAATTCATAAGCTTTCTTTTAGTACAAGAATAATTCAAATCACTAATGTACTTTTTAAGTTACGGAATTCTAAACAACAAACACCATTTTAAAGTTCTGTCCAAGGATCACGAAAAGATAAGAGTTCTTTCAGCAAAACGAAAACAATTCACATAGGGACGTGTGTCAATTGTTTTCGTTTTGCTGAAAGAACACTTACCTTGCATTTGAGTGTGTTACTCTTGATACTCCCGAGTGTAGGAAAATGTTGCCTGCGCATTACTCTCGGTGCAGGAGTACACTCCTGATATGATGGGGAGCATACTCTTGCTAAACGGCGGGTCGTACTCCTGCTGTTCGCGCGCTCAGGAGTACTTGTGTTAACATGAGTAGCACGCTCGAACGCACCCAAAAAGATTTCTAGCTTTCAGCCAAGATTTCATTTGGAATAACGTAAATGTGAAATAAATGAACAACAAATACACAAAAAGAGAAACAATGCTAAGAATGGCCCCTTTGTGATGTATTTTATCATTTTAATTCTTAAATTCTGACATGACCTATTTTTCAAGGCAAAGTTTTCATTAGTTTATTTTTTTTTAACAAAATAATAGAAAACTACAATTTTTGCATAAATTGTATACAATAAATATTTACATTTCATTCAATATTTTCAGATGAAAAATGTAATTGTGTATTTCCTCTATCATTTCTGTACGTACATTCACAAAATTTAGCTATACCAGGTGCCCCCCAAAAATGGAACAATGTACTTCCGCTACCCTGAGACTCAAACAACCTATACCAATGCATGGGGAATTCTGTTAAAAGAAAAATGATACCAAGATCGTCCAGCAGCTTTCGTTCTGGAGCTTACTTTGTGAAACAAAGTCCGGAGTCATTTTCTCCTTATGAATTACTAAATGGCGCCTGCAAATTTGACTTAATTGGATAGAGGAATTAATTATGTAATAATACCCGCATGAAAGATGTGTGCTTTACAATATAGGCTCAGATCTGCAGCAAAAAACTACTGGACCGAATCGGGAAATCTTGGTATATTTCTTCTCAAAAGATTCTCCATCCATTGGTACAGGTCGTTTGAGTCTCAAGGTAGTGGAAGTATGCTGTTCTGGGGTTTTTTTTGGGGGGGGGCACCCTGTTCATGTATATTCAATGAATAAAAAAAACAAGGAACAGATAAACAAAGGATGGTACAGAAAAGTGGGTATTCTCATCACAACAGAAGTTTCAGGTCAATAGTGACAATGATCTTGGGGTTTTGGTGGGGGAGGGCACTTGCATATACATGTATAACCCCAAACTACTTTCCTTGAATACAATAAACATTTGTTCAAACCTTGCCAAAATCTTAACTTTGTACAGAAGTGTACAGAAAAGATGACTTCATGTATCTACAGGGTGAGTCCAAAAAAAAGCGGAACCCAAAACCCCAAAAATATATTTCATATTTAAAAAAATATGTAGCACCAAACATTATAATGACTGGAAAGCCAATTTTATAACCTACATTTAGATGAAAAAATTACTGAAATTGGTCAATCCGTTCAACGAATATCACCATTTAAATGCAACGACCCTAAAACCTGTCTCATCAAAAAAAAAAAAACAATTTATTTTGAATGTTTGGAACAACGAAAATGACACAGAATACTTGTTTCAACAACTGTCACCAACTGTAGTACACAATTTCTTGATTAACAACCCTGGTTAAGCAAACAATATGATTTATAAAATCTACTTAAAAGACGGGGCTTCAAAAGGATTTGTTGCATATTGTTTAAACTGAGATTTTATCGCTGGTGATGCTTAAAGACAATTGTGACGACGATTCGTGAAATCGCATTGTTTGGACGAGACAGGTTTTAGGGTCATTGTGTTTAAAGGGTGAAAGTCTTTGAACAGATTGAGCATTTGCAGTCATTTTTTTCATCTAAAAGTAGCTTATGAAATTGGCTTTCCAGTCATTATTGTTGGTGCTACATATTTTTTAAATATGAAAAATAATTGTTGGCGTTTGGGTTCCGCTTTTTTTGACTCGCCCTGTACAGATGCGATGAGTAAACAATGTTTTTCAAGAGTAGCCCCAAAAACCAACAAGTATTAGGAGTGCGGAAGTAGAACCAGAATACACCTCAGTTTTACACGGACCTTTTTGCATAAATTTTCGGACTAGAGCGAGGCATAGAGTAAAGATGCTCTGGAGTTACTGTTTTAAATGATAGATTTTTCATGTTTGTAATTCATATTTACAAAATACATCGGTTCGGGTGACTGTAACCCCAATCTGACATGGGCATTGCTCAAAGACTGTGTATAAAATAGCACCATGTCCCATCTTGAGGAGGGGGAGAGGGGTTAAGCCACAGTGTAGTACTGTACTTCATATTGTCCACACTACATGTATGCTAAGGCCAGAGAACCAAAGGTTTGTGATGGGTCATTCTATAAATTTGGGGTCCACTTTTTTCCCCTGTTCCTGGCCCTGTTTAATCTGACATCTATGATTTCCTCCAAGAGTGATTATGAATAGCAAACAACCTACCCAACAAATAAAATACATTTCATTTGAAATATTCTTAATGATACTTGAATGGCAAATTACAAATTCAGAGGAAACAGGGACAAGAATAATGTCAGACTTTGGACCCTTAATTAATTAAAAGGACTAGTCTTTAGATTTGCAAATGAGACGCTTTGCTTCCAGCTTAAGAAAGTCATTCCTTATTGCTGTCTTCATTCTCCAATCCATATTCAAATTAAAGATAGGATTTGTCAAAGTATATCATTTGACTTAAAAGCAGCTTATCTGTAAATTAGGGAAAGTTAATCTGAAGTTAAAACTTCAAATTGTTCTGAAATAAAACATAAATCATGCTTAAACAATGTCTATATTGGAAATAATACAGAGAGGCAATTTTTTGGGCTTAAGTAATTCATCTGTTGAGAGCAGTCTTTAACTTCAGTTCTTTTGAAGGAAATTTTTTAGAAATCACGTTGTTTGCATTACTGTCCGAGTCGTGGAACATCAATATGTACATGTGTTCAGTGAAGAACACTACATCATCCCCAAGTACAGGCATATCCAGCACAATCCACTATTCATCTCTTAACATTCATTTCAAATGTGTCACTTTTCAAGTCTCATTTTCATTACATTGATAAGAATGAAGCAACAAATACATGTATTGTTATTAATTTGGCTGTTTCAAACATCTGAATTTTTGTTCTCAATTTCACATGTATAAAGATGTTTATGTATAGATACAGGTATATTCAATTGAATCAATTTCAGAGTTTCAATTTCAAACATTAACAAATGTACAAGCCATTAGGTGCCTTATTTTCTCCATGGTAATTCTAGAAATGTGATTTTTGAGGTTTTTAATATTATATTAACTCCTCCTTTTAAGGCACAGTAGAAAGGCAGATGAATTTATGTTTATTTCTTGAACTTAGTCTGAACTCTTCACAATTTGCAGGCCTCAAATGGCACCTGCTGGAGTGGGTAAGCCAATATATCAGCTAGAACATCATAGTGCTTTGTTTTAATTCAATCACGACAAAGTATTGTTGCTTGAGACTATAATACAGCAGTGTCTTGTTCAAACCTTGCCAAAACCTTTACTTTGTACGGAAGTGTGTACAACAGACGACTTTACATGTCTCCAGATGCGATAATCAATTCCTAGAGCCAGACCAGACGGTGAACATCATGAACCCAAAAATGTCTGGAAATTCCTTGTTTGAGACACAATGTCTGAAATTCACATAATAGACATCTACATCTTCCTGTGATGGCATCAAAGGGTACATTTCAGATATTTTGTCCCAAAACAGAGATTTCCAGCATTTTTGGGTCACATTGAAAGATGAACTTTTGACCCCATTTTCAAACCTGAGGACTGAGTTGTATTGTTGGTTCTCATGAGGTAGTGTCGCCCTGGCTGGTTACTGGGGTACCATGCGAGTGACTACTAAAGTTTAATATGCTGTCTGCTGCATGGCGCTCCTCTGCTTTCAACCTTCGATAGTCTGTCCTGAAGAACAACAGGAAGATGCAGGCATTGAAGGCTGCATAGCCAGCAAAGACCAACAGGGGAACTAGAGGAACAAGAAAAATAGAGTGATAATACGTGTACATGAAACCTCTAAGTTTTGGCATGTCTATTTCTAGACCAAATAAGTAAGCAATTGGAGATGAAATAATGAGTTCACCTCCTAGCATTGCATGCACCTACCTGTACATGTGCGAATTTGGGTCATTTGTGGTGTATGCAACAGGCCTTTTGAAAGAGAAAGCACCATTTTCTAGCAGATATGTATGCACATAATTTGCAAGAACACCACTTTGTGGAAATAACTTTGAATGGGAAATCAACTTTTTACTGAAAAGTGCATAACAAATTGACCTATCGCATCAACGCAGCTTGTGAAATATTGTCCAATCACATGATATACAAATGGATGCGGAACGCGCAAAATCTGAGACAAACAAAACTCAGTGTACAAAAATTGCATAGGGTTGTATAAGGGGCGTGGCTAACTCGCAAACGACGTACTGGTTAAATCTTGAGGTGTGACCGATGCCAGACACTTGGAATAACCTAGTTGGGCTGTAGACAGGTCTCGTCCTAAGAACTGGCTGAGCAGGATTCCGAGGATGCCTTGCACTTGCCTGTAATCAATCATTCCAAGATAAAGAAAAAAAGATTGGTAATATAGTGAATAGATCGTCCATACAAGTAACAATCATGTTGATGCTGAAACACAATAACATACTGAACATTTGACTGCAAATTGTACAACACATATACAAAAATTATGCTAAAAATGGAAAGTTTTCAAACTTTAGGAACCCCTTGTACAAGAACATGTAACTCCTCTCAAGATTAATTAATCACATTAAGACATTGTGCAGTGTAATTGAATGTACCACTACCTTATAGAACAGATGAGCATGGGATCCAGATACTTCTTAGGTACTGTTCATTGCCTCTGCTACATGTAGTGTTCTTTAGACTGAATGGTTCATACTTTAAGTCTTGAATAATAAGTCAGTGAAACTTGCGTGCGCTTTACGAGATGTTTCCACTGGCTTTCTTTCTCCAGCCCATACATGTACCTACATGAGCAGATTGCATGGTATAATACATCCATTGAGACTGACCCTGCCATGAACAGAAATCCAGTGGTGGTTGCTTCAGAAACAGGAAATGTAGTCTCAACACCAAGCTCCATGATAACTGGGTAGGCACCGAAGCCAAACGTTCCAAATACCCCTGCAGTCACTGCTACGTACACATCCAGCCCTCGGTAGCATGCTAACTGGGGAGTGCAGCAACAAGTTCAGCAACATCAACAAAGTGACAGGCACAAGTACAGTAAACTCCGGCTAAACCGGCACTCGGGACCCGAGAATTTGTGACGACTTACGCGAATGTCGATATCTGCTGTAAGTCGTCATTTTGCCGACTTAATGAATGGTCTTTTGCACACATGATTCATTGCACTAGTGCTTGAGTTGAATCCAGCAAATAAATCCTCGAACCGTATCATCACGTTTGGGGGTATTGATAGTGGAGACCACGATATACATGTACGTGCACAGTAACGAATTAAATGCGTGCGTGGTCCGGTAAATACCATGCACGCATTGACTGCAGCACTAGTCATTCAATAAGACGACCCCCAATATGCGTACAGCCTAGAGGGGGTACTGGTATTGATGTGCTCACGATGCAAATGGGATGTATGCAGTAGGACACCCTTTTCGACACCGATGCATGCAGTGATCACAGGCCGTGCGAAACCACTTTTCACTCGACACTTTGCTAACCGCAGTACAGGAAGTCGATGCCAATGCGTGATTTGTTGAATGCCGACTTACACCAAGGATTTTGTAATGCTTTTTATGGCAAGGGGACCGAGAGTAACACAACGACTTGAGCGAAATGGTGACTTATAAAAGCCGACTTAGAAATAAAAAATCAATGGAGATGTATTACGGACAATCGGGACTTTAGTCAGACGGCCGACTTGAGCGATTTGACGAGTTTTACGATGTCGGTTTAGCCGGAGTTTACTGTAGATTAAACATGCAGACCCTAGGACAATTCAATATAAATGATAAATCAATCTGTGCATAATGAAGAGTTGATATAGGCAAACGGACATAAGCTCAAGTACACGGGCTGCTGTAGACACACTACAGAACACACGTTACACAACAGGCGTGCACATTTATAAACAATGTACATAATACACGTGTATTGGGCCCTATTATGGGCTAATAATCAAAACACTGACTGGATACAATGCCTTTGCACCTGTTAAATTCCAACTTACATGTATGTTTAAAGGTGTAGTAGGCCATTTGTCATTTATGCATTTGTTTTGTTTGAAACAAAACTGCTCAAAACATAAGCACAGGTGCTAAACAACTAAAGGCTGCAGGCTGTAACAGCTGCTAGTACAAACTGTCATAAATAGCTAGAATTGGGGTTCATCTGTCGTGACAGATAGTGGCTGAGTGACATCCAAGCAAGACGCTATGTGCCCTAAGTTGGAAGAAAATCATAGTAGGGTTCGTCGATACATCGATATTACTTGATTACTCAGTATCAATGTGATATTAATACTGTTGATATCACTTTTTTAAACATATTAAAAATATTGAGAATTTGATTTGAGAAAACGGTATGAGAAAAATGTTAGCCAATGTCTCTGCGTGACAGAGCATGGTTGAAAGCAAAGCTGTATGTCGGCAGAAGACAATGCAGGATTTGGGTTTTTTTCTGTCTCAAGTACAAAATAGTTCCCTTAAAGTAACAGATAGGTTTAAACTCATAATTTCAGTTAGTCACAACTCAGAGATGCCACAGGGTCTGCTTCAAAAAACCGGAACTTTATTTTGTTGTGAAAAAGCCACTCCGACACAAAGTCCTCGTTGTCATCTTTATCTTGTAGCCAAGCCCAGTTCCGTAACTTCCGTTTATTTTTTAAATTTTGCTTCTATGGCCTTTAAGCTGTCGGCTCGTCCAATCACTTGAATTTTTCCATATTCCTATTATTTATTCTGCCTACCCGAATTTACAACGTCTATTCGACACGAAACATGCAAGATACCCCAACACTGTCGGTGTACATGACCTTTGCACTACGCGATGCGCGCGACGAAAACATATTCACTTATTTCACTGCGATCGGAAACCACCAATAACTGAAATGATAGACTTGATTTCCAGGCTGAATGCTACGTGTGCTTAGCACACAACACGCCCGCACGCAGTGTAGCACGCGAGGCGCCGTTGTATACTGCGTGCAAGTACGTTGGCCGCCTGTATCGCATGCAGGCTCGGCAACAACGAAGACTTGCTTTTAAGGCTACTTCAACGAACAACGTTGTGCCGTGCCGTACATGCGCAATCCTTACAACATGTAGGCCTACATGTACTAAACTCGAGAGTGCTAACGAGGTAAAAACTAATGCATTTCCACAGTTTTTCTTCTCTTTTTCCAGTTATTTTTGACGGCCGGAAAAAAAGAACGGATTAAAAAAAACCCGGAATTCCGGCTAAAACCGGAAAAGTGGCATCTCTGACAACTACAACAACGTAATGAACCATATTTCTTGTGGACCATGACCATTGGAGAGGCATATGGACAACTACTGCAGCGGATTACTACTGCAACCTGTGCAGAGCAATGCAAAAAAACATGCGTGCGTGTATATTGGATTTGCACATTTGCACTTGTTATCAGTTTGGTATGAATAATGCCCCCTAGCTTACCGAACAGAAGGCGATGAGTCCAAGTACAGCTGAAGTGAAGCACAGCTTGGCAGTAGGTTCAAACTTCTTGGTTTTATCCACGTACGCACCGGCAATAATGGCTCCAATTATTCCACCACCAATCATCAATGCCCCAACCAAGGATGCAAAGGACTGCAAGGTAAGAAATATACATGTCAACTGACTTAACATGACCTATTCAGATATGGCACTTGCCATGTTCAATATTTCCATTCTCCTGGGTCAGATGCCAGGGCATTGACCACAGAGATGCAACTGGTGTTTGGATACAAACATCTGAAACTAGGCCCGAGGGTCTGGAGCAGCCACACCCTCACTGCAAGGACCAGGGTGCAGTGTCCTAAAGATGTTTAAGAAATTTAACAAACTTAAAAAGAAACATGCACAAAGTTTACACAGAAATACAAGTATAACATGTTACTAACTCGAAATAACAACACAAACCCAAAAAAACACAATCAAGTTGGCAGACATGAAAAACACCGTTCCCCCCCCCCCCCCCCCCCCCCCCGATAAATAAAAAAAAACACCAAGAGTTTAAGGTCGACAAAATATGGCCCATTTGAACGAGTGTCAGTAGACAACTTGAGCTAATTGGATATAGATTGGGGCATAGCGTTCTGCCGACTTAAAAAAAACCCACAATATTAATATTAAAAAAAGGGCAAACTGATACTAGAATCATACGCTTACAAAACTACTGACCGGAAAAACTAACAATTTCAAATGTCCCGCGCTGCGAATTTGTGGACCATCTCCTACAATGCACTGGGAAATATGAACTCTCTGTGGTAAACTACATTGTGAATCGCCCGAATTGAGGGTGCTTTTGGAAGATTTACAGCAACAAGTTTGAGCACACTCTACGGTGAAGCATGGTTTGACTGACTTGACTTAAACCCATGTTAGTTGACTATGATTCCACTGGTCTAGTGGACTATCATCAGACTAGTTACCAATAGCCACATCATTAGGTACTGTAGGGACCAAGGTTTTGAGAGACGCATTGGAACATTGCTTCTAGTCCAGGTGTAAATTATGTCATCAACACTTGTCAACCAATGGTCAACAAGTGACAACTGTTGTTGCACAATGACATTTATTTTCATGGAAAAATTGTTGTAATTAATTAGATTTGTTTTAGTCGAAAGACAAAAAAAATGTTTAGCATTTCCTAGTTAGGTCATCCTTTATGAGGACAGTTTACAATAAATATGGTAAAATCATTATCCAATTGCAATGCTAAACCTACATCATCATAGCCTTTTGAACAGAGGACCTGCTCCACCAATGAACTGATAGTGTTGAACAAGCCCAGCCCAGAACCAAACACCAGCACAAGCAACAGGTAGGCACGGTTGCGTATTATCTGCAAAGAAACAATGTTGGGATTGGTTGCAAAGTATTTATGCAAAGCGTATGTTTCCATGACTCTTTCTGGAAATGTTTCTCAGATAAACTATTTAACAATTGAAGGGAATGACCAGAGGAATTATCTTCAAAAAATTAAGTTTCATGTCCAATAATTTATCAAGATAAATGGAAGTCTATCTTTGACAGTATAATGTTTTACATAATCTGTATGAAACATAGATCTATATCATCTATTTAATTCAATTGTAAACTGATTTTTAGCTGTTTCGGTAACAACCGAAACAGCTCTTGTTTTCGTTAAAGTTTTTTTTTTTTTTTTTTTTCTTCTCTTTCAGACTCTTCTCCATAGGGTTTGTACACGTTTTTCCTTTCTTAAGGGCACTTTGGCACTTTCTTAAATTGCATCAACCTCAGACTTGGCACACACTTAGACCACCATCCACAGATGGTCCTAGAAGAAATTCGTAATCATGACGTCATCAAGTGTCAAGTTACGTAACATTAAAGGTGTATTTTTTGTCCATTGGGTTTGTACACGTTCTTTTCTCCATAGGGTTTGTACACGTTCTTTTCTTCATAGGTTTTGTACACGTTCTTTTCTCCATAGGGTTTGTACACGTTCTTTTCTCCATAGGGTTTGTACACGTTCTTTTCTCCATAGGGTTTGTACACGTTCTTTTCTCCATAGGGTTTGTGCACGTTGTTTTCTCCATAGGCTTTGTACCCATGGGGTCGGACAACTCGACCGTTATCCAACTTGACATTTTGACAGCGTGCGCGTGCATGCCTTGCCGCCCTACAGCTGGCCAGGTCCCCGCGCACTCTACGCGGTAAAGTCATGATGCCACAGATTTATGCGGCTTACGTAAATGTGACAAACTTGTAGTTGGGTATGTGATTTGGGATAATCATGATTTATCAGAAGTTAACAACTTTAAAGAATTTCTAAAATGTTAATGTGGGATTTTCGGGGATTTGTTCAAGTGCGCCACGTTAGGAACACTGGAAAGAATTCCATATAAGCCTCCACCTCTATGGGCCATGACAGGAAACGTCAAAGTATTTTTAAAGAAATCTTGATTTTTTCCCCTCCTAAATTTCCGTTTCTTCGTCAGATTTACAACTTTTGGTACTTTTCAAGTCATATCTAGGAAAATAACTGGAGTCCGTATATGGAATTCTTTCCAAGACGTTTTGTATTCTTGTCAGACCTCGCACAGAACTGTGGCACTGTTAAAGTTGTTTGCTGCCCTCTAGTGTTTTAAATGATCTACCTATAATGAAACGTTCGAGATTGTCAGGATTATATTTCGAGGGGCAAAATTACATACAATCTGAGGAATCAATGTGTGCAGTTAAAAGGAGACAGTCATGTGACGAATGCAGGGGGCGGGGATAAAAGGATATCATCAGAGAAGGGCAAAACTGGATACCAAGTGATGATTTGGGCAGTCATATACATGTAGGCTGATAACATTTAAAAAAAAAAATCAGAGGTGCTTAGTAAACTACATGTAAAGAATACAATATTCACAGAGAAGCAAACCCCCCCCCCCCCATTGCACAACCATGCCCATTGCCTACCATGTGGGAAAAAAATCATCCTTGTTTGCCATTCAAGTGTCAATAAAAATGACTTCACACTATTTTTCATTTGTTTACCAGGTAGTTTGCTTTACATAATCACTCTTAGAATCAGAGACATGTGTCCTGAATTACAATATCTTACACAAGTCAGATGTAACTCGGACACCAAAATAGGACCCTAAATTTATGGAATCACCCACCTACGCTGTGCACACGCACCCGTTCCCCAACGCAAAGAAAAGAGGACTGCGCACACATTGAACCACGTGGATTTAGGACGTCTGACATAAATCGACTTCACACACTTGGCACACACGGCAAAAACTTAGAATCCCAACACAAAGGTTCTGGGTTCGATAGCCGCCGATGGCCACGTCAATCTTTTTCATTCAAAGACAGAAAAAAACACCGAAACAGCTCGGTGTTTGTTTAACTACAAACACAACGTCCGTCTAGTTTTTATATAAATGTCTTATAACCAAACAAAATTTAACATTTGACCATACCCAGAAATATTTCAGCCAATTGTAAAGGACTTGACCATTCTTCATGTTTTCCTTTTGATCTAGAATACAATGTAATCAGTTAATTCTAAGAAGAAGTCTTTTCTATGGCAGTGTCTGTAGCACAAATAAAGAATCTGTTTCCCTTTCAATTGCTTGCCCACAGCTCTAAAAATGCTTTTGTGATAAGGAAATAAAGAGGAAACAAAAAATTTGATACTTCCTCAATTCAGTGATATATTATATACAACTCTTCCCTTTTCTCAAAATGAACACAATTCAACTGAGTCGTCATAGTGTGGAAGCATTCACCACACTGTGGCATGACAGTACATGTATCTACATACTTTTTTCAAGCCTTGTACGAATGATTCACTGGATTCAGCAGCACTTGCGCTGGGTGGCGTGGGAGGAATACTCCTACAGAATCCTAACGTCATCATTACTGCTGCTACACCTCCAGGAATGATATAGATCCATAACTACAAAAAAACACATGCAAATGTCTGGTCACCACTTGGATGGCACTGAAAGCTATACACATTTTTCATGAAAGGGTACCCTATTTAACTTTCCTAAGAAATCAATGCAATTACCAGTGTGGGGTACCAGTGAGTGAGTCATATCACATGGTCATCAAAAGTTTCTTGAGGTTTTCTGCAACAACTTGAAAACTACGTAATTAAAAAAAAACTGTTGTTACCACTTGGTCACACAGCTTATATTTTATGGTTTTCCAACAAAATATGTCGGTTGTCCTGGAATGCCAGACCCCCTATCTGTGAGCACTGATCTGTAGAATTAGGAATATCCCCAATGTGTGCACTACATTTTGTACATGTACATGTACATGTGTGAAAGGTTGAAATGGCGCAGCTACTGCACCGAGTATGTCCATGTGTTTGAACAAATACGCATCAGAGACCTGATGGACAAAAGACACAAAAGAAAAGAACGCCAAGGACAACGCGGTGGCACAGATACCCGAGATGCGTCGACTACGACGGCTCTACCCACTTCTACTATTTTGTATATGAACATGTGTGAAAGGTTACTGCTGTTCTCAGATGAGGCTTTGTCTCCCCCTTGTGGGGGAGGCAGCTTCACAGCCTGTGCCCACTTCGCGGGAGAGTTGCTTGCCTTAGCCAAAAATCCATAAACTCACACAAACATTTGCACATACCATTGTTGGAAGATCACTTTCCTCTTTCACAATGATCTTGGACAAAAGGAATGCAGCTAATATTCCCAGTGGGTTAGATGCTGATCCCAGTGTGTTGGCTATGGCTCGTTGGCTTTCTGGGAACCACAAGGCAGCTAATTTTGTTGGGGCAAACAGGAGAAACGGCTGGGCCATGGCTGCGATCCCTTGGCCAATTAAGAGAACGATGAACCTGATCTGTCCCTTCAACTGATGGATAGTACTGATATATCGAACAGCAAGACCAACAACATTCAGCCACGCACCCATCATCAACTGCAATTCAAAATAAACACAGGATTCTGATTATAATGGCGTCAATAAATTGCTCCAAACTAATACTGACTATATGGACATGACATTTAAATTGTACGATTAAAAGGCTTGACATGTTGGTTCCAGCAGAAACATTCTTGAGGGCAAAATGGACAGAATTTGCTTGGATTGAAACATCAAACCATTTAACTTTTGCAACAATTATGATAATGTATCACTTTGGCTAACATCGTATTATTGGTCACAGTCTGTTCTTGCAGAAGTTTTTTTCCAGACAAAATCAATGTATTGTAGTTTATAAATACATATCATATACATGTAATTGTAAAGTAACTGACTAATGATGCCTGGTCAAGAAGGGGAAGTATTTCAACTAAAGTTTACAATGATAAAAACAAACGTTCTTGCCTGGAATTTTTGAGGTTATCAGCTTCAGAATTGTTGGCATGTTTTGACAGCGTCCGAATGATAGCTTCCCTTCCATTGTCTTAAAAGTGGTGTTGATTAACTGAACCAAGCACAAAATGTAACTGCATAATAGACTCAAAGATTGACCAATCGCATCACCGAATCATCTACATTCTTTGTTGAATTGACAGTTAGTTCAATCTTGACAACTTACTCCAATTCTCAAGCCAAAGCTGTCCAGAATCCATGCTGAGAAGAAACCCACAGGGATACTTGCTACCATGTATTCTAGGGATAGCCAGTTCACATTGGCAAATGTTGTATTGTAGTAAGAAGCTGTCAGATCGGCAACTGGTGCAAATGTTATCCAGCCCTGTAACAGCAACAATTGCTCATTATAACTCAGTGACTGAACATCATGTTTTGGCAAATGATTTAAAAATAGTTTTGGCAAGGATAAAAACTAAACAATTTTTAGGCTGATTTATAGTTGGTATGAAAGTGAAATACAAATTTGAGGCACCGCATTTTTTCCCCTACATATCATAAAAGTTGAATGCTTTTGAACCTCAGTAATTATTCGCTGCAACTGTTTTTGAGATTTTGTTTTTGAGAATTTGTTTTCGCATTGCCATTCTTGTGAAGTGAAAGCTGGTCTAATTAGTTCCCTCATGTACATGGCTAGTGTACTAAAAATCTTGGAGAAAAGTATGAGTTACTACATGTAGGGTTATGTCACTGCATGGGCATGGCAGGTGCACAGTTCACCCCACATGCTGCAGAAATTGAACCCTCCATACATTTAACCAAAGGTACATGTACCAAAGGTTAACTGTGTCAATAAATAGTATACATTGTAACAAATCCACCATACAAAAAAAACCCATTATCTTCTGACAATATCAACGGTCAATTTGGGAAATAGTCTATTGTAATTTGTAGCACTTGTATTACGCGGTTATCTATGACAACCATACTAGTGGTGTGCATTTATGGATAGTATAAGGACTAGGTACATGTCATTGTGTACATCTACCCTATTAAACACAGCTACATGTATACATGTAAGGGTTGCCAACCTTGCCATCTTTGTGTGGACCTGAAAACAAACCAGGTCCACACGATGCAGATTGGGTGATCTCTGTGGACTAAGCCAGGTCCACACTAGGTTTCCCCCTCTCTGGAAAACAGGTTTAGAAGAATTTTGGGGGGGGAGGGTTATCCGTCGCAAAATGAAGAGGAACACCCCAGGAAATCATGATAAAAAATTTGGGGTGAAAAAGTGTTCACAGTGCTTTTTTTTTTTAACTACACGAAAACAAAAGGAATGTCCACAGTAGGTACATGTGTATATAATGTTGGTACATGTACAGAGTTCCTTATGGGGTAGAAAACACAATAGAACAAGAGACCCCATAAGGGAAACCCTATGGAGTTTGAGATTTCAATAGTAAAAAAGGAGAACAAAAGAAGGGAAACAAAGGTCTTCCCCACAGGTACACATGTATGTAAGGCTCAGTGGACAGGCCGTCACCATGTTACAGGGAAGGTTTTTATTGTTAGGCAAATTAGGACCGAGTAATGGGGACTTTCTGCTGTCCCCACAGCGTCTCTGGTCCCCACAGTAGTACCATGAGACAACTCATGTACACATAGTTACAAAACAAGTGTGGGTGAGTTTGTCTTACAGTCACTATGTGGACATGTGAACAAAAGATGTCCACATAATGCAGGTTGTGTTGACGTTATGTGGACTTTAAAGCCGCATCCACATAACGTTTCACCCTCTCTGGAAAACAGGTTTAGAGGCATTTTCGGATTAGGGTTATCTGTCGCAGAATGAAGAGAAACATTCAAGGAAATCAAAAAAAAATTGGGGGTTGAAAGAGTTTTCACAGTTTAAGTAAAGTTATTTTTTGTACCGAGTTTTCTTAACTACACGAAAATAAAGGAATGTCCACAAGGGCAATTCTACGGTTTGATGGACATGGCTAAGAAAAAAAAAGTTTTATTTTTTAACCCAGTTTCAGATTTTTATTACAGATTATACATTCAAGTATGAGAAATTAACAAAGAAAACCCAATTTTATCAAACATTTTTTGAGAAATCTTGTCGTAAAGTGAAAAATATTTTTTTACCACACAGAACTCAAAAATTTGGTAAAGTTTAAACATTGATTGCTTTTAATGCAATTAGAGATATTTCAATCATAACCTTATTTCTAGCATGTATGATAGTCTTAATCTCTGAAACATATGTCAATTCACAGCCGTCATCCATTTTTAGATGTCAAAAGGTAGCATTTTATACCTTTTTTTGGTCAATGTAACGTGAGTAACTGAAAAGATATAAAAGTTTTTTTCTCACCAACATTTCTAATGAATTAAATTTTGGTATTTAGGATTATCATTCTTTGCATGAACATAGATATAAATATTTAGTGTTTTGTTGACACTAATACATACATATCTATATATATAAGAGAGAAGTTTACTCGCCCCCGAGACGATGTTTGCTCCTGAAAGGATCCGTGACCGCGGGCTCCCGCGGCCCCAAAATCGCTCCACGTCCGTGGAAAAATGCGGAGGGTGTCTTCCGCCGGGTCGGACGCTTCGGGTCGTCCTAATTTTCCCGTACGGACCGGCGATCCGTTTCGTCGATTTTTCGTGACTGCATTTTGCGCAGGAATTTGCCGTCGTGTGCGCTTTCACGTTGACTGCCTGGCCGCCCCCCGTGCTGGCTTTTCTGCGTGTCTAGACTGTGCGAGGTCAGCGAGGTCAACGTAGGGGTTCCGTTTACGTGTTCTACTCGGCCCTTCTGCGAAAGCGTTCACCAAACGTTAGTATGTGGTGACCTTGGTAAAATATTTTTTGTCCATGGTGCGTGGCCACCAAGTGTCCCTATTCTTTCATATGCTTCGCTTGCCGCCCCTGCGCCGAGTGCAACGAATACTCAGAAGGACTATACATTAAGTATGCCTTGCGCGGTCTGACCAATCGAAAGTCTACACTGCGTAGTATTTCCGGGCTATGCAAAACTGTCGATGGCAACGCGTACTGCAGCCTGCTCCACACCCTGCAAACGAGGTTGGGTCTACGGTGCTCGCTATTTGCATGATTTGAAGCACAAGCATTTGAGTGACGTGTATAGTGCTCTGTTGCTTCCATCGTGTGTTAATACAGCTCCATGCTTCCACCAAGGCTGAGCGTTGTGAGTTCGCTGCCCGCCACAGTGTTGCGTTATAATTTCGGGGGCCTGTCTGGGATCAACGAAGGATCGATGCATTGCTTCAAACATCGCGATCTCAAATGCAGTCACACAAAAAATCAACGAAAATGTGTCCGATCCGGCGGAAGACACCCTCCACATTTTTCCACGGACGTGGAGCGATTTTGGCGTCGCGAAAGACCGCGGTCTCAGATCGTTTCAGGAGCAAACATTTCTCGGAGGTCGAGTACAATTTGCTCTTATATAGATGGTTGACCCAAGTTGAATAACAGTTGACTCGACAAGTTCCTCGCAGACGGTCTCGCAAATTGTAAGACGTTCAAGTTTACGTTTGTTGAAGAGTCCAATATACTGAAACTTAATTATGACCTTCTTAATTAGCCTTCGCCTGTGTACTACGGCAAGCCTTTCAAGTACGTTTTCTCACAAATGCCACTGCCTCACAAAATGCCAATTTAACAGACCAACGGGAACATTTACAGACTGTTGCCATGGTACATAATTATCATGGGCGTCAATCGGTGGGGGACGGGGAACCCCTCCACCCCCCCCCCCCCATTTTCAAGCGGTGGAGACTTTTTTGGTCCCCTCCCTCCCCCCCCCACTTTTCTTCCCCGAATAAAAATTGTAGCTACTACATGTATAATGATTCTATTACTCAGAATAGCTGATTCAATGACACCAAACTCGAAAATGATGTTTAAAAGATGATCTTTTGCTAAAAAAAAATTGTTTTAGTGGTCAGAAATTGCCTCAGATCGCACCACAGAAATTGCTTTTCTATAAGTGCATGTCTTCTCAACTAAATCCCCCAATTACATTCATCTCCCCACATTTTCATCCCCAACTCTACGCCCTACCCGATCTATGATCGGGTAAATCAACGAGGGATAGATGCATTGCTTCAAATATTGTGATCTTTGAACTATGTTGGGTTGGAATAACGAAGAGTGCATAAATAATAATATTGGCGGTTGTTGGCTGTTTGGCCTTGCTTATATTATGGTTGAACCATGCCAACTTGAATAAAATAGTTAAATCGACTTTTTCCTCGCAGGTCTCGCAAATTGTACGAAGTTCAAGTTTACGTTTGTTGAAGAGTCCAATACTGTACCTTCATAATGACCTTCCTCCATGATTCAGACTATGTAATTTTATGGTAACACACTCAACATTTCTATTGCAAATGCCACCTTCACGTTTTATTCCATTATGATTTATTGTCAAAACAGTACAATCAGCCTTCGCCTGTGTACTATACGGTAAGTCTTTCAACTCAGTTTTCCCATATGAACAAACACGACTGCCTCACAAAATGCAACAGACCAACGGGAAAATTTACAGACAGTTATACATGCCAAGGTACATAATTATCATGGGCGCGGCGTCAATCGGTGGGGGACGGGGGACCCCCACCCCAACATTTTAAAGCGGGCAATATCGTTTGGTTCCCTACCCCCACTTTTTCTTCCCCGAATAAAAATTGTAGCCTACTATAATATTCTTTTGCTCAGAACAGCTAATTCAATGACTCCAAACTCGAAAATGATGTTTAAAAAATGATCTTTTGTTTTACTATATCGTACGTGGTCACAAATTGCCTCAGATCGCGTCACCGTAAATTGCTTTTCTATAGCTACATGTCTTCTCAACTAAATCCCCCATTTACATTTAACTCCCCACACTTTCAACCCCAACACAAATACGCCCTACCCGATCTATGATCGGGTAAATCAGCTTGTTTAAGAATAAAAGGCAACTAAATTTGGTAACGTAAGTAACTTTTGTAATGTGAGTAACTTTTGTAACGTGAGTCGTGAGTAACCAAAAATGTAATGTGAGTAACCAAGTTTATTATCCCAAGTCACCCAAACTATACCCAAACTGACTTTGCTTATAATGTTGATTCTGTTGACAACTGTTCATCTTAAACCAAAGAACCTCAAGCATTACAGATACTTCTTAAGTATATTTTATCCCGTTTATGGTGCAAAATGGTCTTTGAGACAGCATAATTTTTAAATTGAATCTAATTACAGTATTTTATCAAGTGTTCATGTTGTAATGGAATAAGGAAGACACCTGTATGTCACTGCATTGAAATTTAAATGTTTATTTGGAACAAAAGCTAAATTACATTACATGTACTGTAGGCACTTCACACTAAGCTACCGGTACAGTGGTATGCCCTGGATTCCCTGGAACCCACTCGCCACATCATGGTCTCTGATAGTGTGGCCTTTCCATGGACCCAATATTCTGTGATATAGTGGCATACATTAAGTTTTAGCAGACTCTCAGATCATCAGAGGTTTGTTCTGATGGCTCAGCATTAGATAAAAAAAAACACAGCTGGACTTAAGAGGAAACATCAAATTCCTGATAGGGGATCAGTATGCACAAAAGTCGGTCTCTGGTCAGCGCGAGCGTCGATTTTATTCATGCGCGTCGATCTTTTTTTTCCAAAATGTTCCGCGGTAGCTCCAACGACGCCCTCTATTGCCGCACCTCCTCAAATTTTTTACCAAAGAGCACCAAGGAATGGGAAATTGCACCAAGGCAAATGATCGAAAGCACTAAGGCAAATTATGGAGGACACCAATGTACATGAGGACACCAAAAAGCAAAATAGTACCCCACCTTGTCTGTACAATCCAAGCTTGAAGAAAAAAAAAAAAAGCAAAAAAAAAAAAAAAACGGCCGCGTGGCCACGTCAATTCCGGAACTTTGGTCTGACCAGAGACCGAACATTTTTTTTTTTTGGCCTAATAGTATCAGAATAATATCAGATGAAAACCTTTATCTTGGAGTACTTGCCATTGGAGATCCAAAATGCAAATTTAAGTCAGAGTTTTTAGTAGTTCTGATGCCTATTGGGTAGAAAAATACTAATTATGATAATTTAGTCAAAAAACATCATGCCATAAAATTCTGAGATGGGTCGGACAAAATGTAACGTGAGTAACTGTAACGTGAGTGACCATGTTTTTTGGTGGATTGCAAAAAAATGGAAGATTCTAGAGGATTTGTTTTACGTTTTACTCTTATTATGTGTGCCCCATGGCATGGTCTTTTATCCATTTAATAGAAATTTCCACAGGTTGCCTATGTGAGGTTACTTTTTGATCAAAGCATGTTTGCTTTTTATGCATGTCCGAAAATGTAACGTGAGTAACCGAATTTGTGCGTCTTGTTTATCATACATAACACATTTTTCTGGATGTCATCTTTGGTGCTTAGGTAGGTTTAGGTCTATTCTATCTACCATGGGGATAACAGTTATTAAACCTTTTCAGTAAGGTAATTACAGCCCAAGGAAACTCAAAAGTACATCAAAAATGTAACGTGAGTAACCGTGGAATTGCCCACATGGCGTATGTAAAACAAACATAGGTGAGTGTGCATGTTTATGGTGCAAATCCTGGACACACATGTGAAGCATCATCGAGTTATTGAGGACAATAGTCAAATCAAGGACAAAAATGTGTACAAAACCAGTGGGAGCTGTTGCAAAAAAAGTTATATACACAGAGTATCAACAAAAGATCGATGATGAGGAACAATGGAACATTGTCGATTTACACCATAAACAAACCTGCTGGGATGTGTGTGTGTGTTCCCGAGTTGATCACACATGTTCACGAGTTGTTCATGCAGTGTTCAAACATTATATACGGGTACATGGGTTAATCAGGCAAATGGCCAATTCACACACGGGTACTCGGGCAAGCCAGGCAATTGGACCAATACACGGCAAATCGTACATATACCTTCTACCTTTTCCCATTCATGAACCTCACTCGGTCAAGGAACCGCACACAATGGTTTTGGGAATCTTGCCTTGCAAAAGGGCTTGAATTTATATGCAAAATAACGCGTATAATGTGCATCGAAGGAAACAACATAGCTGTTCCAAAAGCCGTTAGTCAGGTGATCAACGTACCATACACATGCAATTGATGGCCGTTGCATGGCACCGGTTTGGTTTGGTCCAATCATTGCCACGTACGTTCAAATGGATGAAGAGCACGTTGATTTTTTAGCAATTTGCTCCAAAATTGATTGCTTCATCTGTGCAGTCCACATTTTTGTTGTATCCAATGACGCTTACAGGCTCATGCTTGCAAGCTGTATGCACGCTCGGCTTGCAACTGCAGTACTGTAGCCTACATGCAAATGCTTATTAAAAGATCAGTCACTTTTGCCTCACTGTAAAATCAACTGTTCATCATTGAAGTTGCACTTTATTACACCACTTACAAACAAAAAAACATCTCCCCCCGCACTGTAAAAGAAAAGGCATTTTCTGACTTAAGTCCTGCGTGAGCCTGTTTAGAACGAAAAGTTGTGTCAATGAGGGCAACAAACAGGAATAGTCTATTGGATGACGTCGCTAGCTAGCCTGACCCATAGTACCTGTGTGGCTCATTGCTGTGCTGTATCCTAAATAGCCACACATCCTGCCAGTAAAAATCTGCTGACTTAACACCGCTGTACGCGTGTATACTGATCCATGAAGATGCTTAAATCTCTCAAGAATTGAAGGTAAATTGACACAATCAACTCAAAGAGTTCTGGACCTGTCACTCACCGTCCTCAGCTGCTCCTAAGCTGTGGCTATTTAGGGACACCGCGCTGGGTACGAATAGCTAACCTAGGATTGGTACAGTACAGTGCCACCATCGTTAGGTTTGTTTTAAACATCGGTAGCATTTAAAAAAAATTTTTTTTTTTAATTCCAATATGAAAATGTGCAAGTACATATACCAGCAATAATAATAGTGCAGAGATTGTATTTAAATGTCATCGACAGTGCTTACTATGGCATTGGATAGGTTGAGCACAGCTAACACACTCAACATATACCATCGTCGCTTGTAGACTTTGTAGATCTGACTCTGTGCTGGAATGGACCTGGTTGTAGCGATAGAACCACTACTGCTAGACATCATCTCCTTTCTTGTGTTCAATGGTTGAGAAATCAATGGCACTGGGGCATCAAGAACATCAGGCAGCAGCTTTTCATCATCCATTCCTAACTGAATCCGTGAAAAAAATAAAACAATTCAACTGTTATTTTTTTTATGGGAATGGCCCATCACAAGGCCACTAAAGGTGCGGGCTACAATAGAAAGTTACAGGGAGAGAAGATATGTATTCACATATCTTTTGAACAGGGATAGATTATAAGTTGGTGGAAAACAGGATACAAGCAGCGAGTTCCAAAGTGCAGCAGTCCTCTCAATGTAAATTATTATACACATACGAAACAATATGCCAGCTAGCCGTACGATGTACGTACGCACACGATATACCGCAGGAACGGAATTGCCGTGGCGGCAATTCCATTCCTGCGGTATATATCGTGTGCGTACGTACATCGTACAACTACAATGAACTAGCTGTCTGACGGTACACGCATGAGGGCGCACTATACAGAAAGGATTATCGCGCAAGGTTATTTTTGCATTGTTCAGTTAGACCAAGCTTGATGCCAAGAATCAGGAGTAATTGCAGAATACCCCGCAACTCGGAAATACACCCCTAAATTCTCTGGCTACGAGGTTGGAATCACTGGAAAAGAAACAATTCAAGTCCATGCCAGCTACGCGGATACTGAGTGGGGGTCCATTATTTGAGAGCGAAGCAACACAAAAGGAATGGGAGTTGCTGAAAAAAATTCTAAGTCCAAACCAACCACCCTGTTGGCGGCTACGCGGATATGGAGTGGGAGTCCCCTTGAATATGCTTGAGAACGAGCAACACAAAAGGAATGGGAGTTGCTGAAAAAATTCTAAGTCCAAACCAACTACCCTGTTGGCGGCTACGCGGTTACGAAGTGGGAGTGCAATGGAGCATGACGCATAGTACATACAAGTAGCGCTAAGAATGTTTATTGAGGTCAACCAACCGTGACCTCGTAGCCGGCTACTAGGTGGATAGATCGAGTGGCGGGGTATTCTGCAATTGTGCCAAAACCATCCACATTTGGCTTGAAATCACGCAAAAGCTGGGCAAGTGACATCGGCAGGTGACATCAGCCGAATTTGTTATTAAGAGGTTGAGTGTATTTTGAAAGCATAAATCAACTAGGCACGCAGTCTGAATGTGGAAAAAAATTGGTGACAAGTCCTCACGGTTTAAGTGCATTCAAGGAGTGTGGCCTTACTTAACGCCTTTACGGAGGTAGGCTAGTCATGGTAGCTAGTCAAGTAAATAGGCCACAGGCATGACAGGGGCTACATTACTCCTAGAACTATGAGGCTCCGCGTGAGCGGAGCCTCATAGATCAAGAAGCCCGCAAAATTGCCTGCAGCACAAAACACTAATAAAGTACAAAAACGTCCATCAAAATGCAGCCATTTCACACAGAATCGCTGCACAGTTTGCCCCTATACTCCATACTTTATCTCTTGACATACTCACGTATCTTGTGCGGAACTAACATAGGTGGATTCTGTCGGTTTTTAGGCCAAAATGATGAAAAATATGCCCTTTCCGCATTGAGCTAACCTGACACTTGAAACGTGCACGCATATGATCGAGTGATGATTTTCGGTTCGCTCGCAGCGCGCCGCGGGGGGTACGGTACATGCACTTGTACGCATGCACATCATTTCGCTTGTACATGTACCGTACCCCCCGCGGCGCGCTCCGAGCGAACCGAAAATCATCGCTCGATCATATGCGTGCACGTTTCAAGTGTCAGGTTGGCTCAGTGCGGAAAGGGCATATTTTTCATCATTTTGGCCTAAAAACCGACAGAATCCACCTATGTTAGTTCCGCACAAGATACGTGAGTATGTCAAGAGATAAAGTATGGAGTATAGGGGCAAACTGTGCAGCGATTCTGTGTGAAATGGCTGCATTTTGATGGACGTTTTTGTACTTTATTAGTGTTTTGTGCTGCAGGCAATTTTGCGGGCTTCTTGATCTATGAGGCTCCGCTCACGCGGAGCCTCATAGTTCTAGGAGTAGGGCTACATCATACATTGGCTCAGGATCTGTCATTCCCAAGAAATTCGAGAAGAGAAATGGCACACGATAGAATTTTGGTTCATTGGATTCTGCAAGGTCACGCACAGTCAATAGTCACCTGAATCCTTCGCAAAATTGCATACAAAGCGGTCGTGTGTATGTTCAGTGCAGGGCAATACTGCGGAACTTGCACCATGTGCACTGTTATTTATTACATTGCACTACACTACAGAACATGCGGAATTCGACAAAACAAATCGCTAAAAAATAAAACAGCGTCATCATCACGCTACCCAAAAATAAAACTGTTTGAAGAATAACTAAAAGCAGCCATTAGCAACTATCACCTGCCTGGAAAGGTAAATAACACCAAGTCCAATTCGTACCAACCACAGCTGCACTGTCAGTAGTCCTAGCTATGCGCTTGCTTGCAGCTATTTGCCATGCATCACGTGAATTTGATACACCGGCCTTGCTGAAGAAACTTTGGCTGGGACCCTGTTGTTCAGCATGCAAATTCATGCGCTGAGGATGCCTCTGACGGGTATCCGACTAAAAGTACAAGCCGAAAAAAAATGGACCGAGCGCCCTCTCAGCGTAGCGGTATCAGGTCAACTCGGACCCAAACCAAGTCGGACCCATGCCAAGTCGGACCCATGCCAAGTCGGACCCATGCCAACTCGGACCCACGCCAACTCGGACCCACTACCAACTCGGACCCACGACCAACTCGGACCCACGACCAACTCGGACCCACGACCAACTCGGACCCACTACTAACTCGGACCCACTACCAACTCGGACCCAAGCACGACCAACTCGGACCCAACAATGACTCAATCATTAGTTTCAGAGATTTATATATTTATAGGTAATCTTAATGTTAGTGCTTGTAATTATAGTGAAGATGTTCTGTAAAAAATACATTGGGCAGAATGGGGCTTTTAGTTTTGTTTTCTTGTATTGCCGCTGTGTGGAGCGCTATTTTATGATGCGTATAGTAAATACTGATGCTAAACGTTTATCGTTTTGAACGTCATTAGCTTTTTGAAACCGTGACCTGTGAAGCTAAACCAAGAGGTATTAAGAGCGTATAGTATAGGTTAGGCATCTCGTATGTCATTTGTACAACTTGATATATACGTGCTTTTTCAAAATCTCGATTTTCTTTTTCAAACGAAATTCAAAGGATTATAATTTTCAGTAAAAAATAAATTACTTGTGTTTATGTGTTTCTTTTAAAATGGAGATTAGAATAGACTTCGTTTTTATATCTTATTATTTTATTTATTGACTTATAATGTTTACTTATATTTATTGAGTTAAAAATGTTGTGTTTGAAAGTGTTTATGTTTTAATGCCATATTTTCTGATTATATGTTTCTATGAAGATCAGCCCTGTTCTTAATTTGTATACTCGTTACGTTGAAGTTTGGATTAAAACAATAAATTGCTGTTAAATTTAGCAAGATGGTGTGAACGATGTCAATTAATATGTTTTAATGAAAATAAATAATTGGTTAAACTTTTAAAGCGCAATATGTTTTAATGGAAACAAATAAAAATAATAAATAATTAATTACACTTTTAAAACGCATTTCAAAATAGCATTTCAATGCGCTTGTGACAACGACAAAAATGTTATACTGCTGCAATACAGATATGAGATAATTTACCTTACAACAATTACAATGAAAATTTATACCCAACAGCATCACTGTAATAACAGATGAGAAGTGGACAAACTTTATGAAATGAATGATTGAAAACGATGTCGAATGATTGAAAACGATGGGTCCGAGTTGGTCACGCATGGGTCCGAGTTTGTAGTGGGTCCGAGTTGGTTGTGGGTCCGAGTTGGTAGTGGGTCCGAGTTGGTCGTGGGTCCGAGTTGGTAGTGGGTCCGAGTTGGTTTGGGTCCGAGTTGGATCAAAACCGGAATAACCTGTGTAGCTAGCATGCTCGTGTTTGCAGGGCGCGCGGGGGTGGTACACGGTACGGGTAGGGCATGAATCCCGGGACATACCGTTATTTCGTTTAACCGTTTTGGATTTCCTCAAAAACAAAAACAAAAACAGTAAACGGACCATTGACCGTTTTGTCGTTTTATTAACAACATTGCGTCACTTTCACTGGCGCATGCGGTGCGTCATAAGGTGTCTCCAGCAGGCTCATAAACCATCAGAATCTCAGCGCAAGTGCGCAACCAAAGAATTTTACCGTCATACAGGTGTAATCACCTACTTCAGACTATGGTGGCGAGGTAATAGAGGAGTTCTATGCCAAGCTGGAGCAGCGTTAGCAATAACAGATTAAGTTCATGAAATTCGAAATATACTTAGATGATACAAGTGTCTAACTACTCGTGAAATAACAACTTGGGTATAGATTCCTAGAAATTGATATAAATACATAGTAGATTTGGGGAAGTTTTCGAACGATTTCTTCCAGATTTGAAGGTCAGCTTTACCAGTAACCAGTTTCGTTTCGGCATCGATGACGGAGATTTTTTTCACTGACATGAAGTTTAGAATGTCTTCTTCCGTTATATTTTAACATTTCAATCATACTGAGCATATTTTCTGAGAAACACAACGTTCAAAATTCACTGCATGCTCTGTTATAGCGTCTATAAGTACGTAATTTGCCTAACAACGGCAGACGCTTTGCGTTAGCAACCATATGGCTGTTCAAGGAGACTGGAACGCTAAGGTTGTCCCAGGCCGACTCTGACCAGCAGTGGGCCGGAAAAGTAGTAACTTTGATTCAGTGTATATAGGGAAATTAAACTAAAGACACGGGACTCAGACTCCTGGAGTTCGCCAACAGTCACAGGCTCACACTTGCCAACACTCTCCATTCCCGACAAACCGTCCAGAAGAATAACTTGGCATGCACCCAACGGTCGAGTTCATATTATAATCAGATTGATTATGAACCTCGCACCACGCCGCTTCAAATCAAGCATCAACAAGACTAGAACAAAATCCTACCCTGGTGCAGATGTTGGAAGCGACCAGGACCTTGTTCTGATGGTCGTGACACTGAAGCTGAAGAATAATTTGCTTAACACGCAGCCAAGCCTCAAATCAAGGTCAACTTTGAAAATCTGAATGATCCAGACGTCGCATCTTCCAGGCTCAGATGGGCGGCAAGTTTGCATCGTCAGAGGAAAAAGACGCAATCTTGGGTACCGGACAAATTCCCCAACCTCTTTGGCAAGAGGAGAAGCCCGAAGAAACACAATCATGCCAACCTAGCTGCAGCAGATTAGTACCGACAGACGAAGAAAACAATGAAGCTGAGAACGACTGGATCAATAAGCAGTGCAAGCCCATGGAACAGGGAATAGCAAACAATTAAGCCAGATACACTATAAAAAAAGGGTCGCAACAGCCGAACAGGGCGACAGAAAAAAGTAAGGCGAACCGTTCCTGGCAGAAAGGGTGGACAAAGTACTGTCAGGAGCTTTACAACTTCCATCAAGCCAAATACCATCCTGATTGACAAAAAAACAAAACAAAACAAAACAAAACAAGGAGGAGAAATAAGGATCCACCTGTGACGAAAGAAGATGTGGTGAAGGCCGCTAGTGTCTCGATCTCAATTCAATTCAATCCAATCCAAGTCCAAACTGTGGAGGCATCAACATTAAAAGCTGATGTGCCCATCAATACCAGACAAAACAAGATAAACAGCACTAATTATATAAGTTTGAAATGATAACAACAGTTAAATATGTGTGTATCAAAACAAAATGCAAACAAAAGATATGCCTTTCCACTTTGATATCTTTTGACAGAGTTATGAGTAATTTTTCAAGAGAGGTCACATTGACCATGGGACCAAGTTTTCCATTTTAGGCATTGGGACAAAGATAACCTAATTGCCTCTGTGTGGATAAAAATTGCCTTGCATACGAAAAAGGTATTTAGCGAGTATAAACACAATTCTAAATAATCACATACATCATAAGCATGTAAACACGTTACAAACAACCAGCAAGAAAGTGTTTAGAAATGTGTTTACTCGCTGAACACAATTTTTTTTTGTAGGTCAGGCATATATCTACACAGAGGCAATTAGTTTACCTTTGTCTCAATGCCTAAAATTAAAAACCGTTGGTCCCATGGTCAATGTGACCTCTCTTGGGAAATTACTCATAACTCTGTCAAAAATTATTAGATTTGGACGTTTGATGTCTCATTTTAAAGTGGAAAGGCGAATCTTTCAAGTCATACCTATATTACCTATGTTGGTTACACATTCTACGTCTGGCATTCCGTTATATTTTGTTTCCAACACTGTGTAACGGTTAAACAAAGTATGAATGAATTTATTTTACATTGTAAAGTACATTAGTATCAAAGAAATAATGGCAAACAATGGGTAGGATACCGGTGAGCAAATAATTGCTATCAAAGCCGGTCTCCTGGAGAAGGTCAGGATCAGTTTAAATGAAATTATATTAATAAATCAATAATATAGGTTTTCCCACCCAACTTCACCAAGTTTTCATTCAATTCAACGCCTGGCTCATTCAATTTAGATTGAAATTGAAAAATCACGCAGTTCGTAATTTGACAATCAAAAGGAGTCATTCAATTTCACTTCCGAACTTTCTATCGTCTTTTAGCTTCACTCATCCCTGTAAAAGATGCATTCCAATTAAAAGTATCGCGTTGTTCATTTAATTTCGTCTGAACCAGTAGTAAGGGGTTGATCGGGCATTCCTTTTCATTAATGGGCAAACATATTTCACATTTTGTCAAGCACGTTTTAAGACTTCCTGCATGTAAATTTTACCTGATGGCTTCAATCCTTAGATGCACACCTCTCTTTCTTAATTAAAGTGTCCGTGCAATGAATTTTTCTCAGGAATACATTTTGTGCAACTTTCTACTACTCTGAAATGTATACAAACTATGTTGACATCGTTTTTTGGGTTAGACTTATTGCAAAGTGCACGTCTTTAATAAACATTTAAAAGTTTCCATGCTGTTCCGGACTACTGAGAGCGCTGGTGCTGTGATGTGATTTCAGAAAGACACTGTTCAGTTCAGGGGTTTTCTTTCAAATTACTCACCCAAAATTTGCTAATTGAAAACAATGGCTCAATGGCTTACTGCCATGCATGTACTGACACAAAGAATAACCAAAGAAAAGATATTTATGACAGCAAAATACCCAAAATTCTAGCAACTTTTTGTGCTGAAATCAAGGGCGGATCCAGAACACAATTTTTTGGGGGGCCAAAACAATTTTTGGTCCTCCAAAAAAGTGGGTCCAAAAATTACGGCGTGGGGTTCGGGGCCCGCTCAAGGGCCCCGAAATTTTTTTGGATTCTAGATGCTCTGTGGTGCGATCTGAGGCAATTTCTGACCACTTTAACCAATGTTTTTTTGAGGAAAAGATGGTGGAGTACTCATTGCCTGCCTTTTTTGCGATGTCACATAAAAAAAAAAAATTGGTTTCATTTTAGGGGGGGGGGGGCATGGCCCCCTTTGGCCCCCCCCCCTGGATCCGCCCTTGGCTGAAATAGCCATGTAACATTAATATGCCCGGAATCACATCAAAGTTTTGCTCATGAATATGGAACTTTGCATCAGCAGATAAACAGAGAAGACACCAAAAACACCCTTCAAAATGGAAAAATAAAACTTGAAAATAAGGTTAAATGTGAAAGGTTTAAAATTAAAAGATGTATTTTCAAGGTTTACATTGACAAATTACTTTGCATGAGCCCTTTAAGAATAAGTGTTTGGTCAGACATACGCAAGAAAACACTTCAGAAATTACCCAAGCAAGAGAAGTGTTCCCGATTATACAACCATTGCTAAACATACATGCCCCGATGTCTGCACGTCAAGAAATCGTCAACGTTGAAAGGAGCCCCTTGATCAAACGTTTAAACAAGTAGAAAAGATCAACTGTGAAAAAGAAATTATATTAGCCCTATTCTTTTCATTACTTCGGTACATGTTGTATCCCTCATATCAGTTAATTTGTTTGTATATTGTTCAGTCCGGTTTTGGGGGAAAATTAACTTCGGAGGAAAATAGGAAAATATATCAATTAAAACATCATATTAATTTGAATGACCAAACGATGAAAGTGATTGCCCATAAACGAATAAGAAACGAAAAGCCTGGTAATACGCTATAAGCCCACGGACGTTCGCTAATGTGAATGGTCAAACGTCAAAAGGTTGCAAAGACTTAATATAAGAATGCTACAAAGTAAGTCTCGAATGCACCAAAACGAAATAGAATGCCCCAAACGAACATTCAGTGCGAAATCTTGGCTGCCTAAAAATGAAATTGGATGCCCCCAAAATGAAAACGAAACCCCAATTTGATCACATGTGCAAAACTCACGCGAAATTGAATGGCTGATAATGAAAATGATTAGAAAAATTCGGAAATTGGCCGGGAAAACCTATAATAGACACGCGGCTAAGCCAACTTTATAATGAATCAGGTATTCTGAGAATTAATCGTGATTTTAGTATTTATATGCACTTGATGTCTAATTATAGTTATAGACGGTGAAAGATAGTTCAAGTGTTTTGGTCCAGAGAAAGAAATGGCATGTTAAGAAAGAGTTGTTCTGACTTGAGGTTTATAATCGATTTTAACTTGACTGGGACAGCAGAGTACGGTTTGTAACCGCGGGTGTTGCCAAATGCATTTGAATTGAGGGCCAACAAAAGAGTTGCAAAGAAATTATTTTCTGCAGGCAAACAGTCCTGTTTAAGTACGGGAACAACTTGAAACGAAGCCAAAGACAGAATTGCGCAGAAAATACGATTATACATTATATGAATTTGCCACAGACTTGGACAAAAGTCTAGTCTGTTAACCCGGCCCCTGTGCTGACATTACAGCGCTGGCGACAATGACCTGATGACCCGTGTATTATGATAAGGTTCCTATTGTGTGCAAATGAGCGAACGCAAAGCGGTTTGGCTTCCTGAGAGTGTGTTTCCTTCATAATTCATGTCGGACCTGTGCATCATGGCACTGTGCATGTCATCTTCAGCTGTGTTCGCTTTTGATGCTTGAGGCGGGAGGCCTAATGTGGTAAGATGAATTATCATATCATAAAAGGATTATGCTTCCTATATAGTTGATTACCTCATGGAGCTAGAAGGAAAACAGAATGTAATGCAGGCCAAATTGCCAGAAACATTGAAAACCAGCTGTTTTGTCTCCTTGATAGGTTTTACGTTTAATATCACAGTATTGTTGTGTGTATGTTCAGTTCAATAGTGGGGGTCTTTTGACGGTCATCGGGGAGCCCCTGTTGTCGTTTATAAATTGATTCAAGGCAGTGATCGATAACAACCATCATCATTTCACGTGCAGTCATCATGCTCAAAGTAAAGCCACAAAGCATGCGTGGGACAGTGGACTATGTGCATCATGTATATGGTTGTAACTGGCCTGTAGGTTTTTAATTCCCAGACAATTTTGGAAAATGTGCATTTGAATTTGGCGCTGATTTTGAGAACGACAAAATATATCCTGGTTGCATTTTCGCATTAACTAGCATTTGATTTCATTTTGCATCATTCAAATAAACGAATGTTCACATGCATAACGTTTCATTTAAAGAATTACAAATACGTGATTATACTATAGGCTTTCGGTTTAACGTATGCGTTGCTGATTATTTCGAATGTGCAATCTAATTCGCAGAAAATCAATTTTTTTTTGGGACACGGGCTGAATTTAACATTCTTTTTCATTTGCTGTACGTTAAATTCGCACATTCTGCATTCCATTAAAATGTTTAAAGGTTTTTACAAATCATGATACAAATTGGTTGATTGTGTTGTTTGTAGGCCTAATTGATCATTATGGTTGTTCTATTCACAACGGACTGTGAAATGTATGCAAATGAAATATTAAAATTATATAAATCTGACCAAAATAAAATCATTCCAAATAATAGGCATAGGCCTGTTATTTGGACGTCAAGGGAACTGGGGAACTTTTTATTGTTGGTTCTTTGTCTTCATTGTATATTAATGTATTTCTGTTTTGCTTAAGTTCTCTCTCATTTTATGAGTTCTATTGTCTATCCTCAATGACCTGCAACCATTACTGGATATTTTAGTGGGGCTATGTGAACTGCGACACTTTTCCATATGATGTGATTGTGGCAAATGCTGAGCAAAAATAGAACGATTTTTTTCCATCTTGTGTTTTTATATAAGATTTATTACAATATATAGTTGGTATGTTTCAAAAGCCCACACTCTTGGTTTAGTTCAGTCATTAATGAATATTCAAACATTCAATCATTCAATCAAACATGCCTCATGTTACTTTTGTTAACACATACCTCAATGAACTTCATTTTTGACCATTCATAGGTCATGTAAATACTGAGCGGGATAACGGCTGCACACTGTAGCGAAATAGATTGATGATCAATGAAAAGGAACAGGATTGCAGATGTGCCTTCGATTTTGCGCTAAAAAATAATGTAATGTCAATATACCAAATTTAGTGCACATTCGGGCAATCGTACGCTGAACGACTGAATGCACCTTCATTAGTAATAGAATTATCATTTGTTAAATAGAAGCAGGGATTTGGAACGTTCATTCTTTTTTGCACGAAATTTCATTTTACAAATTCATATACACATTTTCCAAAATTGTCCGGGAAAACCTATTATTAATTTACTTCTGGACCGAACTACAACTGGCATTGATAGCGCCCTCATATTGTGTTCTCCGCATATCTCAAAGACGATGGCGTTCTTCCAAGACTTGTATCTTTGATTTTGCAAAAAAATCAGAACCCTGTTTTTTTTTTTCGTTTTTCGGGGCCCTTAACTGGGCCCCGAACTTCTCGCCTCAATTTTTGGGACCCACTTTTTTGGGGGACTGAATTTTTTTGCACCCCCCCCCCAAAAAAAAATGTGTCCTGGATTCACCCTAATTGCCTTCGAACGGTTTTTCAAGCAGTGCTTTTCTTCCTCTATTTATATTTTCATAATATTTTATCCGCCTTAATCCTAGCCTTTCGCCAAGGCCATCGTGGCTTAGAGCTGCGAACCTGCGAGCGACTGGAGCAAAGACTGAGTGGCGAAGCCATGCGCACGAGGCCCGCCTTTACTATTTGATTTTGTTGAATTAGTCATATTTTTTATGCAAATAAGTAGCTGAAAGATTAACCAATCACAACGCGGATTTTGCCTAGTTGCGTCCATTTGTGAAGGAAGGTGAGTAATGGAAAACGTAAGAGACAGTAACTATTCAGATAAATAAATTAAGTTCACACACTCATTTAATTTCTTTAAATACTTTTATAAGTAAAATTAAAATAAGGTTATGAAAGAACAACTACGCCGTCACGATCCCCGCGATCCGAGGAGAACTACTCGCATTTTTTTTGTTTTTTAATCTTGCGCAAGCCTGCAGGGGGTGCGCGCGTCCGGATAGTAGCCACGCCCGCGCGCGCCCAAAAAGGCTTATGATTGGTTGGAATTCTGCTACCCCTTTTATTTAGGGTAGTAAAAATCGAGATTATAAAGAAAAACATAACGAATTCTTGACAAGTTGGAAAGAACTGCTCCTCGTGGCTTCGCCACTCGCGTGTGTGGTCTCCCGCTAGCTCCAGTCGCTTCCCGGCACGGCCGCGGCTTTGCCGCTTCGTCTAATGCCGGCAAGTTAAAGATATAGTCCATCATGTGTAATTTGTGCATATTGTTCGTTTGAAGCAACAAAAGTGTTCAAAATCTAATGAAAGATACTGAACAACTAACCTAATGAAGTTTCAGCTCAGCTTCAGCTGTGTATTCCGAGAAAAACAGCATTCTAGGATCTCAATTTCAAATCAAAAGTTGCTGAATCATGTTTTGAATTGTTTTGAATTGCAGCTTTACGCGATGTCGCGCACTGATCCGACGAATTATAGCAACCGCGCGCGCCTGTGCGTCGTGCCAATGCTTGCGCGCGCTGTGCCGAATAACAAAACGCACTACTAATTTAAATTTTCCTACGGTGCGTCTTAAGACGCACCGTTGGAAAGGCCTAGCCTTCTTTCGTTGATTACTTCAAAATGATAGCTTGCCAGAAAGATTAATTTCACAGGGAGTTTAGTCCCCTTACTATCTTTCAACCAAGTATGTTTTTCAACAATAATAAGCCAGTTACTTTTTCGGATGGCTGCAAATGATGGACTATAGCTTTAAGCCACGATGGACTGGGCGACAGGCTACCTTAATCCAGTCGTGAAGTCCAGTTTTTTGCTGGGTTGTAATTATTTTAAGCGCCCCGTTGTTTTTTGTTTTGGTATTCCTTGGGTAACGAAAATGTTCTAAATAAATTATAAAACCTCTTTCTAAACACTATTTATCATTTTATTTTGCACAGAATTGTTTGAATCTGAAGAAACCCAACTAGAACTCCCGCATACATCCCGGTAGTCTCTGGCATTCTGCAGAATACAAATCAATTTTCTGCAGGTACAGACAGAAATTTGATATCTTCCATTTCCAGAATCCAGAGGATAATCTTTCAAAAGAAAATCTACAGATATCAAGAATGCCTCATCGAACTGATTCCGGACTGTCCACGCACCCTATGCACCAGATCAACAATACCACTAATGTCAACAGCGCCACCATACGACGACATCGTTTAAACTGTTCGACAATATCGGAATTGTCGAAGCGGTCTCGTGAGAATGTACCAGATCGAGATGTCAATAAATGCCATGTTGAAGTTGGTGCTAAAAACCCATGGGGACCGTACTTCAAAAGCAGAACAGACTTTCTGGATTTGCACCTTGTGTGAAGAAACGTGGGAAAAAGATAAAGACTCCTGGGCCACAAGTGGTTAAATCATGGAGCTGTAATCCTTTTTATAGCTCCATGGTTAAATGGACTGATGTTTAACTTGAGAACAAGCAGTGGAAATCTTTACAAATTGGACGAAACAATGGATGATTTAAAAAGAGGATGAGTGTATTAAGACCCAAAGAGACTTAGGGCTATCGAGTCCCTATTTAAAATTGGCGTTCCGTCTTACCACGAAATAGTTGGGTTCCTGCGGCGTTGCTGTCGGGAATAATCCTTAAAGACTAATATCATCTAAGAATTCAAAACTAGGGCCGCCGAGTACTCCTTTATGTGTCACAAAGATTTAAAAAGAAAAAGTTGTCTATGTCTTACAACGCTTAGCTAAGATCCTCAGTCTTTATGGTAGTTTGAAAATCGTTCATTATGACTGAAAATCCTCTTATCCTTCGCGTTTTACGATAATCTTTTAAAAGTTTTTGTTAGCAATTACGGCTTCATTCTTTTTCAGTGTTCGAAGATGATGAATTTTCATAACGTTTTTTTGGTCATATCCAAGCCTGTTAATTGCTGCTGAACATGACACTGCACGACACTTTAGTTACTTGTTGTATGCGTATATATATCATTAGCCAATTCGCCCTTTCTCTAGCTTTTGATAATTCTTTTTTGACTGAACTAGTTGTGCCTTCTTTAATATTATTTTTTCATTTTGTACGTGTATTAACTGACCGTCAATTGTTATTTATCATGTTTTATGACAATGGGGCAAATCCAGTTTGGTGGAACGTTGGTACTGTGTGATGCAATTGGGTGCTGTGTATTTGCTTGTATATGCATAATATACATTTTCATGAGCACTGCGTAATGCTGTTAATTGAGAGAACAGCTGATATTTTTTGCAGAAAAAAAATCAATTCGCGTCCAATTTCACATCTTGCTCGTTCGGTTAGGCGAAACTTTCATTCAAATTCCTATGAAAATGGGCAATCGTTTTCAATCCAGACTCAGTTTAGCGAAAGTTCCAAATATTTCAGGGTATATCTTCATTCGCGTGTAGAAAGTATGCAGCAAAGCGCCAGGTTTACGACATTTGGGTTTCAGTCCTGCTGAGAAATTAAATTTGGTGCATAGGATTACGTTTATAAGTGGCAGTTGCATTTTATAGCAAGATGTTAGGCATATGTTTTAAAAACCCAGTCTACATGCTTACAGCTTCAGGACAAGACCCAGACCCGACTCTATTGTCTCTCCACTCATGCGATGCGAAATAGGTGTCGTTTCCCCATGACAATTAACATTCCATTTGGTGAAAGAACGACAAAGGTAATCCTCGAAGGAATGTCCATTAACTGGCAAAAGACACTTCCACATAAAAGCCGTCTTCCGACAGTATGAAAGAAATGTCTCCAGCATTAGACCGTGATGCTGGTGGTCTCGACAAAGCAAACTATTTGGTCATTCAGGTTAACATCCGCGAGATCGATATACGATCCCTGTCTGCATTCCTAAATCGTGTCTACCCACATTAATAGATATTGTTGAAAAGCTGCGTCTGGCCAATACAAAAGTTTGTTTTGATACGAAATTGATCCTTCTATTGGTGACTGATCATCCGAAACTCCCGTTTCGCTTTCAACAAGAGATTGAAAGTGTAGTAGGGCCTATGTTATACATGTATACTGTAACTTGTGGAAATGTATTACTGCTGCCTGCGTTCCATAGCTATGACTATAGCTATGCCCTCCAATCCACCTTTGTCTCAAAGGCCAATGCATCTCGGACAGTGCCCCGCATGCTTGAAATAGGGGGATTAGTATGTGCCAACATTTTTGGTTTGTAGATCACGTGCGTTTGCAGAATTTGCTTTTTAAATATATATTATATATAGGCCTAATGTAAATAATTTTATTTACAAATCAGTTTTTCTACGGAATTATGTTAAATTGCTGAATGCAAACGAGGGACATAAATATAGTAAAGCAAATATAAAGTTATAATGCATAAACCTGTCAATGAACAAAAACTGAACAACATTTGCTGCTTGTAGAAGTTATTTTTATTGTCCTATTCATAAATATATAAATAAATAAATAAAGTCAACTTTGTCTGCAATGCATTTTGGCTGTCAAATATATACAAGTTCCGCTTTTTATAAATACACACAAGTTGGAATACCATGAGAATGAATTTAACTTATGACTTCAGAGAAACTGTAGTTAAAACATTTCAAAGTGCAACTTAAAAAAATGGCATCTACAACAACATGCATACTCGTATGGGTTGTACTCCCAACATATAATAAAAGTTCACTTTACTGCATTGTTATCGTTTGGATGTTAATAATGACGATTTTGTTCAATGGCGTAATGTAAGGATTTTGGTCATCCTCCATCACCCACTCGCCGACACGAATTACGCCATTGATTTTGTTACTGCCTCAACAAAATGGTTGATTAGAAAGAGCTGATACGTCTAAAGGCATGTTGAACATTTAAGGTTGACCTCAAATTAATTTTATTGACATTTGTTATCAAACCACAATGCATTTCCACAAATGTATATTCAATATTGTTTAAAGAGATTAATGACTATACACAACTTTGTGTCGTCGTAGTGACAAGTATTGAATACATGAATTGAAACGTCATTCACCATTCCACAGCCATGAGTATGCTTTAATATCTTGAAAGACTGAAACACACCATTTAGATTAAAGTCACTATACTTAATAAATAATAAATAAATAGTTTACAATACATTCGAAAGTGTCAAATAATTAGTTGTGAATAAAGTTATGAATTATTTCATGATGGTTGTAAATGCGAATTACATAACCCAAAAAGTCAGCGCAGCACAATAAAAAATGCTGCATGGTCATGATAAAGCATACAAGTTTGAACCCGAAAGCTTGCTTCATAAAAACTGGAGGAAATAAAAACCCGATGTCCATTTAGGCCTGTTGGGTGATAATTCAGCAACCCCGAAAAGAAGGCTTGGATTGTTGGCGAATGAACTGCTGAAATCAAATCAAACTCTACTTCTGAATAGCTCATACTGCCGCATTCTCAGAACTGATGCGCTGAAAATACCTCAGCATTCATACAAATAAATATAGCAAAATGATAGTTTATACAATGGAAAACATAATAGGTTTGGTCTTGGTCATACGTAAGGAGCAAAGACTGATTGTACGCTAATGTCGCATTCACATGCCACCCTTATTTGCTGTACTGTAGGTTCCCAATCCTCCACGTACATTACCTGACCTGAGGGAGACGTGCTTGAAGCTACTGAGCAGTGCCCAGTTCGTCGTAGTACTGTCAGGCTGAGTGTTCGCTCGCTACATCGACCACCACCTGATGAAAAGCAGAAAGTCAAGTCATCTGTGATTAGGGAAATTCACTTTTCATGCATATTTTGGGAAGTTATGTTTTGTCAGTGTTCAAGTTGCCCAGATACTGTGATAATGAGAATATTTGTAATCTTATACTCTGCCAACAGAATAAACGAATACACTTGTACTTCATTGCAAAAGCACTTTAACATCTACATTCCCCACTTCATTTGTTCCCATTCCACTTCATCCGTATTCACGTTTGGTTTCACGTACTTGTGCATTATCTATAGGGCAACATTTATTCCAATTTGTTATTTCACTTATGCACAACCGTTGGCCCATTATAGCCCCATTTAGGTCATAATCGCCATCAAAGTTGCTGCATTGCTATTTTATTTCTGTATATACCATATTTATAATAGTATCGCTTCATTTAAAGGGTAACACACCCCCCCAAAATTGCTAAAACACCAAGTTAAAGAATAAAAGTGTTTTTCACTCATGCAAAGTATTTGAAAAATTACCTGAAAGACATTCTGTGTTACTGCTGCAAACGACTTCGTTGATGTACCGCGGAAAAAGGTCGTCGGAAAGTTCGGTTGTTGCCGCACACGAGTCGCACATGCGTATAAAGCCTTGGTTAGTCTCCTGACCACTCCTCACACAGTAATTGGATACTGTCGTCCCTGCAGACAAGGACAAGAATGAAATGGTATCCGAAAAAAGGTTCAGATGATTGCATTGTTGAAAATTGAGGACTTTCGTCAAGTTTGTTTGAGTCCTTGCGACGGGTTAACATTAGGGTGATTGCTGATAGAGGAAAACAATCTCAGTGATTGCTGCCAGACGAAAAAAAAAAGAGTTTCTTATTAAATATAATAATAATAATTGAAATTAAAGACGAATTTGTAATGATGCATTGTGTCTCCATTTTTTTTATTAAAAAAATTGTATGTTTTCCCACTTTAAAATGATTTAGAGATCAACCATTTCACATCTTGTTAATTTGGTGCTCGTGGTTTTGGTTTGTAAATGCTCAGAAACAAACCAGTACCAAATGGTGTCGTTGCAGGAAAACTCAACGCCTCGATCCTCATGACACAAGGCACAAAAATGCGTGTTGGTAAACTGACCTACGACGGATCTTCTGACCCGGGGGACATTGACTTCTTCCGGTGTGACGAGGCTGGCACGGATAGCTTGTATGTGTGGATGTGACAGGGATTCCCCCAAGCTCTGATTGCCTCTAAGCACCGCTTCGATCTCCAGCTTAGTTAGCCTGTCAAGTTCCTGCGATTTAAACGATTGACAGCCCAAGATCAAGTCCAAAGTAAGATATTACAGGCGGAACAATAATGTGGCGTGGGCTACAGGACATTGCATTCTTCAATTATTATTGCCATTTATAAATTGAAAACATTGTGGAATCAACATCGACATATTCTTTATGTCTCTCCAGGAGCTTAAGACTGTAGGCCTATACATGGATTTTACATTTTTTTAAACAGACGATTTATTGCATTATCTCTTTCTACGGAGAGGAAATTCAAGTCTTGTCCTGAACTTGTTTCCCCTTCCGTTTTATATAGAGGAATCTTCCAAACAAATTGCAATTTTTGTATTTCTTTATAACGTAACATTTGTAAACTTACATTAAAATGCCTCTGAAAAGAATTGAGAAATTTGTTTTAGTCTCTCTAGTTCATTTTCTTCAGTAAAATTTTTCTAAGTCTGAAATAATGTGATTTGGACCAGTGCTGATTATCTTCTAAAGACGGGGAGTGGGCTTGGTCTTGTGTGTCTCTCTCCAAGGCCCCAGTCTGACCTGGAGTTCAATCTGAACCTACCTCATTTTTATGATGTGGAATGAGACTAGTGAATCCCTGATGTGATTTGTCAGCGTATCTCGTATTGATTTGTCCCATGCTTTGAAGTAACTCCATCAATTCATCGCCTGTCTGTCGTCTGCAGCGGGACGTTCTGCGTATTCTTGTTGGTACATGCGTATGGGTCTGTGTCAATATCAGAGATATAAATAAAACATGCTTATGCTATTGTTGTTCAATGCTTTGGCAGGAATAAAAGCTGGTCAAAGTGATGTAAGATTGCACCCGAAAACAAGGAGGTAATATTCTGCATGTAAAAGTGCACAAACATTCATATAATTTGATGTTCATCTGTTTGGTTGGTCAAATAAAACCTCTCCAACGTATCTAAAAACAGATTGGTTAACATAATCAATCATTGGTTGAAATAACCAACAATTGTTTAATAATTATGTGTCCAACCATTGGTAGGTTGGACACATATTACACAATTGTTGGTTATTTAAACCGTTGATTGGTTATGTTAACAAATGTTGTTTTTAGAGTGTAAGCAATTCATTTCACTCGCGAGGATTACCGAAGCAGGCATACGTTTCAGAAGATAAAACTGTGTACATTCTGCTGAGGATTTATTACTATTTTCAGTCTACGTCCAAAATACTTATTTGGGGTAGATTTTCGTCGTTTCTGAAGTTTTTCTCCACGTTATTATTAAGTAGGTTTATCTACATTTCCAGTTGTTTTTGTGCACTGGACCCATATTTTTGACAAATAGAGTTTGTGTCACCGAAAGAAATTAGCCAAAAATTCATGCAATCAATGATTTCATGTAGAATGATAATACTTTTCTGTTGGGGGAGGCGGGGGGGGGGGGGCTAACCTTTTCGTTTTCCGTGAAGCTGTCGGAGAGATGTAGATTCGTCCTCTGCTTTTCGGCTGTGGAAAAAAAACCGATACAGTTTAATTAGACGAAGGGGGAGTTCATCGAAATGTCAAGTGGGTTTCGATTGCTGCATTTTCTGTTGATTCCTCCACTAAGTTGAGAAATGTGATGCGCGCGTCAATCACTGCAAAAGGGCGTCGGGAATTATGGAGAGGTTTGTGGAATGAAGGAAGGTCTGCGTACGAAGGATGCGCTTCATGTGGGGTGTCGCTTTGTCGTGGGTTGAAAGTGGTAGCGCATTTGGGCACCAAGGTTAAGTACTTGGAATTTATATTTGGCTGGGAACAGCGCAATCTGATCAGGACCCATGGTTAAGTGCTGATGAGGATATCGGGCACGATATAGATTTCAACAATAAGATGTTATTCGCAGAGGCTCGTGCTTGAGATTGCACGATAACAAGTGGTTGGGTGCGTCTGTTCACCCGTTGGAGTGGTGAAAATGAACACTGACAATATGAAAGAAAATACTCACCCTACTCATCCAATCTGGATTAAAAAGATACCAGTTGAATTCCGACAACAACGTCTGGAAACGTGTTTCGTAACTTTTCCAGAAAGCCTCTGTTTCATCCGTTTTACATACGTACTATTCCCTAGACGTCTTTAAACCCCTGTCTTAAATGACCCCCTTAAATAAGCCCCTTCCCACATCCAGCCCCCCCCCCCCCAAGTTGATTTTCTGATTGAAACAAAAATCATTTTTGACACCTTTCTTTGCTCCTTGTACATCAAACTAGCATGTCCAAAAACTGGACAAACATAATTATTCCATCACTGAAGTAACTGCTCAGGAGAAAGCGACGTTTTATATATAGACCGCAATTATGCGGTTGGGCCGAAAATTATTCTTGAAGATAAACGAACTTTAGCAAAGCTAGGGGTAACCAAATCAGTTTGGTATATTGGTATTGTTCTTTTTCCATCTTCAAAATTCGTTGATTGGTTCTCACCTGATTGTGAAACACTCGAATTTCTTCCGCTGTTAATGTACAGTAAAATCTTTCTCATGGCTTGTTCGGTAGTCATCTGTTCGTTCGGTTGCGTTCTGCTGTGTGCACGTAACGTTTGTCTGTCCGTCGTTCCGAATAACCTTTCATCAGAAGTTGTTTCTGATCTTGAGCTCTTCAGAGGAATACCCGTGGTTGTAGTACTTATCAGGAGTAGTGTTATTGCCATAGTAACCGTCGTCATGCTAACCTGTGAGTTGATCAAAATGAACACAATTCAGCGCATCAAAATCCACTTCTTTGAAAAGACCACCAAGTCCTGGAGAATGTTGTGCAACATGTAGCTGGTTTTGTGAAATACCTAGTCGGCCCCAGTGCGATCGCATGTCATTCATTACTTCGTGAGTCGCGTGGCAACCCACTATAATGATCAGGTTAGACTGGGGAGCGTATATGACCACGAGGCTAAACAGTGTGAATTTATGGGCATCGTTGTCTTGGTTTTGGAAATTATACAAGGTGTGGACACAAATGACCGCATGGGGTGTGTACAAATTTATTTGTTTGAATCTCAGTGCCACTGCTGAATTCGAGGAAAAGAGAAAGCATAGGAGTGTTACCCACAACAGTCGCTCCTTATTCTGAACGGAAATTTGATGACGTCTATCAACAAACAACGGATCAACGGCAGACGGCCAAGTATGACGGGTAAAGTTCACCACTCTGTACTTAAGGACATTTCAACATGCGTCTATTAGGCCAAAAAAAAAGTCTCCGGTTTCTGGTATGGAGCTTGCCCAAAAAGTGGTGCGGCGACGCGTTTTTTTTTTTTTTTTACCTGATTTTTTTGCTTCAAATGTTGGCTGATGACTGCAAATGGTGCCCGACTAAACTTAGTGCAAATATATGGGAGTCCAGAGAGGCCACATAAAGCTTATTCTCGACCATAACCCAATCTAAAAACACGTTAAAATTGTGCAGCAGAAGGATTCCAGTCAAACCAGTGAGTTTGGCGGTTTTGAGACATCATCTTTCATTGAAAAAAAAAACGTTTTCATTGCCGACGCGCATGGCTACGGCGACTTTTTTTTTTGGCCTTAGGTCTGCATGAATGCAGGTTTTGGTGTATCCATCTGGAAAATCAGTTGACGTTTAGATCCTCTGGACCCCACAAGGGGGACGGCGGAGGAGGATCTGATCCAGCAAGGGGGATTGACGGGGGATCGACGGCAGTTAGGCGTATGTAAAAGCGAGCGGTATCGGGTCTGATTTGGATCTCATCCGGCTCTCTCGATCCCCATTTGGGAAAGATAAGAGATCCGGGTCTGGCACACTTTTCAGTTAATTATTACTTCATAAAGTTAACAAACATTCCCTATGCGTTAGGAATATTACAATATGATGAACATTTATACTGAACACTACATTCCACAGTACGGATAATATGAACAGTTTGCGATTATTTCTTCATGCTATAAATAGACAGTCGAAAAAAAATCCGCATCGCTCAGGCGCAAGATTGTTAAAATGAAGGGTTTTTATAGTGACGTTATATGGAGCATGCAATGGCTGCATGTGCAGGCATCTATATAGATTAACATGTTTCATTCGACAAAAGTCAGCAATCGTCATCGGGACAAATATGAACGGTGCCTTGAGTTTATGCCTTGGTTGTGAAAGTAGTAATGTACAAAAGTTATTACCAAGTTTTGATAGTATACACCCATTGATGCCGTTCAATTTAAAATTCACTGTCATTTGTATTTATACCGCGAATACATGTTTTCCTCGATTTTGCTCAGACAATTTGCACAGATACAGACTAAAAGCGCAGGTAAAGCGCAGCAAACGATATCGGCTTACCTTATACTTTGTTGGATTCAGAAATCTCTGTCTCTCAAGTCTTATTGTCCTGCTCTTTAGTCTGTGGGACATCGGCAGACGAGTTTTCATGAGGAGTTGTCATATTTCCGTTATAGTTTTACCCATGGGTTAGGCTATATCGCGTCTAGCTACACATGTTACCGTTTGGCTAGTAATAGGCCTAGTATCTATTTAAGGCCACATAACTGTCGCTGCTTTCAACCGGCAACGAAAAGGGTTATGACCCAGACAAAAATGGCTAAATCACGTGCTTATCGCATCATACCGAGACACGTCTTGTATAAGCATGTAAGGCTACAGAGACCGATGGGAGCTGAGCATCTCAAAACGATTTCAACGAAATGTGTTTCATTTAAACTCGGGTTAATACTTTGCATATACTTTCAACAGTCCTTTCGAGAAAAAGAGGTCAACATATGGTCCAAACATTTTCAAACCTCCTTTTTCACAAATCAGTAATTTCAGTCATGATGTGAACTTCTTCTAATTAGTACGACCCTCCTAGATTATTTTAATCCACAAATTACTGTTGGGTAAAGCATTAATTGAAAATATGAGCGCCTTAGTTAGAACATTCAGCACATTATGTCAAAAAAAGTGACAGGTTCTTAAAGATGATACCCCATGATCTTAAATTTCTAAATTAGGTTTCAATAAAAAAAATATTTTGTTTCGATTTTGGGCGTCTAAAACCCTCTGAAAAAGGGCTTTCATTTTGTGTAGGCCCTACATAACCTGCCCAGCGTCTCCTTTAAAAGTGAATAACTTGTGTTTTGCTAGTAAACACAAGTCTATGTTTTCTTGGGAATCCATCTTTTAAGGTTGGCAGTAACTTGGTCGAAACTTAACTTAAAAAAAGGAAAAAAGTTAAATTACAAAACACATTATGAATTTGACAATACGTCAGAAGACAGAAGTTGAGACCTATTACTGCATGTCCATTCATTAGGAAAACTTGTGGTGCCATAAGAAATATTAAATTTAAATTTTGTTCCTTGCTTGTGAGTTCCTTACTCGTGAGGAGAGCAGCGCAATATCTCTCACCCATCCACCCCAACCCCCCCCCCCCCAAAAAAACACCCCAAAACAAAGATAAATTAAACCAAAAATAATAACTAAATCGAGTTTGACGCACTGATTTTCAAGCCTACCTTCATACTTGTTTCTTGGTCTTGTTTCCGGTTTCTTGTGTAATTATACTGAAGGCCTATCAATCAATAATAAGCAAGATTCTGTTAAATCGCTGTTGTCCGGTTGAACACCACCACTCTTGATTCGTCGCGCATGTTCACAAAATAAATTGGTTCGCTTTATAACATTTCCCCCGGAAAAAAATTCCGGAACTCCGGCGCCAATTTCCGTAACCAAAATAGCCTAGATCCGTGGATATCCGCAACAATTTGAAATCCAATTGGTGCATTGTGATGTGAAACACACGTAATCATTGGTTGCTCTGCTCGTGGGAGTGACGGCATGACGTGTCCACCTTTAAGACTTTCACGAGTGGGAAACAGCACTTTGAGTAATTAAGTAGGTATGTGGTGCCGTGTGTAATATGAAAGTAGGTGAACTCGGAATATAATCCCCGAGGATTGTTTTTTACCCATTTGGTTATAATTATGGTAAAAGTGCTCCCCTTGAGAGTATGGAATTCACCACTTGAACTTCTCTGAAAGCCAATGGCATAGAGGTCAAAAGGAAGATCACCTGCCAAAATTTGCCATAAAAACTTGCGTACAAATTACGACAAAAAGTGTGAAACTCTGGGTTGCCTGAGGAATGAGTTATTTATTAGCACATATCTCCCCATTACCTTGCAATCAGTACAAGCAGTTCAGAATTCCAAGACGTCACAAATTTCTATTCGGGATAGAAGAGAAATCAGCCATTCGCTTGCAAAAAATATATTATTATATTTTTTTCACTGTATTTTATTGTTATACGAATATTTCTATGTTTAAGATCGCAATTGAAATTTGTTGGTTTCCATCTCCCCGTTGACACGCATTATCTCCCGCATTATCCCGAAGTTAAATCGGAAAATCTGGATATGCGCATGCGAAGCTGGAATACGGAGCTTGGAGTTATCATGATTTATTATTTTTTTTCATCCTGGCATTTTTTTCTTACCGTGTAAAATATAGGTCGAATCCGTATCCTGCAACCGTACACGACGGCACCGCATCTGCGTGGACCCCCCCCCCCTGCTCTGACCCCCCTCCCAAATATGACAATTATAGTAATAATTATTACCGATATGTGCGCCTGTCTGCAACAATAGGAAACAGAGGCATAGCCAGTGGTAATTAAGTGGGGGGGGGGGGGGTATTTGCGCACTATTGTCCAATAGTGTGCATGATTGTCCGTCTTGAACAGCGCCCCCATTCGAAGATGGTACCAGCCCCCCTCCCCATTTGATTTTACGGAGAAAAAAACTGTCTACATTTCAGCACTGAGTTGCGAGTGCCCTTTTCACGAAACAAAATAATCTGACGGGCCTGACCCCCTCCCCCCACAAACCCCTGGATCCGTCCCTGGGTCTGTTAATGCTCGGTCCCACAAGGGCGGATCCAGGGGGGGGGGGGGGCAAAGGGGGCCATGGCCCCCCCCCCCCAAAAAAAACGAAACCAATTTTTTGTTTTGTTTTTATGTGACATTGCAATAAAGGCAGGCAATGAGTACACCACCATCTTTTCCTCAAAAAAAATTGGTTAAAGTGGTCAGAAATTGCCTCGCACCACAGAGCATCTAGAATCCAAAAAAATTTCGGGGCCCTTAAGCGGGCCCCGAACCCCACGCCGTAATTTTTTGACCCACTTTTTGGGGGGAACAAAACATTTTTTTGGCCCCCCCCCAAAAAAAATTGTGTTCTAGATCCGCCCTTGCGGTCCCAACAAAATTAGTGAGGTCCCAACAAAATTATACTTCTCAAAATTATTTAAAGCTCTTTGAGAAGTATGTCCACAATATACAAAACTGATCAAAACTGATCCTCAAGAGTTCTAGACAAAAAAAGGTTCCGGGAAGATACAATAAGCCCCACGCATTAAGAAAGTTATACAGTGGTTTTCCGAACATAACATACATTCAATGGTATGATCTGAATACAACGGTCTCCTTATCAAATAAGATTCCAAAGTTGCACAGTACAGAACAAAGTGTTCATTGAAGTCTTAGATGACAAGTTGGTATCAGGTATACAAAAAATTGCAAAATGTCACTGACTCACTGTGTCCTGTTCAGGGAACTGTGTGTTTTTTACGCCGTCTGCGTGCCTCCTGCCACGTACACGAATCTATTGATTGTGTCCCCCTCAAAATAAATAAATAAACACTGATTAAATTGCCACTTCCATTCCTTTTGGGAATAAAGTATTTTTTTAAAGATTTATAACTCAAAATTTAAATCATGGAATTTTATGAGATACAGTGAGTTATTTAAAACGTATTACAATCGGTTCTATGTTGGAAAACGTAAAGGTGAGGAGCATTATGTAGGCCTACCTTCAAGCACCCCTCCACGGATCAGAACAATCAACTCCAACAAATTTGTTGTCTCACCTCCAAAAAAATACCCCTCTTATCAACCAAACAACATCCACACAAACACCCCAATCAATACCCCAACAAACAAAACAATGAGAGGATTATGGTATAATGAAGCGGATTATTAAATGTTCCGACTTTCATTATCTTTTACATCGACACCCTAATGAACATATTATTTCTGCGCTACATGGCGATAATGAGTAAACCATCTAAAACTTTTTAATTCATACCACATAATTTCACTCTTCATAATCTAAATAAATTGATTGAAGTCCGCGCACCATTTGTCAAACATGGTTTTTAAAGTAGGTCAAAGGTTGAGTGTGACAAAATATCAGATATCGCTCCACAGTTGCGTACATGCCTAGTCTCACGTACGCACACCCTAATGATAACAACATAATCCACTACTATGACTTTTAAACTTGCCACACTGAGTACTAAACCGGATTAAAGTCCTTATCATGACCGACATCAAAGGACACAACCTTTTGCAAACTAACCACAAATTGAAACCATTTGGCAGGGAAAATTAAATATGTATAGGAAAAAATTAAAAAGAGAAATGGTCATTAGGGTATCGACTGGGCCATTGACCAGGACAATTGATAATTGAGTCTTCCGCATGCTACTACTCAAAATCAAATGAGCTTCATCATATTTAATCCTAATACATGTAATATTAATGAAAACTCCGTGATTTTTTGATAACGAATTTCACGAAAGTAATTCATAATTATGGTCCCTTTAGCCTAGGCCCCATATACTTCGAACAAAAGCAAAGAAACCATTAATCTGGCTTTAAAACTAAATAATATCTGAATTATCTTACCGACCTCATGTACAGCATTTTACGTCCCGTCATTTATTTTAAGACCGTTGTTTGCTCAAGGATTGATCAAAAAATAGCAGCATACCTCAGGGCTCCGTTCACGTGCAAGTCACCTGCGAATAGGCGTGCCACACGTCTTTGTTGACACAAACTCTGTTGTCATTTTATCGATTATCAATGCTTTCCTCATTTAGATGACCCGTGCCAATTCCATCGCCGTACGTATATATACGGGTCATGTGTTTTCAGTTTGTTTGGCTTGGGCAATATCGTAACAAAGGGACTTATCTTTGTCAGATTTCTATGTATAGCCCGATTCCAGTCTTGTTGGAATTACATTGTACATACATCTATTTCGTTGTTTTTTTTAAATTTCTATCAGATCATCATCATGACAAAGTAGACAACTATATCCCCAACAATGAGCACAACCTATTCTGTTCCCAGTGGCATGCGGATCAACGGCGGATCCAGAACACAATTTTTTTGGGGGGGGGGGCCAAAAAAAAATTTGGTCCCCCCAAAAAGTGGGTCAAAAAAATTACGGCGTGGGGTTCGGGGCCCGCTTAAGGGCCCCGAAATTTTTTTGGATTCTAGATGCTCTGTGGTGCGATCTGAGGCAATTTCTGACCACTTTAACCAATGTTTTTTTGAGGAAAAGATGGTGGTGTACTCATTGCCTGCCTTTATTGCGATGTCACATAAAAAAAAAAAAATTGGTTTCGTTTTTTTTGGGGGGGGGGCCATGGCCCCCTTTGGCCCCCCCCCTGGATCCGCCCTTGATATTGCGGATACGTTGGAGAGAAACAAAAGAGCTATGAGTGTGTTTCGTAATTCACTACCTAATACGGAGACATGTGTATAACTTGGAACAAATGATTGTATAGGCTACGTCTCCACAGGGCAATTTCTATAGGTGAATATGTCTCCACAATTATCACGAGATAGATATATGGATTTTTACTCAAATATAGGAATTTCCAAGGTGTGTTGATTCGTCGTAAATTGAAATATTTTATGTAAGGGAAATTAATTCCGGTTAAAATATGGAGCATTTTGAATTTAGATTTTCACATTCTAACATTTTAGTAAACGAGAACAAAGAAATGACTCCACAAGGCCTACGATACAAATTCCAGTATCGTTGTGTTCACGAGTTGATCGTTGTGTTCACGAATTGATCTGTTACGAGTTGTTCGTTTACAAGTAAATCATTCACGAGTTGATCGCTCGCAAAGCGCGCGTTCGCCCGAGTAGCGGGCGACTCGCCCGAGAAGTGGGTGTCCTCACCGCGAGCGGGATACTCGCCCGCGAAACAGGTGGCCAGGGGGAGCCGCCTCACCCGTTCCGCGGGCGAGGCGAAGACTCGTTTTTAATGAATTTCAGATAAGCCCATGGAACGAGTTTGGGGAGAACCAATTGTTCTCCATTGACAGAGACTTTCAACTTGAAAGTTGGTATAAACACCAACCCTGATACAGAGATGTGCAAACAAGTGTGACGTCATGATGACGTCATGTTTCAAATTACAAGTGATTTTAGGTCGCAAATGACCAATTTGTTTCAATCAAAACTTATAAACAAAATGAACAGTCATGTTCATACTTAGTGATCTGATAGACCATGCCTTGATGAACACTTTTGTCGATCATACATGAAGTTGTTTGACATTAACTTCTAGGGCTACCGGAAGTACAAATTAGGTGAATTCCAAATACCAATAGCAGCGTCAATAATGTTACAAGAGAAAAAGATAAAACATGGTGATGAAACATCAAAATTTGACAAAATACAAATTGAAATATTTATGACTTTTGATCTTAGCGTATACGGAAGCATTTTACTAAAATTTT